TAAAGCTATCGAAGTTATCTTATAAATTAGACAAAAATCGACTGGAGCGATTAAAAATACAAAGGAAAAACTTTGAAAATTTTTAAAGGACGATAAATACAACATTCGCCCGACTTTCCTTTTCAAGTTTTCCAGGTAACCTGAATAAATAAAGTGCACAAACGATGCGCCGAAACTTCACCATGAACTCGCCTAAAAACTTTCCGGTGAAAGTTCAACTTCTAATCCTCCATTGGCGGCTCCGAAAGCTTTTTAAAAAGGCGATCCATATAAGGACCACCATAAGCACTTTTCTCAATAAAAAATCGAATTTTAAATTTAATCAGATTTATTTGTGAATTGTGGATTTACAAGTCATGCAGAGAATTTTATCAAGAATATTTTTTTTTGTGAAATGTTAGATAAATATTTTCCCAATTTGTCTACAACTTTTTAGGCCACACTGTATATGCGTGCATCCTGGATCACTGCAATCGACAGATGAGTCAAGAGAAGAGTGATGATTAGTGTGTGATGATCATTTATTCGATATAAAAAACGTTCTTATTAAAATAGCGGTGGTCCAAATTATAAGACCGGTCCATATTTGGCGCACTTACTCTAATAATTATAGAGCAGATATAACGCTGGTTCGTTTTCGATCGATAAGGGATGATTTAGGGCGCGTTTGTACCGGTTCCGGATTTGCATAATATCCACTATACGGTACGTTTGTTCGTACTGTATTAGTTTAATGAACGTTGGAATCGCAATCGGTTTACGGGAAGTAATTATTAGACCGAGTTCGGGATCAATCATGTTCGAATAGTGTATGGTATATATCGAACGGGGGGGTTGTTATCTGCCATCCCTAATTTATGGGGGTGGATTGTTCCGAGGGAGGAATTTTAGAGCAAATAAGGAAATGATTACTATGCTTACTTGATTACTGTATATTGTCTTTCTAAAGTCAATTGAATATTCAGGGTGGAAACGCTAAATGGAATATATTCATTATTTCGGTTAGTGAACATATTTATAGAAAATTAATTAAAATTTGACATTCTTTAACGTCAAAATGTGAGTCCTATATTCGACCCTCTTTGAATAACAATTACAACCCTTATTTTTTATACGGGAACTATAAGGAAGTATAAGCATTTGAAAGGTCTCTTTATTTTCTATTCAAAACTGTAATTGTTTTAAAGATTTTTTCAAAAATTAACATAAAAATAAAATCATCTGATGGCTTAAATTCGATATAATACACTTAATATGTAATACCTAATTGTTCACAATATAAAAAAATACGAATCTCCTCACCAAAACTGTTATTTTATTCATTTCTGTTACACTAACCATTTTTCTTAATTGCATTTAACGAAATTCAAACAAAAATTATAACACTGACAACTACTCTCGCGCAGTTATAGTTACAAATCAATTTGCTAAGGCCTTTTAAACTAACTAGTCTTATTATTAAGGCTAAAACGGGAAGTAAGATTTAATTTTTTGTAATGCTAGTTTTTGAAATAAACTGAAAAACAATAACATTTTTGGATATAGAGAATGAAGAGATCTTTCAAACGATATATCACAAGCCTATACTTCCCATTTAAAAAAAATAGGGGTGTTTTGGGGAAAATTTCAACACCGATAGAACAGAGTAGAGCAAAGTAGAACCCTTTTAGAGCGAATTAGAGTAAAACTTACGTATCATAAGAATAAATGAAGCTAAATTTTTGAGAAGGGATTGTAAAATTATACACATTTAAGGATTAACCGGGTGCTCTATCCGAGTAAATGCACAGGTAATTAAAGAGCCGTGTTGGGTAGAGTCCTTTAGAGCCCGAAAGAGCGTTTAAATAAGTGAGCAAATTTCGTGCGGGGGTGGCGAATTTAATGTTTAACCGGATAAACGTTCTACCCGTAAATATCGTTAAATATTTACGAGTTCCAGCTCATTCAATTATCCCGATGACTGTTATTTGCATTATCTTAATTCGTACAACGAATTTTTTCTACGAGAATTAATCCAATTGATACGCTTCCAGTAGTTTATATGGATTATAATGAATTCGACAATGATAGTTAATGGACTGGGTCCCCCTTATGTAATCCTCCTGTCCCCCAATTTCGACCGGGATGGCCCCAATTGTTGAATTAATTGCCGGTGTAATGAACCGATGTCGCTTTAATGGGTACAACGTTATGTACGTATTAAACGTTAAACTTTACGTTGTCTATACAATTATCGATTTTTCCGCTCGTACAGGATGTCCCAGGACTTCTGAAACATCCTGTAAAACCCCTATATTCATTTTCTTCTTCTTCTCTTTCGAAATGGAAAGATTTTAACTCTATATAGAGGTGACCCAGGGGATCACAAAAAACCCCATATAACCAACATTTTAACGTTTGGAAAATTGAAAAAAAATTGAAAAATAATGGTTAATTTAATAAAAGAAGTTGAATCATTTGAATTTTCTTAAGGACGGATCTGTAATAATGATTTTTATTGATTTTTGTGAATGTTAATTCAAATTCATTTGGTTTATTAAAGGAATTTTCATGAAAAAGTTGAGTAAACTTAATTTTAACATAAAAAAATAATTAAAACCTCTTTAAGTACATTTTGTACTTGTACTTGTACAATTTAACGTTAAAACGTTGGTATTAAAATGAATTAATTATTTTTCTGTTCTTTTGCAATCTTCATCTACTGTGGCTGTCCAGCCAATGTATAGAATTAATTTTATTTTATTCTGTGGCTTTTTGTCTTCTTTTAGAGGCCTCGGTCGGTGCGGTTATTCGGCCCGAAATTTCGCAGGAGCCCACTCGAAAAATCAAACACTCCCGACTAAACGAAATTATCGAGTAGGGTGAAAACAATTACGCGGTTTTACTCGAATCGATCGAAAGGCGAAAAAAAAATGAAAGAAAAAAACGAGAGGATTATAGTACAAAAACCGCTTAATTGTGGTACACCTAGGAAACGAATCCTGCGGCATCAAAGCAGGCCTCGTCGCGGTTTAATCAAAGGGCCTTAGAAGTTCTGCTTTTAATGTCGGATTTAAGCAGATTTCTGCTATCTTTAATCAGACCACGGGGTTTTCTAATTTACGTTTTTTGTGGTTGATTTTATTGTTAGAAACGTTTAGAATCGGATTAATTGTAACCAGCATTATACACGAATGCATTCGAGATAAACCATATTCCATCTCGTTAGGCAATGTTCTAAATAATTCTGAAGCATTTTAAATGGTTCATAACCGTTCTAAATAGTTCTAGACAGTTTTAAATGATTCAAGACAGTTCTAGAATACTCTGGAGCGTTCTAAATGATTCTAAACAGTTTTTGAAGATTCTGAAGCGTTCTGGATTGATCTAGACAGTTATAAATGATTTTGGAGCGATCTAAATACACATACTCAAAAATGTTTTGCATATTATATAGTTGAAAGACTTTCAACAACGCGTCGTTAAATTCCCCTAGTCAAATGGGAGAAATAACATTTACACTAGGGAAATGTTGAACTGCTTGGAAATTACTAAAAATGACGTCATTGCCTAAACGAGATGGAATATGGTTAAAGCGGGTATTTTAATCGAGTAAATTACATATTACAGCACTCGATTTTGATCTAATTATATTACATTTTTTTGTCCCGATGCGAGAAATTATGACGCGCGTTTATCTTTATTTTCGAATAACTGGAAAATGGAACGAACTTTTGTTGCCATTTTGCGCCTCTATTGTTCGATGTTCCACAGCGAAAAGTTTTATCATTTCAGACACGGGACGAGTTTATGAAATAACGGAAAATTCGCCTGGAATTTGTATAATGTTTAACTCCGCGCACGGAATTGTAAATTGTAAGAATTGTAAGAATTGTAATTGCATTATTGATATCTAATAACGTATGCAAAAATTATTTCTAGAAGTGTCTATTCATTAGCCAATTATTCTAGAATTCATTAGCCGAAAAATGAAAATGTCCGAGCTGGAAAGTTCCCCGACAAAAAAATGGAATCCATTTATTTCCCTCGTAAAATTATCGGCGAATCAGCCGAGCGAATTTCCGTAAAATTCTCCAACTTTCCTTTTACAAGAAACTTACTAACTTTTAAATACAGTCTCCAGAATCCTTTTAAATTTAAACCATCGCATCGCCCGTGGAATTATACCTACCGGGGGCGATCGGTAACTCCCCTAATACTTCGACATTGACAAATCCGAATAAAATTCCATTATTTCAACAGTTATCCCTTCAGAATTGCGCGTAAAAAGATAAACACAATAAGCGGCCTCGTTAATTATCAAAAAAAAAAAAAACAAAAACAAAATAAAAAATAGCGGCTTTTTGTCGTTTCGAAAGCGAATCGCGGTAGCCCGGTTTAAAAAATGACAAATGAACGTCGCAAAAACGGCGATAAATCACGGCCAACTTTTAGAGCCGGCGCGAGAGCGGGGAACAATCAATCATGTTAGAACCGGGACGAATAATTCCCTTTCGCAATTTGTTTCTCTGTACTAGGTATATCAACCAATTAATTTAGAAAATCGAAAATAGAGTAAGAGCCAATTTAAGAATGTAACAGCCTTATTCAAAGTCGTATTTAGTGGCTACTAATACACTACTAACATCCCACTAAAAAAAATCGTATTCATAGTTCCATTTAGTGGCTACTAAGATGTTATTTTTATTAGTATAGCCTTTTATATAGCGTGTATAGTATAGCGTTAGTATAGCCTATATACCTTTTCTGTCTTTTTACTGTGTTTTTACTACTCTTTTGCAAAGTATAATAAGGCTGTAAGAGTTTAAAACGCACAGTTGATGTATCTAGCTATTTGAATCGGTCTGTAGATTAGTGTGGAAAATCCAGTTAGATTAACAAAGAGAGGATTCTTATTTAAAAATCGCGCAGTTGATGTATCCAGCTATTCGAATCGGTCTGTAGATTAGTGCGAAAAATCCGGTTCGAATAACAAGTAATAAACAGTTTATATTCTCATAATGTCAACACTCGATTCACACCTCATAAATTTCTATATCAACGCCATCAAAAAGCCGAAAATCAAAATCGAAATTAACGAGATATCCGTTCCGAATGACCTGCTGCTCCCGAAATTCCCCAATTTCCATGTCAACACGACATTGTATACAGCTCTACCTTGTGCATACAAGCACATGCAAATCGTGTTTAACTAGCCAACTCGACCGTCCCCGACGTTTCGGCCATTGTAAAATCCACCATCATCGGCTCGGTTTGGGCTAATGACCGCACGAATCCGGTTATATCGATGACACGCGGAATCGCAGTCGATTCGAATTTGCCCCGTTTGTTTTTTCTGGTTAAATAGAGATAAACCTGCAGGGGATGTTATCGTTGTATCGTCGATTGGATGGAAATTCTATTAGCATAATTTTTGGTACTCATTTTTGTAGTTTTTTGTATACAAATGCTACAAAGAAAAAACCAAAAAAAATTTGAAATTTCAACACCCTGTAAATCGATAACGAAGCGTTTGTGGACCCACATTTATATGAACTTTTAGTCATAAAATAAGCCAAGGAATCACCCCCTTTCGGATGTACATGATGTTTAGGAACACTCTGTATAGTAAAATATCATTATTTTTTCATGCAAAATCATCCTATGAAGTTATCGCACTTATTAATTTACACCCTGTATAGGTTGTGGAAAAACACGTTTTTAGTGCCATTTTGACACTTAAGATGCAATTCTCTGAATTCGAAACGTCGATTTTTAGTTCGGGCGTATCCGTTTACATCAGTTCTGCTACTTTTCCTCATCAAAAATACCGAATTTCGGCCAAAAACAAAAAAAAAATTCACCAATCAACGAATCAGTCAATGACCCTCCCAGCTTTATTATACGAGGGAAACTTACACACTCGCGGAGTTCATAAACAATTTGACAAATTGCCACTCCACTTATCAGTTCCTCAACCGCATATAAAATATCATTTCTCCGGAGATTAAGACGGACATGAATGTAAATCTGCGTTTGTTGTCGGGGAAAATGCTATAAGCAATTTATCCAGACTGGATATAAATTTTCCGACCCCCCGGGTTTCGGGGCGGAGCACCCCAGACTCTCTATTGATGATCCATAAAAGATATGGCAAAGTCTTATTTTCGATGGGGGGCTGGTCGAGTTGGTAACTTCGAGCAGACAGAATAACAACTTTGATTTATATTTTATTAGGGTAGTTTTTATAGTTACAAATAGGGTGACTACAAGTCGAGTTTTTAATAGAATTGATGGGTTGTTATTTGTTACGAATGAGAAATAAATAAACTTAGTAGGGGAGAGTGGGGATAGTTGTTAGAAAATTAACAATTCTTTTTTTTTTATAATAACTATCAACTGAATCAGGGTCAAAAATTGAGATAATAAAGCGCAGTATTTTTCCTCTACATTCCTAAATTATTTATTTCAAAGATTTTGTTTTTTTGGAGAATTTTAATATGAGTTTTTCTCAACTAAATGGTTGTTTAATATAATGAATAATAATAATAATATTATAATAATATATAATAATAAGGAATTGTTTAATACAAATAAAGCTTATTAAAATTTAAAATTCGACATTTTATTGAGAAAAGTGCTTATAGTGCTGCATATATGGCACACTTACTCTGACAACTTGCCCCACTCTCCCCTATATCTAGTTTAAAATAAATTGTGAATATTAATTAAGAGTATATGAGATTGGTTTTTCTAGTTTAATTAAATGGCATTTTTTTGGCGGTTAAATCCGGACGAATTTCCATATTTCCCGTTTAATCTCTTTACCAGCAAAGTGTATCCTCTTGTTGACTTTCCTCTCTCCGGAGCGGCTTTTCCGCCGGAAAAATATTAATCCTCGCGGCTGAAAAAACACGGTATCATATTTATTTTCAATTAACGGCGATCGAATACATAACTCTATTTTCATTTTCCGAGTTAATATTTATTCGTTACGTTCGATTGGAATAGCGTTGTATACACAGAGAGAGAGAGACTTTTTGTTGTGTTATCATTTAATCGAAATAGAACAAACTTAAAATTTTCAGCGAAAAATATCAAACGCGGTTTTCGACCGCAATTTTCCCCACGGAAAAAGAAAAGCTCCAGAACGACCCCGCGCGTTTCGTTTTATTTCAGTTGCCATTCATCGAAATAATTGCGGGTTCGGAAAAATGGCGGGTTACAAATGAAAACGAGGCCGGAGCATTAGAGGAAAACCGGCGAAAAAAACACTAACGAGAAACGTCCGGATTTCCCGCTACCTGTTCGCGATCTTTTCCCAAATAAATTACGCCCGGAAAGCGACGAGACAAAAGCCGAGTCGCGGGGAGTCCCCGGTCATTTGTCGCCCGCCACCTTTAATTTCGATTCGAGTTATTTACGTCGACAAGTGCTCGGGTTTCGGGGTAAAAATTTAGTTAATTAAGTGTATAAATTACATTAGTTTCCTATATACAGATACTTTTAACTCGACATGGGACGCCCTGTATATGATTCCGTTTGTCGTTCCAGGGCCGTTCGTGATAGTATGGAAAAGGGGCACCACCCTCGTCAGCGCGGGCCAGCAATTGATCAGCATGGATCCGAGGATATCCCTGATCGGATACAATTTACAGCTAAAGGACATCAGGCACGCGGATCAAGGAGATTACACTTGCCAGATCGGCGATGGTTCCCAGGGGGATCTCATCCACACCATCGAGATATTGAGTAAGTGATTTACTTTGTAATTTATTTTAGAAATCTTGCGATCCAAGCGAAATAATGCGTTATAAATTAAATATTGGTGTGTAAGTGGGACTTTAAGGTGCGTTCGATGATACTTTAACGTCAAAATTGAACAAAATTGACTTTTGACATTTATGACAGATGTTTAATAGAGGTGGGAATGGGTTTGTTTGGTATAGAGCTGCTGTAACGACTGTTATAAAATAACCGTTATTTCAAAAAAAAATCGTTCTTACTCTATTCTACCTTACGAAAAAAAAAATTAAAATAGCAAAAAATCTCCTACCTGCAGTGGAGCATCTGTTCTCCCGTTCCTCTCTTTGGGTGAATCGAGATTTAAAGGAAATACCCGGCTCAGTTCCCGTTCCACTTGAAACCCAATCGGGATATATCGAGCGACTGATTAAAATTTCAATCGGATCGGCTCGTTCACGCTGAGCAGGATCTGCAGGAGGAATTAGATGGAGTACGTACACGGCAAATGGCCGATGGCAGGATCACTTCAATTCTTCTCTGCGACATAACTTGTTATATAAATCTAATTTCCTGCAAAGGATCTCTAGCTTATTGCTTATTTGTTCTGTCAATAAAATTGCTTCCTGAGAGTGCAGGAATCTAGAAAACTCCACAGATAAAAGAACAACTATCTACACATTATTCTATCATAACAAGACTCTAAAATAGAAGGTTTAGATCTACAGCAGGAGTCCCGTTCGCTGCGCGAGCTCGACATACGACGAAATGAAGTTAGAATTGAATTCCCGAATTATTGCTCTAATAATGGCAGTTCTAAAAAGACTCCATAGATGATTATTCTTAGGTAGAAAGTTGGGGAAGTAAGTACGAAGGGGCCCCCGAGTGCAGTTTGAAATGATCGTTAATAATTAGAGCGGGATGTTCTAAGTGAAAAAGCTTATAAGCCGCGGCAGGAGAGCCAGGATTAGAGCTGCTGCGACTCGCCAGAACCGGATGAGTTCGAGCGAAATTAGCTAATATAGGGCCCGGTTCGTTTTGTTAGACGAGAATATGTAGAACTTTACGAGGCCCCGGGGTGGACTTTTCGCTACAAAGTGCCACACGAGCTCGGTTTTACGGACTTTCCGCGGCAATTTTCCCGGCGGGAAAAATTGTTAAATGCTCCAGAAATATGCGCGGGTATCGAAATAATAGTTTCGCGATTATTATCGCGATGAACGTTGTTTTAAAACGGGGATAATGCAGTTTATTTTCGGGGGTTTGAAACGCCTCTTTTTATTTACTAAATGAAAAGTGGGATATTTTTTCTTCTGGTTCTTTGTACATTTTATTTTGTATTTATTACACATTTAGCCACCATTACAAACAAGATACTTCACATACAGGGTGTCCCAATAGTGCGGTAAAGCTCATACTGAATCATTTTTCATAACATTTCCCTATACCTAACTGTCACCGTTTCTGAAATATTTTCAGTTTCATTAAAAAATGTCCAGTTTTCGATATTACTCGTATACAGGTTGTTGCTAAACATAGTTTTGAAGATATTAATCTTATTCTTAAATAATCTGTTTTTACAAGTTGGTCATGTAAATTCTTCTTGAATAATTGATTGTTAATTGTGGCCCCCGAGCGTTCAGCGAGTCCTTTTGTATAAGCTCAAAATGAACACCATGTATAACAATTAACTTTAAAGGATAAATACAAATGAATCAATTTCGTATAGCGAAGATTCCTGAAGAAATAAAATAAACCTCCGACTATTTTACATTAATTCCATTACGATCGTTCGAATTTCCCGAGCTCAAAGCTCTCGAATTATCTAATTCCTCGAAGTCTCCCGGACGGGGAAAATCACACTGACAGCGAATAGAAACCGTAAATTTCCCCGATAGCAGAGTAATCGTCCTGGAACTGTTACGGAACGCCGCTCTACCGGGGATTTCCCCCCGCACATCCTGCCCTTGATCCTGCTGCTCCTGGCGACCTCTAATTACCCGATCTTTGTCTATTACCCGGTTTGCTGATTGCCCATTTCGAACTCCGAGTCCCATTGTTGTTGTTGTTGTTGTACAATCTGTTGTAGGTATCTTCATTGCAAGTATATACATTTAGTGATTGAGAATCCTGCAACGAATTCTTCTCCTGATGCGATAAATATAACATCTGTTGATTTTGGGCGGGTAATTTCAAGGCGAAATCAAGCGAACACTCTTGAGGTTATGTCCTTCTCGTTAATCTAATACTCGCTGTAAAATAACAAACCCTTCGGGGAGGCTTTCAGATTATCCTGCGGTCACCCCTGCTTATTCCGAGAGCCTCCCCCCGGGGGATTCCCCGATGCTTCGGTGTTATTATAATGACTGATCAATATGCGGAGAGGGATTGTGCAAGTGTTGACAACTTGATTAGATACGGGCTTGTTTTATTTAGTTTTAATATACAGGGTGGTCCTGAAAATCTCTTAATAACTCATCCAGCTTTTGGGTAGTGGAGGATTTGTACCACTTTCCTTTAGTAGATTTTATTTCACGGGTAATAAACTCGAAGACCGTGACTTTTCGCAAACGGAATCAGAAACCTTTTTTTTCGCCCGTTATATTCTCCCTTTTCAATTTCGCAGGGAGAAATGTAAAGAGCAATAAAAAAAATGTATTGTTTTCGCCGGATAAAATCGACCCCAGCCCTTTTCCAATTCGTTTCGAGCATTTAGCAACACTGTAAATATACGAGGTAACACCAAAGTGGTCTTTTACCAATCAGGTTTTGAGCCATCCTAAGTTTTCTGTACAAACAATCACATTTTATTCTCCTATTAATAAATCGATCCCTATTAATATATCGCGGGTAATTAATACATTGCATTTGCAGTTTTCCACCGGTGTATGCAGCGCCATTATTGACATTTACACAGCTAATTTATATCCCGGCGAAATGCTGCATTTGAAGTTTTGATCGATACTCGATTAAAACTTTGTTTCTGTCATTCAAAGCAAACGTAAAGCTTGCGGGGAAATTCTAGATAATTACGGTCGATTTCGAATTTATTAGCGCACTCGACGAGTAATTAGCTTACGTAAACTTTACCCCGGATAATATTTGTGCGAATATCGCAAGTAATATTTCGAAACTTAATGAAGGGCTTTGCTCGGGTGTATTTTTCGCAATTAATAAGCTCGAAAAAGTTTGCCGTGGAGGTGGAGAATTTTTATTTCGAGTTAATTGGGTTTCCTGCGAAAAAAATTCCTGCGGAATTCGGGTTTTTTTTTGTACCTATTTGGCAACTGTAAGTTCTGTACAATTGATGGATAAATAATGATGGTTTTGCTCGAGAAGTGGAGGAGATTTAAGTGTTTTATAGAGTTGCCTAATTAGGTATTAGGAAAAAATATATGTACAGGGTATTTCTGAAATAAGTGCTGAAACTTTGGGAATTAAGGAACACCCTGTATATATCTCTCTTTAAGCCCTTGACGCGAATATATCATCAAAGTTCCATTTCTCTTTAATTCGTTTTCTATTTAGTTTCGCGGGAAATATCGATCGGCGGTAATTTCATTCGGCCAAATAGCCTAGATTGGCTGCTCGAGCACTTCGCGATTTCTCGCGCAAAATGCAAATGCAAACGTAAAACGTAAATACCGTGCTCGAATGAAAGATGAAATTGCTTCGAAAACCGCCCCCGGTGAGATGCGAATCATTCGAACGCGGACCGAATCGAAACTAACTCCCTTTGGTCGCGAGTAAAGGGTAAATATTGTTTCGGATCGCCATCGCGAACGTTCCGGGGAATTACCACGAAAGCCGACGACCTACAAGTGTTTATTTATTAAAAATATTTACTCGTGTTATTGAATTTTTTGCATTGCGAGCGAGTAAGTGAGACTTTAAGGTGCGTTCGATGGTACATTAATGTCAAAATTGAACAAATTTGACATTTGAAGTGACAGAAGTTTAATAGAGGTGGGAATCGATTGTTCGGTATAGAGGTGCGGTGACGGCCGTTACAAAATAACAGTTATTTTTTTGGAAAAATCGAAATTGATATACAAATTTTGAGATTCTCATTTAGGTACAGTTATTATTTCGATTTCTACAATTTCGACGAATATTCTTTGAACTTTTAACGCGATGAATATAAGTGGGAGTTTGTGCGAAAATGGCGGCCTGGTTAGACGGCGTATACGTTGGAAATTAAGCCCTCAAAGGGAAAGAAAAGCTGCCGAAAGCAGTCCCATTTACATTTCAAATTTAATTTCCGCTAACCAGTACAAAGGGAATAAGCGCAAAGGTTATACCGCCGAAGAGAAGAACTTAAATTGCCTTTGATGGCGCCCAGCTCGGAGTTCTTCCTCTTTTGAAACCGATATGACGTTGTCGAGGTATGAGAAAAAAAATTTTTTTGTTCATAAAAAGATTAATTAGATACAATTTTAAGTTAATATCAAAGACGTTACAACTAAGAGACTGATTGTTTCTATGATAAATCCCATATATTTGGGGACTGTGGATTGTTTTTAATTTCTAATGAGTGGGAGAGAGAAAGACATTTATGACAAACAATTATGACCAACTGGCAACGTTGTAATCAAAGTGTCTTTATGATCGCCAGTGGCGTAAAGTTTGGAACCTAAACAGCGTTGAAACGAAATAAATCATTTTCATATTTTTAAGGCTCATTTTAACGTTAATTTTTCTTCAAGTTTTTTACTTTTAAGCAGCTACTACAAGTTATTCAATAACTGTATAACTCAATGTAATGATTTACCACAAAAAAATGTAAACAATTTGGTCTCTTTAATTTTAGTTATACTGTCTGTTATTCTGTTTCTACTCTGAATCTACTCCGAACTTGCTCTGAAATTTAAGTGTAAAATACAAGTCGCAGCCTTTTTACACACGGATCGAGCTCCCTCTTCAATTAGCGCCAGCAATGAGAACGTGCGAATTAAAAAAACCAACCCTGTGGAACTTTCCCTAAAAAGAAAAAAAAAACAACGCCATTTCCCAGCTGATGCGAAAACGAAAAAGGGTCGAAACTGGAAGGGTTGTCGCCGAATAATGACGTAATTTAAATTCTGAACTCGGTTAACAATCGCGGAAACTCGTCATATTTGAAGTTCGTCCGCTTGTAAAATTGTTTCCCGGCTCGAAACGCGCCGAACACGCGTTGAAATATGCACCTCTAGCGTATGTGATAAGTTAAAAAATTTAACGCCGGGATTGTTTAATTCGAGCATTTGAAGATGTAATTTTAATGAATTTCTTTGGGAAATGCGCGCTTATTAAAAGATAGACAAGGAACAATTTCCAAAGTTATCTACAGACCGTCAGGTATATCTGAGGACGCGTACTCTCGTGTCTCCGGCTATTTCTATTGTTCCGTATAAAAAATGAAAATCGCAAATTTCCTGCAGTAGCAAAAGGAAAATCACTGCATTCCCTATACAGGGTGTCTGATAAGTTGATACTTTTGTTTAACTGCATGTAGACCTTTTAATTCATAAGCAACTTTTTCAAGAAAATTTTTTAATATTCTGGAAAATAAAAAAATGTAAATTTTGAAGATTTTCCAATACGTACCTGCCATTACCATACAGGTGTCAAAAAAATAATAAATAATTAATGACCATCAATCAAAATGGCGACAATTTTGAGCAGTTCCTTTAACTTTTAATGAACAGGGCCGTGTTAACCAACTTTTTATAATTAAAAATTGAAAAAAAAAACATGCTCTCTTATTTTCCAGAAAAAGTTGCTTAAAATTAAATGCGCATAGAATAGTTAGGATTCATTTTATCACCAAATTGGGCAAACCAGGTGTAGGTAATAAACCACAAAAATTTTATTTTGTTCCAATGTATAACTTGGAAATAAAACGTAAAAATAAGTTTTGAATTTTCAACTTTAAAAGCCTCTAGCTCAAAAATGGTGGCTCAAATTAACAAAATTTATATGAAGTTGTACCCTTATTTTGATGTCATCTATACGCTCCCGAATTATTGACATCTATTTTCTGGACACCCTGTATAATTATCATTTTTTTAGTTATGTAATAATGCAGTAGATCAAGCATAGTAAAATTTGTTTGTTGCGCTAGCAGGAATATAACAACGCGTCTATAACTGTATATACGAGGCTTTATTTATTATTTATTAACCGGCTAGGCAGGGCGAATGAACAACAACATGGCGCAACTCTAGCGCAAACACTTTGCTCCGCTGTTTCCCATGTTAATTCCGGCATAATTAAATAGCCCTACCGCTTGGCTTTTAATTGATTCGCTTCAATTAATTTAACCGAATATTCGGACCGGGTTTATATTTAGAGTGTATGCAACTAGAATAGAGCACGTTCGGAGCAGATTTAGAGTAGATACAGAACAGATTCTTCGTAGATTCGGTGTAGGTTTTGAGCAGATTTTGAGTAGATTTTCGAGCACATTCGCAATTTATACAAGATATAACTCCGGTTTTTGTAGACTAATAAATTTCATCGGCAATTTCGGGGAACTCCGTAATTACGGAACGTAAATTTTATTACGTATATTCATTCAACATGGCGCGACACTCGATCCGTTTTAATTAAACTCATCTTATTAACGTTCTGGGGAAATTCAAACGGCCCTCGTCGTCATCCGAGAGCATCAGCGATTCCAACAAACCGCATTTATTACTATACTTCGTATATACTTGACTGAAATATCATACGGTAAAAGACCACCGAAATTTCAGTGAAATAATGCGGAAAGTTGGCGTGGCAATCGAGCGGTTTTGTGTCATTTATATTTACGAGTCCTCTGAATCTGCTCTAAATCCATTCTGAATCAACTCTAGATCTACTCAGCATCTATTCTGAATTTGCCGTGCATCTGCTCTCTATCTCTTCTGAATCTACTCTGAACCTATTCAAGAGTTTACTCAGAAACATTTCTGTATCTATTCTGCGAATCCACTCTGAATCAAATCTAAATCCACTTAAATCTACTCTAAATCAGCTCTGTATCTCCTCTGAATTTACTCTAAATCTACTCGCAAAGTATTATGTTCTGTATCTATTTTAAATCAACTCCAAATCCACTCTGAATTAATTCTAAATCCACTTAAATCTACTCTAAATCTGTTCTATATCTACTCTGAATGTACCTACTACTTTGAAACTACTCTGAATCTACTATTCCAAATTTATCCTGTATCTGCTCTATTTCTCCTCTGAATTTACTCTGAATACAACTCTCTATCTACACTGAATCAACTCTAAATCTACTCGCAAAGTATTATGTTCTGTATCTGTTCTAAATCAACTCCAAATTCACTCTGAATCAACTCTAAATCAAAATATATTGCAAACGCCAAACGATAAAGAAAAATTTTATAACAGAAAAGCTCTAATAAAATGAGTTAAGATCCATGAAATGCTCTCACAATCAGTTGTAGAGATTCTACCTGCGGAATGCCTCCTGCGATAATTAAAACCGCCATTTTTCTCTTGTTCTAATTCTCCCTTCTTGCCCGAAAACAAAACGGTTCTAATAATTAGAGAATCCCCCGCGTGCGGAAAGTTGACGAGTTAGGTACATGTGCATATTATGCAACTGTGCAACGACGGTTTAATTAAATCCGTACGTACCGTTGGTTGCAGACAAACGCCCGACTGCATATTGCATATATTCCTGCCATTGTGTCTCGTTGATTTTCAATTGTGTTTTTCTTATCTGGCTCGTTTTTGACTCGCTATACGCGTTATATTTACCCGCCATTGGCGTTACTCTAATTTGTATCATTTTCATTCCCTTTTGAAAATATTTAAGACCGCCTCTGATGTCAAAGTCTAAATCTGATGTCAAAGTTATTCGATGATTTATATAAATTTCTGTTGAGATATCCGCCATGTTGATTATTCGATTTAGCGGCATCACGTCAACTGTCAATTCGATTCTTCTCCCTCAGAGACTGCACGAAACGGGGTATACAGCTACTACTACAAATTTTTAATTTTGCGTTACAAAAAAAATAGCGACTCCTTGCTAAATAAACATCAGCGATTATACAGGGTTTATTGTACGAGTAGTATTCATCACCACGTCCACATTCGGGCCGAAATATCTACAACAAACATAGATTTTCGAGCCGTTTTGCGATATTCGTGAGCTGAATACCAATTCGAGGAGAGGCCGATTCTTTCCATTAACGTTTCCAGTTTGTTATTCGTTAATTAATTCGCGCTGGAACTGATGATGCCGATGCAAAAATTCAACACCATAATCTCTGCATAAATTAATGATGTATACAGGGTGTTTTGATAAACCTACTGCATATTTGTTTAATGTAGATACGATTATTTTAGTGTATAAACTAGAAAAAGAGGGAAGCAATTTTCTGGAAATCCCTCGATTTCCAATGGAATTTCCAACGTGTATAAGAATCATTGTGTTGCGGAACATATTCGTTTGTATACGCCAGAATTTCAGCCTATTCTTATCCCTGTAGCTTTGTTTCGTAGATATTTCTGGTTTATTCTGGGATATTTCGTCCAGGCAAGCAGGACGTGTCCATTTAAAATGCCTTTTTGATGTCGCTAATGCATTTTGCGGGCCCGCCATTTTGATCGCGTTACGCCATATCCTTTGAATAACCCAAATGAATCGAATTATACCCCAAATAGGTTTAGTAGGGATATCGAATGTTGGGTTTTTTTATAGCTATAAAATAGGATTATGTTTGGTATAATTCCATTTTATATCCTGAATTAATTTTGTATATGCATCTAACTAATTAAAATTTTTCCCTATGTATATAAAACTGTAATGGTCACTCACTCACTCACTGATTGGAGATTTTTTTACGGCAGCAATTCGTCTTTTTCGACCGAGAAAATATCTTTTAAACCGTATGATTTAGGAACATTTTCCATTCTTTCAAAAAAATATAAAATACTCTTGTCCATCTAATAAAACATACCGGGTGTTTTTCCGATCTGTATTTTTTGAGTTTTTTCGAAAAAAACCGTTTTTAAATTTTCTTCAAGTTTGTGTCGCCAAAATTCGGAAACTATCATCTTTTAGAAAATTTTGAAAGCGATAATTTATAGATACGACATTTTTCTATCTACCAAATTTTTTTCCCATTTTTTAAAATATTATTTTTCGAATTGTAAAGATTTTTCGAAATCGATGCATATTTTACGGCTGCCGTCAAACCGGAAGTGAAAACTTTCAGATCGACGATGACGTACGATCATTCCCGAATAAAAGACGAAGTGGATGACATTTGAGTTTCTATGGATATATTGACATTTAATTTGATGTACAGGGTGTTTTTTCATTAAGGAAATCGCAAAAATTGATATACGGAGCGTTTTTATTTACTTTTAAGTGAAAAATTCAGCAGCCCCCCTGTATACTAAAGTAAGTTTAAATTTTACACTTGTAAATTTTTATTGTACAATTGTGAAGCGACCGTTTGGTGTTTAGCGTACTTTAACCGGAATCGCGAGAGGACGATTAAACTTTTATTTTCCAAGGAAAGTTTCGCGTTGTTGGAGGATATTTTGATGCGACTCCTGGCCGTAAAAGGCGGATAAATGTCCTCCATTATCGGCGCTCGCTAAACGGAATTAAAGGGAAAACTCTTCTAATAAATGAGAATTTTATTATAGAATAAAATTTTGTGTATTTTACTCATTGATACATTGGAGAGGTGTGTGCTTGAATTAATTTAATCTTCCAAATGCATTTTAAGTGTGAGTTACCTGGTAATTCCCCCAAATATTTTTTACATAAATAAAATAATCGCGGAAGCAGGTACATATTTTTTTAATTTCTCCACCGAACCAAAAAATAAAACGAAAAGAAAAGAGAATAAAAAAAATGGAGCAATCGCGGTGGAAAAATTGAACATGACAAAATCCAGCGAGAGCAAAGTTTAACGTTCGTTGTTCGGGCGTTGTTTCGCTCTCCTTCTAACCATCATATGAATATTTATACGGCCTTTTGCTTGATTGCAAGTTTAAAATGCAAAATAGGCAATTTGCATTCATTACGGGCCAAGTTTTCGCCCAGCCTGACGTTTCGGTTGGGCTCTCTCTCTCCCCCAACCACCAGCGGCGTCCCGTTTTATCTTTATCGTTTCATATAACACTAATATTTGCACAAATCATGGCCAATTTTCGAAAAAATAACAAGCTCGTAAAGTGAGCGAGGCCCTTTCTTTAACTTGATATTGTATGGATTTTGCATCTTGAAATTTAAAGAATGTTATATTATCCCCTTTGCGAACTTTTAATTTTCAATTTCTTCTTCTTTTTTCTAATTTACTAGCCTCAACTACTAAAGGCTATTCAGCCGAATAATCAAGAAATAAGAATTTTTTGCTTAGTTATCTTTTCACATGTTAGAAGTGAGACAATTTGAGCTCGAAATAATTCAAATTCAGAAGTTTTCTCGGAAATTTCTCTTTGTACTCTTTTAAGAGTCAATTGTACACTATTTTTTTACTCGCACTGTTAAATATATTTCATATTTGATAGCAAGCAATTTGATAATTAATTATAGTGATCCCCTGAATACGTCCGACGTTTAGAAAAATGAAACAGGTTCCTCTAATTTTCAATTTGTTCTTGTAATTTTGCAATTTGACAATTTTAGAAAATTCTCAGAATTTGTAAACTCTATAAAAATCTATAAAAGTTCTATCTAATAGCTAAGAGGCTATAATTTTTCAATTTTTCAATCAAGTTTTTACTCTATTTAGGTAATGAATAACAGTAATTTGATGAGTGATGAGTGAAATTTTCGTTGCGGATTCGCTTGTGATATAAGTTAGAGGTTTTTGACGAGAATCGAGTTATAACATGTGGAAAATCGGGGAAAGCCGAAAACCGCCATTTCCACCGCTTGCTTGTCTCGATTCTGTTAGAGAGCGGTTTATGTTATAGAAATAAGACAGTGGCGGAGGATGGACCATTTTTTGTAAAGGGCTATAAATTTTCTAAGCATCAATAATTTAGAAATTTGAAGGAATAACATTTTAAGGTGGATTTTCTTCTACAAATAGAATAAAGAAAAATAATCTAAACACAGCATTAAGAAATTAACGAATCACGCAACGATTTTAGTATAATAGAAAAATTAAATTTCCTCACAAAAATTCCCAATAGAGCATATTCTGAAAACGTCAACCGTTGATGTAATAAATCAATTCGGAAAATTCTCGCGGGCGAATACGCGCAAATAAAACATACCTAGACGTCTCTAAAATGAATATTCCACTTTAGAAACGTTTCCGAATGCGAAATATGAACACACACAGAGGAGAGCTATAGAGTTCCTTTTCCACCGAATCGAATATAAGCCCTTTTATGCGCTTCAAACGGGAACTTTTCGGCTCGAAAGCGACGAGAAAATTCACTCGAAATAAAACATTTTACCAAGAATTTGTACCTGCGAGGTTTTCGTACAATTAATTTCGATAATTTCGCTGCGGGTGAGATTACGTTTCCGTTTAAAAGCTCGCCTCTTATCGCTGTAATATAAAAATTATTACCCTATATACTCGACTTGTATCATGTCGATATTAGAGCGCGGCAGGAATATAGCAGGAAGGATTTAACGACCCTCTCTAACCCCCATCCTGGGATGGTTTTAATCCGTTTTTAATTCGTTCTCCTGCTGATACGCGTCGCCGTCATGTCGCCTGTTCGTTTCAATTCCGAATGATTAATGAACGTTGTTTTTATATTGTGTTGTCAGGAATTTTAAATGTGAAGCTTATTTAAACACCCTGTAGAGCATCTATAGTTCGTTCACTAAAACGCGGGTTTCGGATTATATGATTAGATATTTATTGTTAATGATTCTAAATGGATCTTCCAGAATTCAGGTCAATTGCACTCAAATGGATGATTAATAATGTGGGGAAACATTTATTAACTGTAAGTATCGGTAAAACTTGTGTAAGTGGCGCCCTCTTTAAACGATGCTAAAAATGTAATACCCATCTTATTTGTCACCTAAAAAACCATAACTGCACAAATTTTCAAGATCCTATCTTATATAATTTTAGAGCAATGGCAAAAAAACGATTTAAAATTTAAACTTTCATAAATATCCTCTCTTTTAAATTCACATTAGCCAAATTTTATGGATTAGGACTTCTTGTAATCTTTAGGAATCGGATATACGATATAGACAGTATAACACAACACTTTTTCCACCACCGATTACATTTAAAATCATTCGACCGCACTTGATGAATCCGATTACATAGGGCATATAATAATAATCGAGCGATATAACATTGAAGATATTCTTTTGTGGAAACCATCCGAACCGTCCCTAATCGGTTTTCTTTGATAGCGAAACGCAAAGGGGGTAGTTTATAAACAGATTTTCGCCGCTTCTGCGGCTTTAATTCATCATCAAAGCCGGTTGATCAGAGAGGAAGGAAAAGCCCCCGAGGGCCGGTTCTAATTGCTCGAGCGATATCATTCGCATCGGGGAAAAAGTTTCCTGGATATGGATCCATTATATACAGTATCCGGATTTATAAAGGGATATAATTCGAGATAAAGGAAGCTTTCCAAATTTATTGTTTTTTATATTATTTGTTTCTGGGATTCCCCTATACACTTTATACAAGATGTCCAGAAAATAGATGCTATTAATTCGGGAGTGTATAGATGACATCAAAATAAGGGTACAACTTCATATAAATTTTGTTAATTTGAGCACCCAATTTGAGTCATTTACTTGTTTCAGTGCCCCCCAGCATTCAAATACTGCCCCCCAACGGGCAGATAGTCACCAGGAAAGGCGGGCCCGTTTCGTTCGAGTGCAAAGCCAACGGAAATCCAACGCCTACTGTCCAATGGTCGAAGAAGGTAGTACAAAATTTTCAAAATCCAGATAATTTTTTTTTATATGTTTGAGTTGTTTTTCGCAGGACGGGCTGTTGCCTTCGGGCCACCAAGTGGAAACCGGTTATCTCCTGAATTTGAACGAGGTCCAACGGCAGGACGCGGGGACTTACCAATGTACGGCCTCTAACGGTATAGGCCAACCGATCACCGGTGAAATCAAACTGCACGTGCTGTGTAAGTTAGTCATTGTTCTTATGGAAATCCTTCTAACAAAATGTGGCTGTAATTGCAGATCCGCCTGAAGTTAGCGTCGTTAGAACGTGGGTGAATGCAGGAGAAGGAGGCGAGGCAAAATTGGACTGCGTTGTTCACGCTGATCCACCAGCAGAAGTAAGTTTTTATTATATGTTCAATTTATTGGTTTATAAATTTGGAAGAATCTGGTTCGAATCGAAAAAACGGATAAAATAAAAAACGTTTCGTCTGGTTTGTACATCATGAGGCGACAATTAATTAGTGTTTCGAAATTCGCGGAGTTTCGCGGGCGTTTCGATTAGCATAAAGGCGATATAGCGAAATGGAACGGGCTAATACAATTACGAATCTGGAGATTAAGCGTTCAAGAAAGATCTGGAAACGTTCGGGAAAGACGTCTCATTGCAATTTCCATTCCCATTTCGGATTTGTTTTAATCGTTCATCCCCTTGGAATTTAATCCGATTTGTCGCCTTAATTACGAACCGGTTTTAATACCCAGACGCACATTCTATCGTCTCGAGATGGATTTATTTCATTTTTTTCGCAGGTGATGTGGTATCAGGATTCGTTTCTCCTGCAGCCCACCGACCGCAGGATCATGACGAAAATGGGCAACGCGTATTCTTTGAATATCAAAAATGTCCAGTCTTCGGATTTCGGGAATTACAGCTGCTCAGTATCGAATTCTATTGGTAGAGATAAGAGGTACATGGAGTTATCGGGAAAACCGGGACCCGCCAAAATCACCAGCGGTCCTTACTCGAATCCCAGAGAGTACGATTTGCAGTGGACCGTGCAATCGGTGTTTCCCATCATCGAAGTCAGGATACTCTACAGGAAAATTATGGTAAGCATACTTTGAACCAGGAGAAAGATATTTGAAAATAACGGTTATTTTGTCACAGTTGTTACTGCACCTTTATAACAAAAATCGATTCCCACCTCTGTTAAACTTCTGTCAAAAATGTCATTAACGTCAAAATTGACATTAATTGAATTGATTATTGAACGCATCTCGCGCATTGAACGCAGGAAATCAAGTCCCTGTCGCTTTACACTAATATATGATAGGAATAAATGACAAGTGTTGTTTAATTTATTTTTTATGAAACGCAAACCTATCTACAATTGTAAAACAGACTTGTAATATTAGGCTAGTCACTTGTCACTAATAATCTACTCGTGTAATTTTACGAAACACAAACTTGTCAAATACTCCAGTCAAATTTAGACTACACTTGTCCGACAGGACTTGTCAGTTATATGAAACAGGCCCCAGTATACAAGAGTATTTCGAGTAAAATTTTCCCGGTTACAGTCGAACGCTTCGTACCACCATCCGGGCCATTGGCACGATCTCCTCGTGAAACCGGCCCAAATCTACGATCCCCAAACCGGCGAGAGGACGCAGCGCTTCCGCGTGACCGGCCTCCACCCGGACTCCGTCTACGAGTGCCTGTTGCAGGCCAAAAACCAGCACGGTTTCGGCGAATTGTCGGACCTCCATCAGTGGACCACCTCCACGAGGGGCCGGTACCTGGTGAGGAGCGGCTGCGCCCGCCCCTTTTTAGCTTTCAAAGCGTTCGTATTGTGGGTTGCATGGCGGGTCGTGTGAAGTGAACAGTGCAGATTGGAAAATTGAAGTAGAGATATTTTTTTATGGGGATGTTGTTCGATTTATTGCTCGAATAGTATCGGAATGTGTACGTATACAAAGTTACAAAGGATTTTATTATTATTGTGAAATAATGTATGTAAAAATCAAAAGTAAGAAAACGTTTTATTCAGTATCAAAAACCACATCAAAATGTAAATATACAGTACTTATTTAGTTACATAGGAAATGCAACGATTCACATTTGAAATATCCTGCTCGTGAATTTGTCTATTGTTCTATCGGTAAGTTAAATAACTGGATTATTATTAAGTATGTTTCATATAGTCGGTGCAAAATAAATATCAATGTACGTCACCTATAATTTACTACGTCACAAGTAGGCAGTGTTGTCGAACTTTTATAAAATTTATTTCTGCTTTTTAACATGTTCTATCATCCCTTTTGTTAATTATAAATTAAATTCTGCAAGTATTAAGCTTAATCTATTTTGCGTATTTATTTTTAAAAGTTAGTCACAGTACTTGTCAAGTATGACGACAGTAGTGACGTGCATTCATATTAGTTTTGCACCGACTATATTAAAGAATCAATTTATTTTATTACCGAATCTTCTACACGAAAACTATACTTATGGATTGTTAACAAGTCTGAATACATTTGAAAATAACTCGTTTTGTTTAATAAAATTCGTAAGAATTTCATAGAGCTACAAATTCTACTCAACTTTTTTCCTTTTTACTACCATTATATTTACAAAATAAATTTTTTAAACTTTACCAACACTTTTATTTTCAACCCATTTCACCTTCCGTACGGATGCATCTGCGCAGCACTCTTGATATTCGTCTTGATCCCCGCCGGAGCTTTGTTCATGCTCATTGCCTGCGTAGTCGGAGGCATCTGGCCTGGTCCGGGCGGTCCTCCGGCCCTTCCCGGTGTCACCATCATACCGCCCGACGTGGGATTCGTCTGTCCATTCGGATTCGGTCCCATCTAGGCGTTTACATAACCACACTAATGAGACGACAAAAAAATAAGGAAGGATACTCTCACCTTAAGGCCTTTACCCATACCGACGGCGGCGACTAAAAGGTGCGTATCGGCCACGCTGGAATTCTGCTGGGTGTTGCCCCGCGACGAAGACTCCGATTCCCATTCTTCGCGGGCTTTGCTCACGATGTCCCAAACGTGCGAGATCACTTTCTGATACGTGGCGATTTGTTTCTACGAAATATTTCATATAGTATCGTACCAGAGAGTATATACAGGGTGTCTCAAAATTGACGCACGTTCTTTCGCATTATGATTAAGGATACCAAAATAAGTGTAAACGAGAGAATAACGACTAAGACAGTGACGTAGTACCTGCGCGTTATCGTACTGGAGTCCTAGGGCTTTGGTTTCTAATTGGAGCATTTTATTTTCGGCTACGGGTTCCAGTTTCGTTCGGAGATAGTCTGGGCACAAATCGTGCGCAAACGTGGTGACTCGGTGTTCGGTCAATTGGGCTAGTTGCTCGTCGCGTTCGGGGGACAGCATCAAAGGTAATACCGTAAGATTTCTGAGTACCGGGCACTTGTCATGGCTCAGCACCTTGGTTAAGGTGGTAAGCTGAAACCGATAAGAATTATGTGTTATTTATTATAAATATTACAAGTTTATAAGTATTAGATGTAATATGGAGATTGGGGGTGGTACCTGTCCTGATATTAAAGCGTAATTGTCTAGAAAGCTGGGCCAATTGATGGTTTCGTATTCGTTTTCAATTTTGAATATCATCGAGGCTATGGATTGTTTTAGATCGTTTACGCGTTGGATGATGGAATCTAAAGCGGATTCGAGTTGTTTTTCTTCTCTTTGTTGCATTTTAAATGAGTATTTAACGCGAAATTTACGTTTCTATTGTATCATAACACAGTTAACCTCGAAACGAGCTGTGCTATTTTTCTGTTTTGAAGAGTTATATTTCGTGTTTATGACCTAGCATTAATGCTTTTAGTTCTTGAGACTTAATCACAACGATATTAGTATACTGAACAAACAGAAATAGATTTAATAATGAAAAATAATATAATAAATAAACAAATTTGTCTACAGATATGACAGTTATGACATTGACACTTCTTCTTTTTTTCTCTGACGTTTGGTTTTGTCAAAAACCTGACGTCTTCCTCTAGATAATTTAGTTTCTAACTATCGAAGTTGGCTAAATATCTGAATAGTTCGAGAAGTAACTAGTGAAAAAAGAATATTAGTAGGGTTATAAAATACGTTGTGTGGTTGTCAAACTCAAGTATTCAAGAGGGTAAAATTTGATTTTACATTTTTCTCGCAATTTTAAACTAATTAACCAAACTACAAATTAATTAAATTCAAACATGTAACCATGAGTTCGGACGAGTCTTCAGAAACTCGCCAAAATAACGAGTTCGGAGCGTTGCAGGTAATTTTTTTAACAATATTTACATTTTTTTTTCTATTCTATTTAATTATTTTAGGCCATTTATTTTGATAACTTAAAAGATTTGCGCAAAAAAGCGGCGTGGAATAAATGGACACCGTTGGATTTTTCTATCACATTGGGGCCTCAACAGGGAAGCGCCGGAACTTCGGAATTTTACGTACAAGTGGATTTACACGTTATTTGCAATGAACATTACCCCTATAGGTATTAACATCGTTTAATATTATTAAATAAAACCCTCGATATAATTAACACAATCCTTCCAGTGTTCCCAAGATTTCCCTGGAAAACGGAAAAGGCTTATCGAATGCCCTTCTGGGCGAGCTTAAAGAAAGTTTAGATCGCAAAGCTGAAGAATTGAAAGGCGAAGAAATGATATTCCAGCTCAGTCAAATAACCCAAGAATTCCTGCACAAGCACAACAAACCGGCCTCGAAAAGTTTCTACGAGGAAATGCTGGAGCGACAGAAAGAAAAGGAATTGATGGAAACCCAGGCTAGAAAATTAGAATCGGACCGAAGAGTAGGCAATTAAAAATTTACTAGCACAAAAGCATTAACTCTTCTAATGTTATAGCGTCAGTACGTGAGAGAAGAAGTACAAAAAAGGGAAGAAATCCTGATATCGGAGGCCAAAAAGTTGAAAGAAATCAGACGAAATTCCGAAAACGAGGCGGAATTGGAAAATAGAAAAACCTCAATTTCCTCAAGGCAATACAAACAAACTTAAATTACAATGTTCATTAAACTAATTAATTTGCAGGAAACATCTCAATAGCTACACGGAAACCAGCGATGAATCGTTGTGCTCGCACAGGAGCAGTCTCGTAATACAGTTCGGTTTCAGAGAAATCCAAAGAGGACGATGCCTCAGTTAGTAAATAATTACTCTAATTAAACGATTAATTAATTCCGAATTAATTTCAGAACACTCGAGCTCCAATCGCACGACGTTCAGCGGTTTGGACACAGAAACCGGAGAATTCGTCCTAATCAGCGAATGGAGCTTTCCGTACGGAAACAAACAGGACCTGCAGCAGATCCAGAGGCAGCTCAACAGCATCGAGCAGGAGATCAATTACCTGGTGAAACTGAAACACAACAGTCTGGCTCAATATTATGGTTTGAAATACGACATTGGGGACGATTTCGTTACCGTGTATTTGTTGAAAGAGTTTATTTTTGGTAAATTATTGAAGATGATCGTTTAGTTCGAAACTTGTAAAATTCGTGACGTTTTCGTTGTAGGTGTAAATTGTTATTCATTGTTTACTAGTCAAAGTATGAAAGTTGATGTTGATTATTTGAAGTACATAGCTAGAGGAGTTCTCGTGGGTTTGGAATATTTGCATAGGAATAACGTTGTGCATAAGGATTTAAAGGATTCCAATGTTTACATTAATTCATTCGGTAAGTCATTTGCGTTTTATAATTTATTGTATTAACGTTTTCGTAATATTTTAGGTACAGTTGAAGTATCGAATTTTAGTATTTACAGACGTTTGTTAGATTTGAATAACCAGAATCACGGTTATTACAACAAGAAGACTGATATTTTTAAGTTCGGATTGTTCGTGTTGTCCCTCCTGCAAGGTTTCGCCGTGTCCGAAGACAATTTGGTCATACCGGATAAGTTTTCTTCGGATCTCTACGACTTCTTATCCAGGTAATCGATGGACTCCATCATAAAAACCTTAATTTAATGCGGTATATTTATTTTAAGGTGCGTAGCAAAGGAAGAAAACGACCGATACACTGCCCAGCAATTATTAAATCATCCGTTTTTCCACAAACCTTTGACTGTACTATCACCGAAGAACTTCAAAGAAGAGATTGAATTAAGCAGGAACGTCTCGCCCGAAATTATCCAGACCGATCTGCAACAGATCCTCAGCAGGAGCTTCTCCGGCGGCCAATCCAGGATAAACAACGAATTCGAATTCCTGCAGCATCTCGGCAAAGGAGCCTACGGAGATGTCATAAAAGTATATAATATTTCGAAACTGTTTATTCGATAGTAATTTAAGTTGTTTTAGGTACAAAATAAATTAGACGGAGGTTATTACGCCATAAAAAGGATCCGATTGAATCCCAAAAATCGCGCTCTAAATAAGAAAATAGTGCGCGAGGTGAAGCTACTATCTAGATTAAATCACGAAAATGTCGTGAGATATTTCAATTCCTGGGTGGAAACTACCACTATTAAAGAAGACTTGGATAGTACCGGTAGTATAGTAAGCACTGAAGAAAATGTACCAAAAATCGTTAAAAAAACCGAGGTACTTTATTCACTATTTTATCTACATCTACAGTGCTTTTCAAACAAACCGTCCATTAACTCTTCAGGATCTCCTATAACTTCTAATGGTCGGTTTCCTTGAAAAGCACTGTATACATTCCCATTTTGCTCGTAGTTTACAATAAACGATGACATAGAAGCCCTAGCGCCCCCTATAAAAAACGTGGAAGTCTCCACCAAGTACGAGAGCAAGTCCCAAGCGGCTTACGAAAGTTCCTCCTCCGATGACGATTCCAGTGATGATGATGAAGAATGGGGCGGTAGAATGTAAGAGTCTTTAGTAAGACCATTTCGCTCTAAATCTTACTCTTCTTCGCTTAAAGATACGAAGATTCCCAGTCGGATAGCATAGAGTTCGAACATCAGTCGTCTGAAATTAATAAAGAAACATCGAGCGAATCTTTGGAGAAACAGAAACCGTGCAATTCGGTGGAAAGTCCCAAGGATTTGGTGAAGCAAATCGATTTCATGTACATCCAGATGGAGTTTTGCGAAAAAAGCACTTTACGAACAGCCATCGATGACAAATTGTACTTGGAGAAAGACAGAATGTTGAGATTGTTCAGGGAAATCGTCGAAGGTGTTTAGATTTATATCGCCATTAATCCTTCCGAAATGTAGTAATTTTTTTATTATTTTAGGATTGGCGTATATCCATCAACAAGGCATGATCCACAGAGACCTGAAGCCGGTCAACATTTTCCTGGATTCGGAGGATCACGTGAAAATCGGCGATTTCGGCTTGGCCACCACCAGCATAAAATCCAAACAAATCGAATACGTGTCCGGTAAAAATGCTCCGGAACACGTGAAAGAAGAAACGGCCGATGAAAGTAAAACCGGATTCGTCGGAACGGCCCTGTACGTTGCTCCGGAAATCGGGGCCTCGTCCAGAGTTGTTTACAGCCAGAAAGTGGATATATACAGTTTAGGTGAGTGGTAAATAGCACGATTAGGCCGTATATTTCTAACATAGAAATCAATTGGAAATCAATTTTACAGGAATAATACTATTCGAAATGTGCTACAAACCTCTCGAAACCGCCATGGAACGAATCAAAATTCTAACGAAATTAAGATCGAAAGAAATCCAATTTCCCGCCGATTTTCTCTCCTGCAAAGACAACGAGAAACACGTCGAACTACTACGGTAATTCCCCGAATGCACAACAATTTCTATAAAATTAAAATCGCCACATTCGCAGGTGGCTGTTGAACCACGATCTATCGAAACGGCCCACGTCGCAGGAGCTCCTGCAATCCGAGCACATTCCCGCGCCCGTCCTCGAAGAGTGCGAGCTCAGGGAATTGGTCAGGCACACGTTGAACAATCCCCAATTGAAGGGGTACAAGTACCTCGTGGCCTCTTGCTTCAAGCAGGTGGCCACCTTCGCTCAGGACGTCACCTACGATAGGGATCCTGCGGCGCAGAGTCTCTCGCAGAAGCCGCTACAGCTGCAAGAATTGATTAAGGATACGTGCGTTAAGGTGATTATACGATAGGGCCACATCCCCAACCAGTCATTCATAAATTCAGATAATTTTGACGCCAACATTGAAAATTATCTGTCACTTGTCATTCTTGTCACAGAAAAAGGAAGATAGAAAAATAGAGGTAACATGGTGGATCCAATCAGGCGCTTTGAGCGTAGGCAAATATATTTTAAACGAGAATTTCATTATGTTAAGAATTGTTATGGTAAAAATATAACATTATTTAATATTACATATGAAAATTTTGTTGATATTGTATGAAAAAAACAGTGAAAACTGCTTCCAGGTTTTCCGCTATTTGCTATTATTCGCTGTGAAAATGAGATAGATACTGTTCTCTGATCTCTCTTTAGTCGAAATAGTCTACAAATTTTACTACGAGCGGTAGTACAACGTTGCCAAATTTGTAAGAGGTTATCCGGTTGTTTCCTGATTCACTGATTGGTGTTTTTTTTTTGTAGATTTTTAAGCAACACGGCGGGCAAAGTTTTTCCACGCCTCTGTTGATGCCCAAAGGGAAATTTTACGAAAATTTGGATTCCTGCGTGAAAGTGATGACGCATTTCGGCGGGATTGTATCACTGCCTTATGACTTGAGGTGATTTTTATATTTTTTACAGAGCGTTAGGGATATTAAAAATATAAATTCATTTAATTTTACAGGATCCCATTGGCAAGATACGTAGTCTGGAATGGTGTAACCTCGTTGAGAAGATATACGATCGAAAGGGTTTATCGAGAGAAAAAAGTTTACGGTTTTCAACCGAGAGAATTGTTCGAATGCGCCTTCGATATCGTCAGTCCTACTCCGGGTAAGATACAGAGTGTTTTTGATATTTAGTTTTGAAGAATAGGGAATATGCATGATTTTTTTTTTATTTCTTAAATTGATCAATTACATCTTTATAATATAGAAAAACATATAAATAGGCTTGAAAATAGTCAAATAATTTTTCAAATTGAAATTTAAAACATTGAATAAATTTGAGTTGTTCAAACGGTACCATTTAGCGCGCGCTTTTGATAAAATCATTGGTTATGTCCCGTGTTTATTGTATTGTGTATATTCTATTGTATTGTTAAATTTTAGGTTTCATGTACGACGCCGAGATTTTGTACATTGTTTACGAAATTCTGAACGAACTTCCGGTGCTCAAGAACAAGCACATCACGATAAGACTGAATCACAATCAATTGTTGCAATCCATTCTCTTGCATTACGGTATAAAGGAAAACTACCAAGAGATCTACAATTTATTATACGACGTCAAGGTAAACGCTCGATAAACGTTTTATGGAGTCTTGCACCAAACTCGAACTAAACGAAAGTTAATTAAACTAGCGTTTAATTTTAAACTTCGCTTAAGTTTATTAACGTTGCACCATTTATAAAAGTGAAGAGTTTAGTTAATCTATAACTTTTTGGGGTTTTCATTTGGAATATTTCATGTTGGTTACACTTAGTTGTCATTTGAGAAAGAAAAAAGACCACAGAACACAGAATTTTGTGTTTATTGTATATTATCATTCTAAAGAAACAACCTTATGAGAAAATCTACCCCCGACCATATTACAAAAAGATGTTTTATTGCAATTTTCCATCTAATTAACTGGTTACATACTACAGTAAAGTCTATTTTCGTTTAAACCGTTCACAAACCATCAAAATTCACCGTTAAATCTTAAAAAGTTAACTTTAGTTTATACAAGTGGTGCAACATAAAAATTGAATTTAACTTGAGTTTAGCATTAAACTATGTTTAAATCCCATCGGTGCAAGAACCCGTTAGATATTTCTATAGCCTTTTTTTGTAGGAGGGAAAAGTCCAAAAATCCCAAATGCAGAACTATCTAATCGGCCTCGGGTTGTCCGATAACACCATCGGCGTGCTGATGAATCTCCTCAATTCCGAATTCGAAATGTCCAAAGCCCCGTCGCAATTCCAAATGATAACCAAGAAGAAAACCGGCGAGGCCGGCCAATTGGCCAGGCAGGCCCTGCAGGAATTGAAAGTCATTTGCCAGAACGCCGAAGCCTTCGGCATCAAGGTATCGAATACATCGCGAGAGCTCTACTATACAGGATGTACACAAAAAAAAGTGTCACAAAATGAAATGGGTGGTAATATGAAAGAAAGAAGAAAAAGAAAGAGTAGCATTAGTGTTATTGCAACTTAGTATTTGACTAAGTTTGGCACAACCTTTTTGGAACATCCTGTATTTTGTTCACCATTTCATTCTGTGACACTTTTTTGAACACCCTGTACATCTATAAAACGCGATTTATTTTGCAGTACGATATGGTAGTGTCTCCGGGTTTGGTGTACAACGTACAGCAGTACTCCGGCATGATATTCCAGTTCGTCTGCGAGCTGAAGAAGAAGCACAAGCGAGACTCGATGGAGGTTCTAGCCGCAGGAGGGCGATACGATTCTATGATATCGTGGTACCGTTCGATCGTGGAACAGGCCAGTATATCCAGCAAGAGCGTACAACAATCCGCCGTGGGCGTGTCGATCTCGTTGGATAAACTGGTGCAAGCATTGCAAAAGGCCCAGGGCGAGGACGTGCCCAAGTCGGATAATCTGGATGTGGTCGTTTGTTCCGTGGGGAACAGGCAATCGATCCAGGATAAAACGAAGGTACGAGTTGTTTGAAATTTCGGGGTCGAGTTGAATGGGGCTATCAATCTACACTACTCTACTCTGATTCTACACGACAATACTCTAAATCTACACTTTATACACCACACTACTTTCTTCTCTACTTTATTATGAATCTACTCTGACTCTAAATCTACACTTTACTACCCCACACAACTTTCTATTCTACTTCACTCCGAATCTACTCCACTCTGATTCTGCGCTTCAATACTATCAATCTAAACTTGTCTACACTATACTACACCACTCTACTCTGATTCTACACTTACCACACTACTTTCTACTCTATTCTAATTCTATACTTTAATACTAACAATCTACACTGCTCTACGCCACACTACTTTCTACTCTAGATGTGTGGTCCTTTACTATTCGGTTTTTAAGCGAGTAATATTTTTGTTAGATATTGAAGAGCCTTTGGGATGCTGGCATAAGAAGTGCCCTGATCGAAGTCGCGAACATAGAAGACATCCAAGAGCAAATGAACGATGCGAAAGTGTCCCACGTGATCGTGCTGAAAGATAACGAACCGGGTATGGTGAGAGTTAGAAGTTGGGAGAGAGAAAGGTAATTTTACGATTATTTCCTTGCGATTGTGAAACATAAAGCTCTGTTGGTAGATTTCAGGAGAAATCGTTCAGTACGAGCGAATTGCTGGAGAACTTGCAGAGGATTTTGAAAGCTTGGACGGATAGAAACGAGGAGAGCGTTCAAATGCAATCGCTTTCCAGATCGGAAAGCAGATCGTCTTATGGCGAAAAGAACGTTCACGTTCAAGAGGCTGTCGTAGATGTGCTTTTCCTCGATAAATTGTCGTCAAACACCAGAAAAAGATGCGAAAATCAGGTAGCTTTTTCGATTTAAAGGCGTTTTTATACCTTTTACACGATTAAAAAAATGTATTCCAGTTACGATCGCAACTGAGCAACTTGTTCAAGAGATTGACCGGTTTCGTGATTGTAATCGTAATGGCGATAGACACGAACGTGATAAGAACGTTATCGTCCCATTTGGAGTTCGATAATGATGGGCAATTTCAAAAATCCGTCGAGAACGTTATAGAAAGGTTAGCGAATTTTTTATACAAATGCATTTTTTCCGAATCACCCATTAAAATAACTACATTGCATTAATTAACACTCTGTATAATTCTTTAGGCACCCGCGCTACAAGAAGTACTTAAACGACGTCTGTGATGAAATTTACGAGCAAAAATCGAAACGAAAAAATCCTATAATCGTTTTGTACAGTTCTCTCGACAATTTCCATAAAGTTATTTATATAAGTTCCTAAAATGTCTTTATTACAGTATACATCTGGAGATCAATTTTTATTTTTTTGGTAAATCAGGAACAGTGAAAAAATCGACACCCACATAATTGTGTAACAATTTACAAAACTGCGTGTAATAAAACCGTGTTATTTTTCGTAATTTTTTTACAACATACTCTTATTTCCTTAAAACTAAGAAGTAATACAAAAGAGGGCGAGAACTTATAAAACTTCGTAACTTAATCTACAGAAAGAAGAAAGAAAATGAAAACTAGGTACTGGAACACGGTTAGTAACCGTAACTACCCCCGTAACCGCCCCACTGATTGTAACCGCCGTAGCCCCCTTGAGGGTACTGCCAATTCTGGTACTGATATTGATCGCCTTGTCCGTATTGCGGATAGTAATTGGGGCCCTGTTGGTTTCCCGAATACGCATAGCTGGCTTGGCCAGAAGTCCCGTATTGCCCATAACTTCCGTAGGAACTCGACTGCGAAGATGGAGTAGCCGGTTTGTCTTTGGTCGATTTTGACGTTGCTTGCGAGTCGCTGCTGCAATTTATAATTATTATTATAAGTCGAGTAAAAATACAGGGTTTCTCAAAATTGGCGCCCGTCTTTTGGCATTGTGAATAAGGAGATCAAAATAAGCGTAAACGAAAGAATAAAAATTTTGCGTTTCCCCTAGTCAAGTGGAAGAAATAACATTAGCACTAGGGAAATGTTGAACTGCATGAAAATTACTAAAAATACGTCATTGTCCAACAAGATGAAATATGGTTTTAATAGAAAAATTAAGTACCTTTTAACGTCCTTCTTTTTCCCACCGTCCTTGTTCAATTTCAACAGTTTTTGATACTGCTCGTAGGCCGATTGCACCGATTGTATGTCGCTACCGAAATCTTCCAAATACTCCAATTTCCTCTGAGCAAACAACATTTTCTGATCCAATTCGACGTTATCCTTCTCCAAAAACATATCGATCACTTCCATCACTTCCTTTTCCGTAACGTTCTCCTTTTGCAACGTCAAATCGATCAATTGCAGATACAATCTGGGATTGTTGTGGTCTTTGCCTATGGCCGATTTCAGCACCTCCTGCGCCTTGTCCATGTCCTTGATGATGGTGAAACAAAACCGGGAGTATTTTATCGATATGCTGCTCGATATCATCTTGTTCTTCGAATTGTTGATGTAGTGCTCGTACAATTGGACGCATTTCTCGTGGTCGCCGCGACGTCGCTCTGAAAAAAACCATCATAAATACCCTGTATTCAAAAGCTATTAGATTATATACCCAAGTTGATTCTTCTGTAGGCGATTTGCAGCACGTTCGGCACCGATTTCTCCAAATTGACGAGAATTTCGGCAGCCCGAGCGGCGTTGCCGACGCCCTCTTCGAACATCGCCCATTGCAAATGGAGATTGGGCTTTTTCAAATGGTGTATCGTACAGGCGCGCTCGTAAACGTCGCGAATCTTCGCCTGGAATTCCGGCTCGTTCAGCGATTCCAAATAATGGACGAACTAAAAATAATTATAATAGTATAGTTGTGGTAAACGGGCGAATAGGGTGATTTCTTTTGGCCCGCCTTGTATGTTAAAATGAGTAAAATTTAACACCCGTTAAAAATATGCATACTGCTTATAGAATTATCATTGAAGAAGGTTCTTAGAAGGGCTTTTTCTCCAATCAAAACCGAGGTAAGAATTACAATGAAAAAATTGCATATTAAAATACGAAAAATTACTAACTTTTAGCCAAAAATCTTCGTAAAGAGCGCACGCGATGAGACACCTTTCGAACAGGACAATTATCCTCGTTTTGTCGCCTTGTTCGGTTTCGTAATCCAAATAATCCTGCCAGTTTTTCAATTGGCACCGTTCCAACGGCTTCACGTGGAAATAGGGCCGCTTAATCTGAAACCACAAAATTAATTCGATTAATTCCAAACTAAATCAAACTAAATTCGTCTCGCAGAGCTTTTTGGAAATTCAGATGGCCTCTGCGTTGTCGACAGTAAGTATTCAGGATTGCTTCTTGTTCACATAACAGAAACAACCTTGACAGTAATTCATCATTAAAAATGTGTTTTGCAATGCTATACTAATATACAGGGTGTCCCATACCAAATATTACTGAAATCGGATAAGTAGTTTCCAATACACAGATAGTTTTAACTCGTCGTGGGACATCCTGTATTATGTTATAAATAAACTACTAACCCCTTCTTCGTAATTCCATCTAGCAGTAACGGCGTTAACAGTGGCTTTGTGCAATTTCCTCCGAATCGAAACGATTCTCTCGCGAATCGACTTCGTCTCCTCGTCGGTACTGATCATCTTCGATTGGTCCTCGTCGCCGGGCGGCGCGTCCGAATCCACCGGCGCCTCCGCGCCCGTCGCGACGCCCTCTTGCTTCAACGTCTGCCGAATCTCCTTGCGCAACGCCAGAAACTCGTCGATCTCGACCACTTTGTTCGGCGGATGGGCGGCCACGTGCTCTTGGAAACTACACCCAAAATATCGACATTAATCAATCGAATAAACGAATAAAATAAATAGATAATTCCATAAAAACGTACTTGTCGAAATGCGACGTGTATCCCTGCGTCGGCGTCGCCAATAATCGATCGTAGATGGCGGTGACGCGTTGCAATCGCTTCCCTTCCGTCTCCCATTTGACGTACGAATCCCACAATCGGTCCGATCTGAATTCCAATCCGCACGAGGCCACGGCCCGTTCGAATTGCGACCGCACGAATTCCTCGTCCTCCGCCCGGGTGCTCTTCACGTAGGTCAGGTAGTGTAGCCACAGATCCACCGATAGAGGTATGGCCTTCAATCCGCGCTCGAATACCTTTGTTCGTTGACGAGTACAATATCGATCAATTAGTAACGCAATTAAAATCGGTAACGCAGATGATGCGTATTGTTTATATCTAAATACACATCAGCTGGGTTGTATTAGGCTGAAAGAGAATCCTGATTAATATCTATAGTTTGTTAATATTTGATTCCTATTAAAAAATTTTATGACGGATGTATATTTTGTTTTCCTTACATTTGACTCTGGGATAAAAACCCCCTTTCCAGCGATGCGGGCTCTCTGACAAGCTCAAAGTCACGCCAGGAATATCTTTGGTCGAATTTTAAAACGATCCCGGTGCAACGCACACAACACACATTCAAATTTATATATTATGTATATCATATTCGTCGTTACGTAGGTATAGGTAATATAAAACGGAGCTAATAATGAATATTATAGGGCGTAAGACAATTAACATGTAACTTAAGTAACATACAAATAATAAATTTACAATAATAACAATATAAATCGTATTCACTACTACTCTATTGATTTTTTCAGCGGCCGCTACTACGCCGAGCTGTAGAAATTGCAAAATAAATTATATGTGAGTTTCATTGAGCATATTCCACGATATATATATCATAAATATAATTTATATTAATGCATTTTATATTTCACGTCTAACTAAATCGACTACGTACCTCTTCACATTTCTTTTTATTGCCCTTTCTTTTCTCGTAATCGGCGTACTTTCGCCAGTAACCATAACAGTACGGGTAATGCGATAAGAATGCATCGTACGCCTCTCTAGCTGCTTCCATATCATTCTAAAAAAAAAAGTAAACAAATTCAATTACTGAACGTCCTCCAAGTAAAAGGCCATTTCATCCAATTACCTCTTGATCAACGTACTGCAACAAATACGTCCATCCCGTAAAATCCGTGGGATCATCGTTCACGGCCTTCCAGTATTTATCGAGTTCCGGCAGCTTTTTGGGCTTCTTCGGTTCCTCTTTGTCCTTTTCCACAGTCGAATCGGCGGCGGGTTTTTTGGCGGGCGCTTCTCCTTCGGACGTCGGCGAGCCGGGATCGTAATCGGTTTCGTTCAATTTCCTCTTGGCCGATTCCTTTTTCTCGGTTTTCACGGTGGGCAATTCGTCTTCGGAGACGACCTCCGTATCGGCCGGCAGTTCGGCCCTTTTGGGGCCCGGCAACTCCTCGTCGGAGACTTCTTCGGCTTCCGGTACTTTGACGGCTTGTACTGATGGTAATTCGTCTTCGGATATGTTTTCGGCGTCCGGATCGGCTTTCTGGAATTCCAATTGAAGGTATTAACTTTATTTGGCGTAGAAGAATAGTTGTAAAATGCGTTTTATCAGCTTGTAAAAGTTAAAGTTTATGTCTAAAAATCCCAACAAAGTTTGTGTTATGTTGTTCATATTGAGAAATTTATCTAAACAACTTATAAAGTATAAAAAAAAAATTCAATCACAATCAGACAATCATGTAAAAACATCGATTAATTTAAATTACAAAACAAGATAAAACTATTTCGATTGCATCACTAATAAATATAACAGTGTTATTAATAATTTGTAACTTACTTGTTTGTCTGAGGAGTTATCATTCATTTGCTCTTCACTCTCTTCAACGCTTTCGATATTTTCAACATTTTCATCATCGGATTTCTCAGTTTTCATATTGTCATCATCGGACTCTCCTTCTGTCATCTTTTCAGTTTCCATACTGCTCGTCAATTTTTCAGATTCCCCAACATTTTGCTCTTCAGACTCCTCGAAATGTTCAGAATTATCTTCGGTTTTCGCAATTTCATCGTCACTATAATCCCCTTTGAATTTCTTCTTTAGCGGTTCGTCATCTTCCATTTTATTGTCAAAATCCGTCTCCATTTTATCGTCTACTTCATTCTCGATGTCATCTTTCGGTGTATTTAGTACCTAAAAAGGATATCCCCATATTATTATAACAATAAACTTCAAAAAGAAACTAATAATAATCAATAAACACCAACTGTAAGTTTAGTTACACTATTGGCCTTTATACCTTCAGGTATTCAGCTCCAAAAAAAAAACCGCCTAATCGGCTCACATTTCTACACATATACCTTTAGTAAAGAGGTAATATCTATTAATTTTAAAACATTCTTACCGCAAATTCCGAATCAAAAACACCACTTTCGGTATCTTTACTCTTCCCGTTCAAATCGTGTTTGTCATCTTCATCATCTCTAGTCGGTTTTTCAGGACTCTCGCTAGCGCTTTCTGCGCTTTTTTCACTGACTATACTGTCTTGAGCCTGTTCTTCTTCCGCTTCGAAAGCCTCGCTTTCCATGACGACCTTCTTGCGGGTTTTCTTCGACAGAGGTTTGGGCCTTTGGGATTTAGGAACGGTAACCTTGGCTTTCGTCGCCGAACGAGTCCTACGACCTAAAACAACGCCGGATAGCGAATTATTTCAATAGAAAAACGCTGGCTTACCCAAAGAAAGCGTCTCATCGGCATCGTCCATGTTCGATAACGCGAGCTTCGAATCAGCGGAAGTATTGAATTAGAGGAACATAAATTACGTTTAGGAAACGTTTGGTTCGATTTTCTCGGAGTATAAAATTATAATTACACGATAAACAATCCACAAAACACAAGTGATATTTATTTTTCGTTTCGGCAACGACTGTGTATTCCAAAATGGCTGCCGTAGATTTGTTCGTTCGATTGCTCCGAACTGTGCGCACATGCGCGCTGTTAACGATGCGTTTTAATAAGAGAACATTTTTTGTAATATACTCATATTATCGAAATGCGACTAGAAATATGTCGTTGCGAACGTGATATAATTTATTACAATGATTTTATAATGACTAAAAGGCAATTCTACGAGTGATGTATAGTTCCGAACTAACTTTCCGAACAAACTTATAATGTTATGCAACAGTAGTACCAACAATAAAAATCGAGATATTTTTTTTAACTACAATGACAGCTGACAATCGGGTTCACATTTTACAATTTTAAACTTTGAAATTCAAGTCGTAATCGCACAAAAATAACTTAAAATTACTCGTAAGTAAGATATCAGAGATAATATTATAATAACTCACGTTCGTAATTACGCAAATGATTGTAATTAATTAGTGCGGCCGCGATGGATCTATTCCACTATATTTATGTTGCAAACGTGTATCAATGATTCGAATTGTCAAATAGGTTATTTCTCATAAATAGCAAAATTGTAGTTTTTCTCGTTATAGCATCCCTTCATCTACATCATTTATGAAGAAAAGATGTTTTCGCTGCAAAATCAAAACCAGGTAATTGGACATTTACATTATAATTACATTCAATAACATCCGATCTGTTTCAGGCATTCGCTACGTTAACGCAATTCTCATCGAAAATAAACACAAGGATACAATTAACAAAACCGTCGAGCAGAAAGCAAAAAAATGCCCAAAACTTTCTATGCATGGACAGTTTCTCGGAGGCTCTAAAGAACTGCGATTTCTCATTTGCTAAACACTTGAACTCCAAATCGTTGTTCGATAGCAATTTCAAAAACAACTTCAAAGTTTCGTACAAGTCCGGCGACAGTTTCTTCGAAAACAAACACGGTTTCTCGGAGAGCCACTTAAATGACACCATCCCCACGGTTCTATTGAAAAGCAACAAAATTCACGCGACCGATGGTTTCTACCAGAAACTTATGTCCAGTCTCCTCGAGGAGAACCGGTTCTCTTTCAACATACAATTCAGAACGTTCAAAACCGATAGGAACATCAAAGCCGAGCTATCTCGGAACCCTCCCATATCGGATAGGGTGAAAAACGCCCTGGGCATGAACGGAAACGAAATCCCCCAGGAAAAGAAATCGGCCACTTCCTCGGATAAGTTAAAGCAATTGCTCAATTCCGAGGACAATCTGAACGAAGTGGAGAAGCAAAGGATAAAATTAGCATTCGCAGAAGGGTACTTGATGGGATCCAATTCGTCGAACAAACCCGGAAAGTCCACGAGATATCTAAAAGTCGTCACGCAAGTTTTGACCGTTATCATATTCCTAGCTATAATCGTTAGTCTCTTAGCTAGCGCCAGCGGATCGGTCTTCAGGTAACGTAAATCGATATTTAATCGGAATTTAACGACACTTAATATTACGTAATGTTAGAATACAATTGGGCAATCAAGTGGAAGTGGATCCCGAGGAAATTCACATAACCTTCGAAGACGTCAAAGGAGTGGACGAGGCCAAGCAAGAGCTGAAAGACGTCGTCGAGTTTCTGAAGAGCCCCGAGAAGTTTTCCACGCTGGGCGGAAAATTGCCCAAGGGCGTTTTATTGGTGGGTCCTCCTGGTAAGCCGAAACGCCACCCTATAACTCCAATAATCCCTAAAGTTTGTGTTGTTTCAAAGGTACCGGAAAAACTCTGCTAGCCCGAGCGGTAGCAGGCGAAGCGGGAGTGCCCTTTTTCCACGCGGCAGGCCCCGAATTCGACGAGGTTTTAGTCGGACAAGGGGCTCGAAGAGTCAGAGATTTATTCAGTAAGCTCCATGCTTAATGTTAATCGTACGATAATCGTAATCGAGTAAATTGTTGGTTGTAGAGGCCGCGAAGAAACGGGCCCCTTGCGTGATATTCATCGATGAAATCGATTCGGTGGGTTCGAAACGTACGAACAGCGTATTGCACCCGTACGCCAATCAGACCATCAATCAATTGCTCAGCGAAATGGACGGATTCCACCAAAACGAGGGCGTTATCGTGTTGGGGGCGACTAATAGAAGGGACGATTTGGACCAGGCCCTACTGAGACCCGGCAGATTCGATGTCGAGGTACTATTTTTTTTTTGTTATTTATTAACCGATTAAATGAAGTTAGTGATTGTTTAAGGTTACCGTTCCCACGCCCGATTATACGGGAAGAAAGGAGATTTTGGGCTTGTATTTGAGCAAAATTCTAGCCAAAGACGTCGATTTGGATTTGCTGGCTAGAGGGACTACGGGTTTCACCGGGGCCGATCTGGAAAACATGGTTAACCAAGCCGCATTGAGGTAATGTGTGCACCTCGAAGGGCCCCAAAGCCTTCTTCGTATCAGCTACAGAATGCCTCTAACTATTTTCGATATAGGGCAGCGATCGATGGGGCCGACAACGTGAGCATGAAACACTTGGAATCGGCGCGAGACAAAGTACTGATGGGTCCCGAAAGGAAGTCTCGCATTCCCGACGAAGAGGCCAATCTGATAACGGCCTATCACGAGGGCGGCCACGCGATCGTGGCCTATTACACCAAAGACAGCCATCCGTTGCACAAGGTGACTATCATACCGAGAGGGCCGAGTCTCGGCCATACGGCTTACATACCGGAGAAGGAACGTTACCACATCACTAAATCTCAGCTATTGGCTATGATGGATACCATGATGGGGGGCAGGGCGGCCGAGGAGCTCGTGTTTGGGCCCGATAAGATTACTTCGGGTAAATGGTGCTGGTGAATTAGTGTAGAGGGGTTTGTAATTTTGGTTTTTTTAGGGGCGAGTTCTGATTTGAAACAGGCCACGTCCATTGCTACGCATATGGTTAAGGATTGGGGCATGTCGGAGAAAGTGGGGCTTCGTACAATGGCGGATAGTTCGAAGGCGTTTCAATCGGAAACGCTGGGGCCTAGTACTAGCGAGGCGGTAAGTTAATCGGAGTGCATCGTTGAAGGATTGTTCGTTATGGATTCGTTTTTAGGTCGACAGCGAAATTAGGAAAATTCTATCGGAAAGTTACGAAAGAGCTAAACAAATACTAAAAATTCACGCTAAAGAACACAAGGCATTGGCCGAGGCGCTCTTGAAATACGAAACGTTAGACGCGGAAGATATAAAAGCCATAATGTCAGAGAAAGGCGCGGAAAAGAAGAAATCGTAGAAGGAGATTCTATTTTATCTAGTTCGGCATTTTTTTTCTCGTCTCTTCTTTTCATCAAAGATTTAGTTATTTAGCGAATTTGTAAATAATTTTTAACTTGCGGTGGTTTTTTGTTCTACGCGCCGAAATTGAGCGTAAAAGTTGGCAAAGGAAATTTTGTTCGAGCCGAGAGTACAGGGAAACGTTTTCTTTTTCTTTGTATAAAAATATATTTAAGTGAATTGATTCGATTCTTAACGTTGATAATAATTTCGATTTACGATTTTACGGGTTTTTTTTGTTCCGACTTTTCTCCGCCTGCAAAGTAAACTAAAGTAATTTTTGAACAATAAACTTATTTCCCCGTTTTTATTTTCTCGATTTTAGGTAATTACAACCGAAGAAGCAATGGATATTGTGTATAAAAAAAACAAGTTAGATTTTAAACATATATTTCTTAATTTCTACGAATAAATCGCATCTAAAAGTAGCATTTGATGTTTTACAGTTTTCCAATTATTATATAGTTCCACTTTTTTTTAAGATGTGAGAGCTAGTTTGTTATTATACGTATAAAAAAATTTGGCACCCAGACATCATCAGATTTCATCCGAGCATGTATTAATTAATTCCATATCAAAATAAAATTATAATTAGGATCAATTACTTACGAGTCGATAATACATTTATATAAAAAATACAGCAACGAATATGATAAATAACAATAGACGAGACTTAAAAATACAATAAGTAAATTTCACCTTTGTAACTATTACATATCGATAAAGGAGCTACAAAGGGAATTCCTTCGAAATCACCATCAAAAATCACGGAGAAACTCAAACATAATCTACTTATCCGTAGACTATGATAGACTCCACACGTTCAGCTCACCCGGCCAATAAATTACAGAAATAAATAATTAATCCTACGAAGAATTAGTAGCCTTCTCGTTATCCGCGTGCAACTGTTGATTCAAAAAGGCCACGTTGCTCGATTTCAACCGCAACGCGGCCGCCCCGTAGGGGCACGGAGACATGCAAGGCGTCGAATTCAAACTGTTGCTTATATCGCACTGATCCAACATCAGCAACAACTCCTCCGTACTGGGCCCCCCGTTCGACCGGGCCCCATCGTAGCACAACTCCAGCGCCGTTGTGAGATCCCACATTTGAATGGACCCGTTCGAATGCCCCGTGAAAATGAACCTCCTCGGCCTCGATCCCATTCGACTGGAGCCCTCGCATTCGTGCACGTAGAAAGCCGTCACCGTACTGCCGTCGATCGATTTTATCACGCATATTCTCTTCCCGTTGCTGGCCAATCTGACGAATATCTGATCGGAATCGGGCACCACTTTCTGTACAAACACCTGCTCGTCGTCCTGCTCTCCGAACGGCCCGCAATCCACCGCAGCTCCGTAATTGACGCACGTGGACGGTTCTATCGTTTCCAGCGCCACGATTTTGAACGAAGCCTCCGGCGTCGAGCCCGGCTGCGTCGACAGCATTCCCCTGAACCTGGTCACCCTCCAACTTCTAACGTGATTGTACTCCGAACACACGGACACCAGGTACTTCTCCGACAGCGTTACTTTCACCACTTTGCTCTGGTGCACGGTGAACGTTTGGAACAATTGGGGCCCGTGACCGACGGTCTCCGGATGTTGCACGATCAATCTGACCGCTCCCGATGTGGTACCGTACGCTATTTCTATCCAGTTACCGCAGATGTTCGTTTTGGGCGTCAAGTAGACGGATATGGCCGTGACCGGCTCGCCGTTGGGGTCTTTGTACAATTCGGTCACCAGCAAATCGTTGTCTTTCATTCTCAACGGGAATTTCTGCATGTCTATGTAGTAAATGCAGCCGTTGTTGCAGCCTAGCAACAGTATCGAACCGGCCGTATCGAACGAAGCTATGGGCATCACGTCTTGCGTTTGCCATTGCTGCGTCATGGCGTGCCACACGCCCAATTTCCCCGACGGGGACAAGGCCACCAATTGGCTACCGATGAAGAACAAGTACTCGACTCTCACGTGCAGATTGAAGGTGCCCACGTTCGTTCGTTGGCCCATATCGGAGATGCCCCACAGCCTCACCTGGCTGCCGTACGATATGGCCACCATTTTGGAGGTCTCCGAGGCGCCCATCTTGGCGTTGACGGCGATCCGTTCGATTTGATTGTCGATGTACGGGCTGGTAAACACCAACTGCCACCCGCTGGAATCCTTCAATCTGTAGCACACCACGAAATGGGCGTACGACACGACGATCCAATTGTGATGGGCCTTGATGATTTGCACCCGAAGCGGATCCGCCCAACAGGTGCTGGTCATCCCGAAGATCAGACCGATGTCGTTGCGAATCAGCTTGTTCAAATCGGCCGAGGAGTTTCTCGTGTGCCTCAAATCCAGCGAGGCCGCCCTCGAATGGCCTCGGCCCGGCAGGCCTCGCAAATCCTGCGAGCTCCTGCTGTAGCTGTTCGATACGCCTAATCGTAGCTCTAACGATGAGTTCCTGGAGTGTCCTTGCGGTCTGGCGATCGCAGGATGATTGCTGTTTTCAGGTAACTCCACCTGCCCTTCGGGGAGCCTGCCGGTTCCCCTAGGAATAGATTCGGTCGATTGGAAAGCCTGGGCCGGTATGCAGGGCGGCGAAAGGGCCCCGTAGAATAAAATGTCGCCGCAGGTCGGCTGGGCCAGTTCCTCGCATAGTAAGAGCCTCCTTACCAGCGGCGCCACGTTGTAGTACTCGGCCTCGTGTCGCAGGGCGCGTATCTCGACGCCCTGCAAGTCTATTTCTCTCGTTCGCAGGTAGTTTAGGATGATCGAAAAGAATTTGGGGTCTCTGTCGATGAAAATGGCCCCCTTCTCGTCGCGCAGGCTGGATATCCGGCCGCTTAGGAGAGCTGTGAAAAAGGTGTCGGGTATTAGAGAGAGCGTTTGTCTCGATGTGGTGAATCTCTTGCCGCCCACGTTCAAATGCAATATGTCTCCGAGGCTCTGCTGGGAAAAGGCCATTTTTAACGGGTTCAATTCTTGCGAATGTTGCGATTATTATACTGCGCTATTTCCATTGTGTTGAATTAACGTAACGGGCACATTACTCACGACTGACACGGCCTGAAAATATTTACAAAACATCTTATTTTCGACAGTTTCTTTTGATCAATTTTTTCACGATGACAACTCGAATAACTGACAAGGATAATCGATTAAAATATTTAGGTTAGTAAATTTTGTTTTATACAATCGATTCTTCTTTTCTTTCATCTTTACTAAGTTGACCTTAGTTAGGGTGATTTGGTAACCATTAGATTAATTCTCTATTGGATTTATTATCTAATTGATTAGAGGTCTCAATAGCTTTATTGATAGCATAGAGATAAAAAAATGGCTTAAAATAGACAAAAATCTTTCTTTCTTTATGTGGCTTTGGTTGACAGTGACTGTCTATGTCTCATGAAAAGAGGCCATATAAACGAGAGGAAGAAGACACTAAAATGACAATGCAAAATGACATATCAAGATGGAATGGAAAACAAGTTAAAAGTTGGCTGAACTTAATGAACTTTAGTTGTTGAGATGTTGATAAGTATCTGGGTAATATTTATACGGCCGAGTAATTTGCTATTAGTTTACGTGTGATTTTCATTATTTTCAGATCGTATTCGGGCGTGCAGATTAAATAACACTTATCTAAAAATGACTACGGAACAAAAATTCAAAGCTGCAGTGAATGTGATTAGAAGTTTACCTAAAAATGGTAAGTCTTTCGCTTTGTTTTTCATTTTTACACAACAATTTGATAATTGTTGTGAATATTTTTACAAAAAATTATGACTTGTTTAATCCGCGATACACTTAATAGGAGGTTAAAGTTTGTTAAGAAAATACAATTGTGTTGTGTTAACTAAAGCATTCTGGATAAAATGATGTGCATAAATTGCATTTTTATTACAACTAGATTACGTATTTATTTTGATAAAAACATTCACAATTTTATTATTTTTTCTTCAATAATTATTTATTGTCTTGTTTATTTTATATAATGTGTGTCAAGTGAATCGAGTTACAATTCAGGTTTTAAGAATTGGTTCTTTATTATTTTTTAATTTAATTTATTTTTAATTTTGAATGATTACAAGGTAATAGCAAACTACTCACTGCAATCGATTATCGAGCATATTTTACCATTATTAAAATATTGATTTGAAAATACCTAATTTTTTTCTAGTAATTATATCAATTGATAAATTTAATTTTCTTTCAAGTTTTTGAACAAATCGAAGGATTTATCGAAGGAAATGTATACTAATTACACATCATTATAACATAGTAATTGACACATTAAATTTGTATGACTGGAGAAACTGTTATTACAGTTATTAAGGGAAAATTCCTTTTTTGAAGCAATTATAATAAATTAGGTTTTTCCATTTTCTTAATGCTTTTACGTTTGTTGCGTTAAATAAGTCGTTTTGTAATTGACTAACTTTGGTATCGTTAAAAAATTCATGTAGATTTTAATTGCACACATAATAAGATCGTAAAAGTAAATTATATTTAATATTTTATTGAATATTGAAATATAATGAACACGTGAGAGAGATTGAAACAATACTGATGTCAAATTTTGACAAAAATATGTAATTTATTTTTCATCATTAAAACCGTAACCGATTCGAAATTTCAATTCAATTCTTTCGCCGAGTTTCTAAACATTCTATTATGTAACTTCCTCGGTGGGAAGATAATGGAATATAAAATAGAACTAGAGCGGCGTCATTTATTTCCTCGTAACGCTATTTGTTATGGTTCTTGATTATGAGAATTACTTATGCTTTATTTTTGGTATTTTTAGTTTTTTTTGTTATTGATTTAAGTGTAAAAATTGCTCTGTAAAAGTGGTGTTTATTTTTGAAAAAATGTCCTAAAATATTTTTTATTCTTGCCTACTTTTCAATTGGATTTATTTATAGTATAAGTGCATTATTCAAATTGTCTGTTACTGACCTTCCACCTTTTGGTTATTAATTTTTATTGGAGTTAACAAGTTGATATTCAAGGTGATTATCAAAAAAGTAATGTACATTATATCGTTTAATTAAAAATTGGAAAATACAATCTGAAATATTTTCTATTACCTACATACATTTCGAAATTCAACGAACGTCTCCGATTTTTAATTGTGATTACTCATTACGAAAATAAAATACGTGTGATTATAATACAAATTCATTAATTTAAAGAAAAATACAGACAAAAAGATTATCTACACAGATTTTGTTTTATCATTGTGAGAATTTCAATATTATTAAATTTAATACGTAATTTTTTATCCTAAAATGCCATATAATCATGATTATAATCAATACGATAATTTAGGAGATATTTATATGGGAAACTTCCAAAAAAAATTGATTCAATTTAAAATGATTTTTACTTTAAATTTTATTTATTTAAATTTATTTATCAAGTATTGATTATTTTAACAAATTTGAAATATTTTTTTAAGTAATCGAACTATTATAAAAACCATCTAGACGAATTTTAAATCTATTTTGCTAAATCACCTAAGTGAATCGCGGATTTTAATATTGCAAATTCGAAAGATTAATGAATGACTAGAATTAAAATTAATTCAAAAGTACCTACCTTAATACCAATTTGATTAATTATCTATAGTCGGTGCAAAACAAATATCAATGCACGTCACTACTGTCGTCATACTTGCCAAGCATTGTGACCAACTTTTGAAAATAATTACACAAAATGAGAAATTTGATGATTAATTATAGTGAGCCCCTGAATACGTCCGTTTAGAAACGTGAAACAGGTACCCCTAATTTTTAATTTGTTCTTGTCATTTTGCCATTTGACAATTTTGAAAATTCTCAGATTTTGTAAACTCTATTAAAGTTCGACAACACTGCCTACGTGTGACGTAGTAACTCTAATGACATATTGGCATTAGAGTTTATTATTGACATCTAATTTCTAATGACTTATTGGCCTTTTCCATAGGCTCCTACCAGCCCAGTCACGAGTTGATGTTGAGGTTCTACGCCTATTTCAAGCAGGCCACGAACGGTCCTTGCCAGGGCTCCCGACCGGCCTTTTGGGACGTAGTAGGCCGTGCCAAATACGATGCCTGGAAGAAATTGGGCGACATGTCGTCGCAGGAGGCCATGGCCAAATACGTAGATGAATTGCATTCGTACGTTCCTTGCGAATTAATACAGGGTGTCCCTCATTAAAGGGGCGACTTTTTATTGGGACATCCTGTATTAAAAAGAATTATTTATTGTAATTTTTGATCATTGTAGAATCGTGGAGACGATGAGCTATTCAGACAAAGTGGCCAATTTCCTGGAGGCCCCCACCGATGAGCTGGAATGCATCAATTTCGATGATTTAGAATTGGTGGCCGGCGACGTATTGGAAAGGGTCAGGTCCCAACCGAATTCGCCTTTAGGTATGTCTAATTTACCCGTAATAATATTGTAAATTGATAAAATTTTTGGTTTCAGCTTCGAGAGAAGGTTCGCCGAATATATTTTCGAAAAATTCGAGTCTACGGTCCTCTTCGAACGTGTCCAGCGTTACCGAAAGCGATCACAGCGACGATGAATATATCGATACTATCGAAGTGAGTTTTGATTTTATACAGGGTTTTCTACGGTAGCCGTACATTAGAACTTTTCGGATTTCCTGAATAGTTACAAATCTAAAAATTTAGGAGCAAGGTATAATCGATGTTGTGAGTTTTTCTAAAATTTTGTCAACCTTATGTCAAAAATGGTACTTTCCATTTGAAATAACGAAATTGGCATTTACCTCCGGTATAAGCGGAAGTCACATATGGTTGAAAATATTAGAAAAACTCACAACCTTACTCCTAAATTTTAAGATTCGTTACTATTCAGGAACTCCGAAAAGTTCTAATGCATAGTACCGTTAAAAACCCTTCCCTACTCCTAATTATTGTACTCTTATTAAAAAGGCACTTTTCTATTCAAGCAATTATAATTTATTTGTTTTTCCAGAATCCAGACCCTCGCAGGAATGTCAGCATATCAGCCGACGGATCGGCCTCGCATAGCGTACAAAATCACATTTCTAAATCGAAAAATCCAAATATAGACGTGTCGCAGGAGATCAACAGGGCCGTGCAAAGTCTCCGGGGGGACATCGAAAGGCTGTCGAAGAAAGTAGTTAGTTTGGAAAATTCCTCGAGCGCGGTGAAAATGCAGAGGAGAGGCCTTTTCGACGGCGTCCCGACGCGACTGGTGGTTTTCCTCGTCGTTTGGCCCTTTATCGCGCAATTTATAACGAATAGATTTTTGAATAGGAGACGCTGATCGACCGAGATTAAATAGGATTTTAAAAATTGTTTACGTACGCCTTACGTGGTCTTTTCAAAGTTGGTAACGATTTGTGAAATCAAAACTGGCGTTTTGGAAAGGCTAGCGTAGGGCACGAGGGAAATTGAGAATTTTCCCGGAAAATCTATTTAAATGTCGGCGAAATCATGATACTAGATCGGTTCGAGAAAAGTTACAGGAGGTACTTTTTTCGGACGGAACCTTCTTCAATTAGGCAATTTTTAAATTAAGATTATTTTTATCGTGATGTTTGATTGTACGTGTTTTAAACGCATACTGTATTTAAATTGTACTTTTTATAGGGGTTTAGTTGTAAACTAGTCTTTAACCAGTGTCATGCGATACAAATTCAATAGATTTTTATCTTATTTTATAGGATTCGGTGATATTTTTTGTTAGCGAAAGCTGCTGTATGTACAATATTTTTATTGTTATCAATTCATATTATATGAGTTTTATATTTTGGTTTCGGAATAAAAAATAGTGGAAATGTTTAAATAGGAGACTAGTTTTATTTCGTATAATAGAAAAGTTTCGGTAGAAATTTCGAATAATTTCAAAAATAACGACTAAAACAAAAAATCTTTTATTTTTACAAATATATGTGGAATTAAAAAACATAAAATTGAATTGTTTTCCGACCTGCGTGAACTCGACGCTTTAATTTCTTTTAAACAGAATTACATTTTCCGACCTAATCTCTAAGAAGAAACGATTTATTTTATACCTAGTACAATCCTGATAAATGAAATATCAACGGAGATATTAATTAATTATACGGCATATGAAATTTCAATTATACATTATAATAAATACAAGTTTATTTAAGCCGAGAAACTCGCCAAGAAGTCCTGGACAACCTTCTTCAGCGCGGCGTCGGTTTCATCCGTGATTTTTCCTTCTTTAGCGATGCTTTCCAATATATTCTTGTGGCTAGTCCTAAAAATAAAAATAACAAAATTTAATAACTCTAAAAAAAAACACCAACAACAATCCCGACTTACTTGATGTGCTCGGAGAATTGCTTCTCGAATACGGTGATCTTCGAGGGATCGACCTTGTCCAAGTGGCCTCTTACACCGCAGTAGATGATAGCCACTTGTTCTTCGATGGCCATCGGTACGTACTGGCCTTGTTTCAGCAATTCAGTCAAACGCACGCCTCTGTTCAACAATTGCTGAGTGGCCGCGTCCAAATCGGAACCGAATTGAGCGAAGGCGGCCACCTCACGGTATTGGGCCAATTCCAATTTCATCGAACCGGCAACCTACAAAAAAAAACCAATCATACATCTATTATTAAGCGTACTATACAATCGAAATATACCTGTTTCATGGCTTTAGTTTGGGCCGCGGATCCTACTCTGGATACGGACAAACCGACGTTGATGGCCGGTCGGATACCTTTGTAGAACAATTCGGTTTCCAAGAAGATCTGTCCGTCGGTAATGGAGATCACGTTGGTGGGAATGTAGGCGGACACGTCGCCGGCTTGTGTCTCGATGACCGGCAGAGCGGTGAGGGAACCGCCACCGTGCGCTTCGGACATTTTAGCAGCACGTTCTAGCAAACGCGAATGCAGGTAGAACACATCTCCGGGATAGGCTTCACGACCGGGAGGACGACGAAGCAACAGAGACATCTACAAAACAAACATTTTTAGTAGCGTATTAACCACATCCCCAAATAGCAGTCTTGTTAAGTATTTAAATACGTAGTTAAATACACAAGTTTCATTTGTATTTACAATGTATTTGAAATACATTTTTGTTCAATATTTAAAATACTTGTATTTAAAGTTTAAATGCAGTTTTATGAGCAATGTTGAGAACACTCACTTAATTATATTTCCCCTTAAAACAAAAGTTTTTAGTACCTCTAACTTCGGATTATCCCCTGACGTAGACATAAATTTTGTAAATTGTTTTTTTTGCGGACCCACGTTTATATGAACTTATTATGAATTATTAATTTATATATCGAATGAAATAATTCTCGTTTACCTGACGATAGGCGACGGCCTGTTTGGACAAATCGTCGTAGATGATCAAGGCGTGCTTGCCGTTGTCTCTGAAGAACTCGCCCATGGCGCAACCCGAATAGGGGGCCAAATATTGCAGGGGGGCGGCGTCCGAGGCGGTGGCCGATACGATGATGGTGTACTTGATGGCGCCGGTGTCGGTGAGACGTTTCAAAATCTGCGCCACCGTCGAACGTTTCTGACCGATGGCCACGTAAATGCAGTACAATTTCTTCTTTTCGTCGTCGGCGTCGTTGAATCGTTTCTGATTGATGATCGTATCGATGGCCAAAGCGGTTTTACTGCGTATATAAAATTTATTTATTTTATTTGTTTGTTAAATTTACGGGATCTCCCCATTACAGCATAATAATAACAATGAAAAATTAACCAAAGTGACTTAAAGCTGCCACTTCAGGGCATTTGCTTTGGCGGCCTTAACAATAATAATAATAATAGAAATAATTAACAATAATAATAAGGTACATTTGAAGGTACTTCCATGTGTATTTTTACACCTAACTGTAATTATAATTTCCTATTTACCACAGCTTTATATTGATTTAGACTTAAGTTAAAAGGATCTATATCCACAAATTTTATTTAAGAAATGCTCTATCGAATGGATTGTTGCAGCCATAGTTAGTGTAGTGAAAATTAATATGAAATGGTTCAAAAACTCTCAACTTCCGTTGTGGTGTGTTAAGTTTGATTCAGCTTAGGAGCTCAGGACACTGAATAACGTTATTTAATAATTTAAAAATAAATACTACGTCAAACTGAACTCGTCTATCAGAAAGTGGTTTTAGATCCAACTTTTCTAGTATCATATTTTTATGAAAGTATATGATTAAATCTACTATTTAGCTAGGGTGTTTGTTTGATTAGTTTTCTTTACCCGGTTTGACGATCGCCGATGATCAATTCACGTTGACCACGACCGATGGGTACCAGAGAATCCACGGCTTTGATACCAGACTGCATGGGTTCCCTTACGGATATACGGGGGATGATACCGGGGGCTTTGATACCCACACGGAAACGAGTTTTGGTGTTTAACGGACCTTTTCCGTCGATCGGGTTACCTGAAAACAATCATAAATTAAACTCAATGTTCGAGACATAAAGGGTAACTATAGAAACGTTCTAAGAGTTATTTTTACGAAGGAAAGAAAAAAGGTAATTTACCTAAAGCGTCTACTACACGTCCCAAGATTTGTTCGCCTACGGGTACATCTACGATGGCTCCGGTTCTTTTTACAATGTCTCCTTCTTTGATGAGTTTATCGTTACCGAATACTACCACACCGACGTTGTCCGGTTCCAAATTCAAGGCCATTCCCTGAAATTACACAACAGAAATCATATTAAAACTAACTTACAATAGGTGCACATCTAATGTCTTACATAAGAAAGGGCCATTTTTTGGCATAACTATTTGTAAGTGACAGACTTTATTGTCAAAATCCGAAGAGAAGTGTTCGATTCATTTCCAATTTGATTAAAAAAATCGTTTTGTAAAAAAGTTCTTTTCTCACTTTTCCCTTTTCTTCTAGGTATATCGATATTTATATTTTGAATCTGACACTTTTCAATCGTATAACTGTCTAATGTCCCATATAAGAAAGGGCCATTTTTTGACACAATTTTTCTCCACCTGTCAAAATCCGACAAGTAGTACACCCTTCATTTTGTTTTAGATAATCGAATATTAGAAAAAAAAACCTAATAATACCTTGAGACCGGACGAGAATTCCACCATCTCATCGGCTTGGATATTGTTCAATCCATAAACACGGGCGATACCGTCACCAATGCTCAATACGCGACCCGTCTCGTCCAAATTGGCCTTCGGCGCGGCCCCCAGGATGCGCTCCTCGAGAATCGAGGAAATCTCGGCTCCGCGATTTTGCGTGCTGGCATGGAAATTTTTGCTCGCCGGAAAAGCTATCTAAAAAAGAAAAGTTTTCATGCAATCGGTTATGTAACACATCCAGAGATTATGTTAAGGATTTTCAACGGTACATAAGCGATCTATGAAAGAATTGTAGTAATCAGAAACGAAAATGTAGCGAAAAAGAGTCGTTCCGAAGCCGATTTAACGATTAAATCGAACTTTAAATGGTTTTATCACTTGTGATTATGTCATGACGTTCGGCGAATGTACCCGCTGAAAATTACGAATTTCCTCTAAAACTAATACGAAACGATGGGATATATACCTGAGCAATGTTCTTCGGCGCGGTTCTCGCCAATTTGGCGGCTAAGCGAGCGGAGAGTAAGGACATTTTCAAGCCGCTGTTCTCAAAATTCGAAGACCAAGTTCACTTTATTACACCACTGGCCAAGTAGACGGGCCGCTGAATGCGCATGAGCGGATGTGCGCAGTGACATCTTCGCCAATTGATTCAATCGAGTAATCTCTGTCACTTTCTAACTCGTAAGTTAGACGGCGCGAACGTGACAAACGAACGTACATTCACGATCTGTCAATTTAAGTTTGATTTCGGAGGAAACTGTAAAATAAAACTACCATAACCTCGAAATATTTATCAACAAACCGACATGAGTAAGAATAAAGAATTAATTTCTAAAATAGGTCTCAGATTAGACGGTAGAAGGGCGAACGAATTGCGAAGGATACGTTGTAAATTAGGCGTATTTACCGAACCCGATGGAAGCGCCTACATCGAACAAGGTCTAACGAAAGTTCTAGCAGCAGTGTACGGACCTCATGAAGTAATTATTTTAATTTTTTATATATAATACTTACTTTATTAAATACATTTAAGGTGAGAGGCGGTCGCTCTAAAGCGCAACACAACAGCGCCATTATAAATTGCCAATTCAGTATGGCCGTGTTTTCTACAACGGAACGTAAAAAGAGACCGAGAGGAGATCGAAAGAGCACCGAACTCTCCATGCACCTACAACAAGCCTTGGAGGCCGCCATAAAAAGCGAACTTTACCCATTTTGCCAAATAGACGTATATGTTGAAGTATTGCACGCAGACGGAGGCATTTATCCGGCGTGCGTTAATGCGGCTACGTTAGCTCTAATAGACGCCGGAATACCTTTAAAAGAATACGTGTGTGCCTGTACAGCCAGTTTGGCCAACAACGATATACCGATGTTGGATATATCGCATCAAGAGGAAGTTTTAGGGGGTCCTACGCTGACGGTGGCTGCTTTACCTATGTCGGGGAAGATCGTACTTATGGAAATGTCTCAAAGGTTTCATCTAGATCATTTGGATAAAGTATTGGAGAAGGCTTTGCAAGGCTGCAAAGACATCAAAGAGATTTTAGATAATGCGGTTAGGCTACACGTAACGGATATCGGAAGCTCGACGGGATGGGCCAATACCAAACACTGAAAATCCAATATTAATTGTATATATTTTTAAAGTAAATAAGAATGTTTAAAAAATGCGTTTTACTATAGCGAAAAAAACGCATTCTTTAAATGATAAAACTAAAAAATAATATAAATGTTGACTGTACAAAAATATTTTTGCCTTATAACCTAACTCGCGCGATTTTAATTGAAAATCTCATTGGGGATTAGCGTCCGGGTGTCTCTCCAATATCATGGCCACTCCCTGTGAAAATACAAACGAAAATTATTCATCGAAACGCGCAGAAAATCGTAAATTTTCTACGTACTTGGCCTCCAGCAGCACAAGCAGCCACCAGCCCGAATTGCCCGTCCTCTCTAACCAATCGATTGGCTGTATGCATAGCTAGTCTCACGCCGGTGGCGGCGAACGGATGACCGATGGACAACGAACCGCCCCAGTTGTTAAATTTACCAATATCGGGAGCCCCGACCTTCGATTGCCTGTTCATGTATTTTTGAGCGAACCAATCGCTATCCAACGCCTTCAAATTGGCCAAGATTTGTCCCTAAAAAACCCAACAGGAATTAATAGAAATAATTCGACTTATCTGCGTACTAACCGCAAACGCCTCGTGGAATTCCCAAACGTCTATATCCTTCGGCGTGAGCCCCGCTTTTTCTAGGATTCTGGGCGTTCCGTAAGCGGGCCCCAGTAGCAACTGATCGATGGGATCCTGCGATACGTACAGGAAATTCCTCAGGTAAGCTTTCGGCTTCAAACCCAGCTGTTTGCACTTTTCTTCAGTCGTTACGATGCAAGCAGATGCACCGTCAGTCTAAAACCAAACGCACTATTAGAGAGAAACCCCTTCGAAAAAAAAAATTGGATTAACTTACGAGGAACGAAGCGTTAGCGGCTGTAATAGTTCCGTGCGGTTTGACGAAAGCCGGTTTAAGCGAAGCCAATTTTTCCGGCGTCGAAACGCGAATGCCGTTATCCTTGTCGACCACCTTCGAGGAGCCGGGCACTTGGAACGGCATTATATCGGTCAAATAACCTTTCTCGCTGGCCTCTTGGGCGGCCTTGTGTGATCTCAAGGCGAAGTCGTCCTGCTCCTTTCTGCTCGCCCCGAAAGCGGCGGCCAATCTTCGAAAGAAACGGTTTTACATTCGTTCGAGAATCGTTAGATATCGATTTACCTATCGGCCGAATGGCCCATCGTTTCGCCGGAGGAAAATTCGGCGATGCTGGGCAAATCGGGCACGAAGAAATCCGGTCGAATGGTGGCCAATAGGGCTAATCTTTGTTGGAGGTTTTTCGCCTTGTTCGCTTTCAACATTAAACTCCTCATTTTCCTGCTGTGCTTTATGGGAATGTCCGACATGAATTCCACGCCGCCGCATACGATGGTCTCGTAGACACCGCTGTTTATCAAACCGATAGCTAGGAAAACAAAAACAATCATAAATTTATCCCAAATTAGATGAACGATCTGTTACAAGGTCTCTGAGTAGTTTCCTGAGAAGTTAAAGGCCAACGAAGGCCTACTTTATAATAGTTACCAAAGGTACTCGATTACCTGTTGTCATGGCAACATTGGAAGATATGCACGCCATCGTAACAGTGTGCGAAGGAGTCTTGTCACTGTAGCCGGCAGCCAGGGAAGCTTCTCTGGCAATGTTGGAAGTCCTAACTTCTTGCATAACAGTTCCGTAGATTACGTAATCGATTGCTTCTTTCGGAACGCCAGTCTTCTTTAGGATACCGCTGAAAGTACACGTAAGTTTGTTGGTTTCGACAGCGTCTGGGTAGAGTTATTAGTGTCAGTGTTGCTCACCTGAGGGCCTCCTTGGCTAGTTCGTAGGGCATGAGCTTGGCATAGTCGGTGCCGGACATCAGAAATGGCGTGCGTACCCCATCTACTAGGACAATGTTTTGACCGTTTTTCGGGGCCAAGCTCTTCTTCTGGTGCTGCTGGGTGCTCAACGAAATCGACCTTACGGCACCTTTGGTACAGATGTTGCGAATTAAATTGGTATCGAAAGAATAGCGTTTGACTTGACTTACTTCTTTGGTTACATTTCAGCCCCGACGTAAGTTGTTTCCTCAAAATATTGTTAACTGAACAAAAAGCCATTCTGGTACGATTTTTCGCTGTTGCGATGAAACAACTACAGTAAAAATAGCAGCCGAAGTTCAAAGTAAATCCAACTTTTTTAGACTTTGACCCCGTACTCGGTCGAACAAATTAGAAAATACAAATCAACAAAATCGGACGAACTAAACCCAAATTCCTAACCTATATAAAAATGACATTGACAGAAAATCGTTCGTTTGTTAGTCTACTAGTGTACACTTTTTACACCGCTTACTACAAAGAACAGAGCAAAACACGGAACATAATTTTGAAATAATTGGAATTTTGAATTAGATTAAAATTAATTCAACATACCTTCATTTTCTGAACAAAAATAATCTTAACACATTATTAAAATTCCACATAAAATCTAGATAGTGAAAATATCCAAAATCCACTCTTCGATTTCCATGGAAAGTAAAAAATCGAATTTGACATTGACGTTTATTTGAAGTTTGATAAGTTTGATCGAAAAAAGGTAAAAACTCTACAGAGGCGAAAAGGAATAAATAGGTTTTGCAGTATTAAAAACACTGAAAAATGGTAAGAGTATTTATCGTTAAATTCCCGAAATAATAATGTACTTTTTCACAGGCGCAAGAAGTCGAAGAAACCATGAAAAGGATCCAGTCCCACAAGGGTATCGTAGGCACTATCATAGTGAATGCGGAAGGTTAGTCATTGCTATTTAAACATAGCGGGGTTTATAATTTATTCAATCCATTTCAGGCGTTCCCATTAAGACCACGCTAGATAACACAACAACAGTGCAATACGCTGGGTTAATAAGTTCTTTAGCCGACAAAGCTAGGAGTGTCGTTAGAGATTTGGATCCTTCGAACGATCTAACTTTCTTGAGAATTCGATCGAAGAAGCACGAAATTTTGGTAGCTCCCGATAAGGAATTCATTCTTATAGTCGTTCAAAATCCGGTCGATTGATCGTTTTTCATACTCGTATTTATTCAAATTATTCAAATGCTAGCTTCGATTTGATTGTGAATTCACGCTTTTTTTTATCTTAATATAAATATTTTATTTAATTGCAGACTTGAGTTTTTTTTTCTCCAATCATTTTACCGACTAATCGAATTAGATGCATCACTGGCAAGAGTACAATATCTGTGATTTGACTTCAAGTATCGATATCTCGAAAACGAGGCGAGATATCAAAAAATGTTATTCTTTATTTTCGCTTTATTTTGGCTCAATTAAGCTAAAAAGTTGTCAGATCTCTCCGCATCACTAAATATTACTGGGAAAATAAATGTACACTCGATATAAATAATACTATAATTTGTATAAAAATATAGTCTGTACATATGTCTTTAAAATACTCTTCTATGTATGTACACAACTGTTGGTCAAAATATATTACTCGTTTCTTTTATATTAAATTATATAAAAAATACATTTTTTTTCTTAAAAACTATGACTAGCTGATTGTACAGCATGAAATGTTGCAAATGAGGTAGATTAAAATTGTTCATAAAACGGGAGTTTTTAAATCGAAATACGTCGATAAGATGAACTCGTATCGAAGCGTTTCGATCGATTCAAATATCCTAATAACTGATAAAATTTTCCATGATTTTGTACTCGATTATTTTCCTGTGAGTTTTTTCGTTACGATACATTTTTTAAAAAAATTAACGATTAACATCTAGTCGAAGAAAATCGAACGGCCCTCGTCGATTTAATTCAAACGAAACTACCAATATTATACAATTCATCACAAATTTCATTCCGTTGAAGTAAATCGAGAGAAATCGTTCGGACTCTATTCTATACTAATCATAAAGCTTATAATTTTATTATTATAGTTTTAGCACCAACGTGTTTTAACAGTTACTCGTAATGTGATTTTATCCATTTTTTTTAGTCTCATTACATGAGAGTCTCACAGATATGAATTTCGCGTGTTTTGTACTCAAAGTACTTTGCGCTTTTATTTCAATAATTTTGCTGCGTTTAATAGAAATCCATCTCTTCGAGATATCTTTTGTAGCAATTTAAAATATCTTACAATGTGGAAGTGATATGTATAAAATACTGCATTTTAAATACCTAAAATTAACAAGTTTTTTTTTTCAACGAGATATAGAATAATTATAAAACGTAACACGTATTAACTGTTTTTGTACATTTGGTAACAGTAGTTAATAATAAAGAAGAACAAAACAAAAAAAATAGGAATAAATATTCTTTACAAGTTGAAAACAATTAGGTATATCACTTTCGTATATTATTCTATTTTTATAGGAATCCAACGGTCACTTTTTTTCCTATCGGAGTATTAAATACTTCAAATAAAGCATAAATATACAGGATGTCCCACGACGAGTTAAAACTATCTGTATATAGGAATATAGTTAAGATAGTTTTAACTCGTCGTGGGACACCCTATATAACAGTATTAAAAATATAATTTGTAATTTGATCATTAAAAAAAAGTGCCGGTTCATCGAGTCCCTTCCCCATTGAATAGCCGAACAAACAAAACAAACATGAGACCTTTTCTTTTTAACGTTTTTTTTCCCAATTTTCAGATCAATATATTAATTTTCGAAATAAATCTCATTATTAAAGAAATCGAACGATCGGCCTTTGAATAAATTCTAATCTATTTGTTTTTTTTTGGTAACGTTCCGTGGTAGCAATTTCGACAAAGACCGAACGTCGGGACGTAACTAATGTAAAAATAATATAATAAAAAAAATCATAAAATAATAATAATAGAATGTAAAAATTGTAAAATGTTCTTCGTCAACATCGGTACTCCAAATGGAATAATAAATTGTCTTTTGTATGGCAGTGTTTGTTATAAGTACTTATAGTCATTTATGATTTTACTAGAATATTTCACAACTATGTAGATAAGATAATTAATAGAGAAGAACCGATATTGACAAAGAACAAAGCCCTTTCTTCTTCTCTTCTAATTTTTGTATACGCATACAGGGTGTTAATTAATGCAATGGACTTATTTTAACGGGTGATTCTTGGGCTAAATTTTGAGTCGAATTTTAGATGTTTGTTTTTATCAATAACTCCGAAACCAAAGAGAAAAAGCAAAATTTGTAGTCTTTCAGTCTGATCTCCTTACTCATAAACCGAAAAAAAATTGGCTTTAATTTTGAGACACCCTGTATATATATTTTGAATCGGATATCTCATTGCTGAGGTCCCGGTGGCGACTGGAACGTCTGACTAAATCCGGGCAATGGTAAATTCGTCTCTTCAGGCGCTTCAAGCAACAACAATTCCGGATTGCTCAGCAACACCTCGTTATCGTCCAAAACAACTTGACTAGCATCCACGTTTTCGGCTATCAAAATACCGGGAGGCGTCGATGTACTTTCTATGTCCAATATGCTACTACCTATTACAAAAAAAAAAAATGGTAAATTACTGTCTGGGGCAATTTAGAACTGTCCGGAATGATTTACAACTGTCCGGAATGATTTACAACTGACCAGAATGATTTACAACTGTCTGTAATGATTTAGAACTATCTAGATTATTTCAGAACACTTCTGAACGAATTAGTCTCCCTAGAACTGTCTGGATTGATTCTGAATACTTCTAAATGAATTAAAACTGTTTAGAATGGTTTAGAACTGTCTAGAATGATTTAGAACTATCTAGATTGATTCAGAACACTTCTGAACAAATTACAACTGTTTAGAACTATCCAGAATCATTTATATTGTTTCAGAACACCTCTGAACGAATAAGAACTGTCTAGAATGATTAACAACACTTCTGAATGAATTAGAACTGTTTAGAATGATTTATAACTCTCTATAATGATTTAGAACTATCTAGATTGATTCAGAAAACTTCTGAACAATTTAGAACTATTTAGAATTGCCCAGAATCATTTATATTGTTTCAGAACACCTTTGAACGAATTAGAACTATCTAGAATGTTTCACAACACTTCTGAATGAATTAAAACTGTTTATAAAACTGATTTAGAATGACTTAGAAAGCTTCTCAACGAATTAAAACTCTCCAGAATCATTCAGAGAACTCTCCAGATTCGAGTTTTGTAATTGCCTATTATAAAAGCGTCGCATAACGATAAAAATAAATATAAGATAAGAGAAGAGAACTTACTCAGATATTTCAGTTCGTCCGTAGTGGAAGAGGCCAGGAGGTTTTCGCTCTCCAAAAACGGCGTCAGATCGCCTTCGATGAGCGGCAAACCCAAATCGACCGAAGAAATGATAGCGGGAGCGACGTATTCGGTTTTGATTGCCGTTTCCGGCGTTTCTTTCGGTTCGATTTTGATTGAAACGCCGGCCGATTCTTCGGCTTTGTATTTGTTATTGTGCGACTTCTTTATGTGCCTGACCAAGTGGTCTTTTCGGCCGAAACGTTGAGGGCAATATTGGCAGAGGAAGTCCCGCATACCTGGAAAAAATTCAAATATTTTTTTATTTTTTTTTGCGATTTTTATACAGGGTCGTAGAAGTTTTTTTTCTTAAAATAGGCCCAAGAATCACCCCCATAAATATTAGCATTTTAGTCATTTTGGAACACCCTGTATAGTAAAATGTCTCGCGGTAAAGTCCAGAAATGGGAACGTTTTTATCTTATCTTATCTGTTCCAAATTGGAGATTATTGATTTTACCAAAAATAGTTCTATTTTATCCCACGAATTATGAATTTGAGGGCGTTGGCGGCCTTAATTAATCCAATTCGGAATTTGCAATTTTACAAGGCATTTCACGAATCGTATCGTAAAGAATGTAGTCTAGTCTAGTTCAGTCTAGACGATGCGATACATATTTTCATATAAAAAAAATACGAAAAAGAATTTACAAATCGAATACCTGTATGCACAACGTTATGCCTACGGACGTCCTTTCTCGTAAAAAACCTCCTACCGCACTCATCGCATTTGAATTTCTTCTCGTTGGGATTCTTCACCGTCCGGCTACCGGCGTGGATCTTCAAATGGAACAATATCTTCTCTTTGCTCTCGAACACCAATTGGCAAATCTGGCAGGTCAAATTGCCCTCTTCGGCGGCGTGCAAAGCCAAATGCTTCCTAAAAAAAGAAAACGCACAGATACTATTTATGTATCACTATACAGGGTGTTCCAAAATGACATGCAATTGTATAATATTTAAGAGGGTGTTTCTTGTTTCTTGGGCCCATTTTGAAATATCGGGGAAAATAGTTTTCGAGGGTTTTCTAAAAATCGAAATAATTTGCAAACGGTAAGATTTACGAATATTTTTCATACTTGCAAAAAAATTGAAAATTCTTTTTTCCGTCCATTAAAAGAGACCGCGTGTTTTTCCGACTTATACTTTTTGAGTTTTTTCGAAAAAACCGTTTTTAAATTGTCTTCAAGTTTGTAACGCCAAAACTCGGAAACTTTTATGTTTTAGAAAATTTTGAAAGCGAAAATTTATAGATACGACATTTTTCTATCTACCAATTTTTTTTCTCATTTTTTTAAATATTATTTATCGAATTATAAGATTTTTCGAAATCGGTACATATTTTACCGCTACCTTCGAACCGGAAGTGAAAACTTTCAGATCGACGATGACGTACGATCATTTCCGACGAAAGACGAAGTCGATGACATTTGAGTTTCTATGGATACGTTGACATTTAATTTGATTTACAGGGTGTTTTTTACGAACCTGTAACTGAGCAAAGAAGTGTACTGTTTCTTGCAATTATCGCACACGTAAACGTCCTTCTGCGGACTGTGGACCTTCACGTGGTTCTTGAGATGGTCCTTTCGATGGAACGTTCGATCGCACACAGTACAACTGAATGGTTTCCGATCGGAGTGTATCAAAGCGTGCCTGACCAATTTGAATTTCGATGTGAATATCTTCTTGCAATTGTCGCATTTAAACGGCGATGAACCTACGAAATAAAAAAAAATCAATCTAATTGATGCTATCTCTGTTCGAGGCGTATACACTGGTGCTTCATTCGCGATTGCAACATGGGCATTTCTATGAGTTGAACAAAGAAAGATTATTAAAATAACAGTTGTCAGAGTGAAAAGTTACAATGACACAAATGTCACTCTTTCTTTTTCCTTTATAAGCGTCTAATTGAAGTTGTCTTTGTTCCACCCACAGCCTATGTTGCAACGAACAATGGAGCAATCTGTATCTCGAAACGGACCGGTGTGAGTTTGTCCGTGCTTGTCCAATTTGTCCGAGCTGGCGAAGCATTTCTTGCAATAGGGACACTGATGGGACTTCCTCGATTGGTGCGACTCCTTTCTCGATTTCTTCAGTCTTCCCGGTGTAGATGCGTAAGCTGCCGGTTTGGATTTCGCGGGCGTTTGCAGACCAGATGGGCCCGGTTGCTCCAAAGATTTACTCGTGCTCGGTTGCTGGTAGTCCGGATAGTATTTCGTTTGTACGTAATAGCGTTCTACAAAACGACAATGCACGTGTATGGTTAATCTCAATGAGAATCATCTCAATACAAAAAAAATTCAAATACAAATACAGGGTGGCACATTAGTATGGAAAAGCTCAATATATTTGTTATTGTAGAAGATATCAAAAAAACTTCATTACAAAAGTTGTAGATCTTTTTAAGCTTTTTAAGCATATTTTAAAAGTTGAAATTAGCTCGTTTTCAGCTTTCCAAAAATATAATATTGTATTATATTATACTGAGTGGTTTAAAAGTTGTGACCACTTTTAAATGAAAATCGTATTAAGTTTACCACTCTGTAGAAACTAAATGGATTGAATTGAAAATAAGTTTTAGATTTCACAACATTGCAAATATCCTGAAAATGTACAAAATGAATATTTTTCGACAATTTTAATCATTTTTAATGTTTCTAGAAAATCTTTTAAATGGACTATTGTCGTTCTTGCCCTGTACCCTTCATATGAATCGAATCCGAATTTCAAAAATCACTTCACTCACCTATTTTGGATTGTTCCAATTGGATGTCTTGAAACGAGTCCGGTTTGGCGCCGGTTCGTTGGACGATGGGATTTGAGGGAAATTGAACGGGTACCCTTTCGATGACGCCCATTTCTGAGGTAGACGGTTGTTCTCGAACCGTTGGCGTTTGTTCTAACGGAAAACCTTGCTGGGCCGTATACAAAGGCGTACGAGGCCGATGTCGGATGGGTTCGGGTTCTGTTTTCACTACTACCTCTTCGATACCGCCTGTCTTATCGCCTGGAGTTCCCATGGCGATAACAATAGGAACAGCATCATCTGGAATATTTAAACATTAGTAATTTATATTGATTAGTTATATTTAAATTTTATTTACTACTCTATAGACACTTCTTGTGTAGTGGATTTTTTTCGTGGGTTTAAATGAAATTAGAATAAAGAGCATTTGCGTGTCGATTACGCTTGATAAAAATTCGAGGTTTATCTGAGATATTTTAGAAATAAGAAATTATTATAATATCAAACAATGAAATAATATATCCAGATAATGAGGCGCTCTAAGGTTGCAGCGCAAACTTTTTAATTTACACGATACTCATATAAAATGTAATTGATTAAATCAATATCTATGCGAAATCGATTGTAATAAACAGAATAATTAATAATCGAATCGAAATTGGAAAAATTTATAACGTTACCTTCGAAATTTCGCTCCGTTTTAAACAATTTCAAAATGGCACGATTAGAATTGATTGGTTTTATGAAATTTTCACATCTTACAAACGGAAAAACGATCTAATGATTATGATTTTCCACAACAAACTAATAACAATGTGCGTTGATCCGAATGCATTTTTATCTGATTGATAAAGATTTCCATTATTATCTGTGTGCATAATGAAACGAACAAAAAAATCGAAAAAAATCCTTATAAATGCATTCGAAATGTAACAATTAATTTTAGCACAATGAAAGATAATGCTCGATCGAATCGAGTTTAATTCAAATAGATTATCTTATTCATACGTTTGTAATTAAAAGAACTTACAGTCGAGATAACACGAACGCGCAATAATATTTGGTAAATCATTTTAGAACATCTCCTCACCTTTTACTAAATTTATGCAAATTCACTCACTATTTCCTTTCAATTAGAATTAAAAATTAACGATAAATTTCGATCAAACATTGCCCAATACCTGCAGGAAATTTATGTATTTGTGTTTGCCCAGAAAACCAGCGAAATTCATCGATAGACGAAATGTTAAATTTCCTCTCGGGGCAATATGTTTCGAATGTATCTCAGGAATTTCCTCTTTAAAATTAAATGCCACAGAGATAGTATCGAAATATTTAATGATAATTTTTTTATTAACTGTAACCGATGGAATTTAGGTCGCAAAAACGGATCTGAAAAGTTTACTTTCTACAATGAGGATGTCAATTGTATCTCATGGAAGGTGCAATGAGAATGCAGACGGTTTGAACTGTTTAAATGTTCGGGGGATACTCACAATCCTTGTTTTGTTAGCAGCAAACGTTCCTAAACTGTTTCTAAGACATTAAATTGTACGGTCGTGGAATACGGGTTTACATTAATTTCGAACGAAAATTAAGCAATCATATCCTTGTGTATTCGATTTTTCGATTGGGCTATCTTCTTCGGCAGCGCTGCGACTTTCTAAAGGACCTTCGAGAACGACGTGCGATAGTTCTTTCTGCTGGTAATCGTTCTTCGAACAAACACTATTTTCCACACGAAGAAGAAACTCGCAAAATTATGTAAATAAAAACGTCACTGTCAAGAAGACACCATAATGGATTTGACAATTTCATAACCTCAAGGTCTTTCCGTTTGACGTTTGACTTTTCTAAGGACATTCGCAAGGTAGAGTGAGACGGTCGCATTCGAACGATGTAATAAAACGAAAAGGGAGATTATTTTTATATTTTCTACGGATTTCGTGGAAAGTAATCCTAATATCGATTACATTTTTGCGATAACAATTAATCAAGTACGCGAACATCAAATTAATTAATACGTTAATTTGCACTTCGGTTTTGCGCAATAAACATTACGAGTTGTTAAATGTGTTGCCTAACTGAAGGAGACGGAACAATTAATTTCGGAAAAATTTTAATCTGTCTATGTCAAAAATGAGAAGAGTCTTCTGTGGCCGAATAGCCATAGACATTTAGTATTCAATCCGAAACAGTAGAAGAAATAGCTGAATAATCTAAGTAGCTAAAGTTTCAAAAAACGTTAATAACAAAAAGAAGAAGAAATTAAAATGTTTTTCAGTGAACGTGAGCAGGAAAATTGGTGTTTTTGTTTAAAAGTATTACTGCTCTCGTTTTTTAAGACTATTACCGCTTGTAATGTTACCAAACGTTTTTTTTTTTTAGGTACAACTGGACATTTTAACGAACCGCCGAAATAACATGTATAAGTTATTCGAAAGATTTAACGTTAAAATCTAAATATCCATATCAATTTGGATTAAAGTTCACAATTAAAATATGGAACTATTATGTAACGAAGCATTTTCCAATTCTTATGAACTTACCGCAGGATTCCATTAAAATCAGCAAACATCCATCAGGGGGCACTCGACAATAAATTTTTCTAATTTTTTTTTAGGAAAAATCTATTTTCCCTACGATCTCTCGTCGCTTTTTTTCACCAAGTGATTCCATTTCTACGAATCGAATGTTATCAATCTCGTATTGATTGGATTTATCTGCATCGTGCAGGTTTCGTAGGTTTTCGAACGATTTCGTTCGATTTCGAACAATCGACGAGGAGACAATGGTTCTTTAAGTTATTTACTCAAACACTCAAATCGAATTCCATGTAAGTGTTTGGTAAATTGTTAAACTAAATGGGACCGTTTTATTGACATTGGCCTTTTTTGTCGAGGTTCGATAACTCCTAATTAGCACAGGTATAGGGCAATCTTATATTGTATCTTATTGGATTTTCAAATGTTGTGATGCACCTTTTAAAACGTGTTTTAAGTAGGAAAAAAGTATACGAAATTTATCAAGAAAATTAAAAAGAGCCAAATACTTTCGCAATTTTTTACTCGACAAATTGTTGATCGTTTTAAATCACATCAATTACGCGCGATTTTCTACTTCTTCTTTCCTGCAACATAAAATTTACATGTTAACAAAGAATAATAAAGGATGTATTTAGGAATCTTACTGAATTCACAATTTACATTCAAAAAGGCGTGGAATATACGGGGATATAAAGGAAGAGGTATGAGAGGGAATTTTGTTAACCTGGAATAAAATTTAATCGTTACAACGTTTCCTCGATTTATTTTCTCGAGTAAAGATATATTTTCTTGTTAAAACTTACGTTTCTTCTTCTTCATATCCATCCTCTTTGTCACGTACAATCTCCAATAATTCTGTATTTTTATGGCGCATCTGTGCAAATGCAATTGATAGGCCATTTCGTTGAATATTCTCTCCTCTTCTTCGGTCTTTTCTCTCATTGCATTCGCGTAAAGTACGTCCTGTTTCGCCAGCATATCGTTGATGTTTTTCATTTGGTTATTCAGCCCTGTCATCCTAATGAAAAAAAAAATTAATTGAATTATCTCGAAGACTAATCGAGATAGAAACGTCTCTTTTATTTTGTCTAATAGAAAGAAGATTTCTCTACAATTTTCGCAGAATGTAAAATTTTCGAAAATTGCTTAATTTTCGAGATATTTTGAGTTTTTGTGTATCTACTAATTGTAAAACAATTTAATGATAAAACGCAATTATCTCGAAAACTAACCGAGATAGAATCTTCCCGTTTGTTTCGTCTTATAGAAAAACCATTTCTCTACAATTCCCGTACAATCGGAAATCCACGAAAACGCCTCAATTTCCGCTACAACAAAAAATTAAAAGAAAATCTCACTAACTGGTCAAACAATATCTCGTAAGACCTCTGCTTATCGAGGCTATCCTGATCGTACGTATTTATCCAACCCAACAGTTGCGATTCGATCTTCAATCGTTTCCCTCTAGCCTTATTCTCCTCTTCCAAATTAAACTTTAATATGTTATCGTACTTTTGCACAATCTCCTCCGCCTCTTCGGCGAATTGCGCCTGATGGAATTCGCTCTGCAGGCACGTTTGCATCATCTCGTTTTCCGAATCTCGCCTGTTCGAAAGAAAAAAAAAACAATCTCCTTAGTTACTCCATAACAACAATGCAAAACTGTCAAAAAGTTTAAAATTCGAACCGCTTACACGGCCTTCTTGATGTCCATTTGAAATGTGTCGACGACGCTCTCCTTTTTGCTCTTGTACATTTCGATGATGCCCCGTTTTTCCTCCAGCTGCTTCTTGAAATCGTCCCGTTGCTTTTGCAGCGTCTGCTTCAGCTCTACAAATTAAAATAGTCAAATAAACCGTCGAACGGTGACGTTCAACCAATCACAGCGCTCCGTTTCTCCCTTCGGCCAATCGGAGGTCTCGCCGAATTAGTGACGTCAGTATCGACAATTTTGTCATCTAAACGGTACTTTATTATTAACTTATTTACCGTCGATTTCCTCGTTCAGGGCAATGTTGATTTTATAGGCGGTCCTCAATTCCTGCTCGTTTTTACGATGGTCCTCGCCCGTGACGTAAATGCGATGTTTTATAGCGGTTTTCAATCGACTCAGCCACGACATTAGGGTGACTACGTTCTTGTCTAAAGGCGGATTCGCAGTGGTTTTGATGACTTTGCGAATGCACCTATTGTAGAACAGAATGTCGATCATTTGATATACGGCAGGATCGGGGAAATCTTCGAGCACCACCGACGCATGCTGGCCGCCGCCTCTCTTCGACGACGATTTATTCATCTGTGAAAAATTTACGTTAAATTTTTTTTTTAATTTGAATTTGGCGCCGAAAAAGCGTAAGTTGCGCGTCGCTTCGTGCGCATGCGAACGCAGCTTAAAAGCAAACGTTGACGCTGCAAAATCACAAAACTCGATATTTTTCAAAAACGTTTAGGTATAAAAAACCTGCATGAAACTTACGTTTATTTTCATCGTACAAATTAAAAATTAAATAATGAATAGGCCATTCCATTAAAAAAAATGTAAGTTAGTCTCTTTTTTAGGACATCCTGTAAAAACACTCACAACTTTTTCATCACCTTTTTTTCACCAATTGACAAATTAAGCATTTAACGAATTTGTTCCAACCTTTACACTCTCTCTGTAAGTCTGTATACCATATTCTCTGGTAATGTTCTATAAAGTTTCGACACCGCTGTTGCCTACCTAGTATTTATCGTTTTCTTTGATTTAAAGGAATTCTAATCACTCTTAGTTTAACCCATTTTTTAATAAAATAAATGGTTGCCTTACCGTGCCTAATTTCAAAAAATCGGATAATAATTCCTTATGTTTGCCTTGCCTAAAACTGTCGTCGATGTGAAACCCCCATATTTGTAGTAAATTGAATATAAATTGGGTTTCTTGGGATTTCAAGCTTTTCCTTAAAATGTGGGCGTCATCTTCGAGGAAATACGGTAAGTGCGCCTAAAAAAATAACAGCAATTTATTATAAGGACGAGTAAAAAGTCGAATTATCTCGAAAATTGTGCGATTTTCGAAAATTTTAGATTCTACGAAAATTGTAGAGAAATGTTTTTTTACAAGTAAATAAAATTTGTATATTTACCAGTACGTTCAATTTGGCCAAACCTCTGCTAAAAATGTACACGACACGATCGGCTTGCACTTGCAAATTGAACTCTTCGCTTGTCACATCTTTATTTTTGAACAAATTAAATACGCGCTCGTACAAATAGTCATCGTTTTCCTTTTTTAGCGTCATTAATTTTATTATTATTGTTATTAAATATTATCACTTAAAAAAATGACGAAAAAATTATAAAAAAAACGTTTCGTTTTTGATACAAGCTTTAGATAAAAACAGGTTAAATGTCATGACAAAAACAACAAAGAAGCTGTAGCTAAGCAACCAATCAATAAATCGATATTTCTCATAATTTTCTGTACACAGGGTGTTAAAAAATTACTTCGATAATTCGAAAATAACGCAAAACTTTTATTCAACTTACAACTATAACATTTTCAAACAAAAAAAAAAGACAGATTTTGTTAAATCATCACTTTCGTGAATTTGAACTCCTACTGGGATTGGTCGATTTTAAACCTCTTTATTTACCAAAGGAAGAACTTTTTCATGTTTTTGACTGCAGATTTGGCATCTCCGTTGTCGTTTCCATAAGGCTTTTCCGGGCCACCCTGTATAAAAGTTATTTTCGCGGAGCGCATTCTGAGTATAACTATGCGGAGTGAAAAAATTTGCCTTAGTCCAATATATAAAATAAAATATTTGCTAAAATAAACATAAAATATTTATTATAATATTTAACAGATAGGTATAATAACAATATATATAACTAATAACATATTTTAACGAATATAGTTTAACGGATATAGTTTAAAGTGGTACAAATACATTTCTAAATTGTTGCTACGACCGCGTATGTGGCAACTCCACATTGATTTTTATTATTTCTGGACATCAAAATGTAACCATCCATTCCCCAATCGGTTCCCCATGAATTTTTAACAATCCAATAATCTTTTCCATTTTTACTGCCATATCCAACAGCCAATACACCATGATCCAATGATTGTCTATCACTTTCACAGGAATCGTCATCAAATACACCTGTTAAATTGTAAATCGTCTTATTGTTAATATCGTTCGAGAAAGTATAAGAAATAAAAGTATTTACCTGAACTATACAATTGGAAATTATAAGTTGCATCAATTCCAATCGATACAGGTCCAATCAATGCAACTTTTTCTTGTAGGTCTTGTTCATCACCAATTGCTACTCTTGTAAATGATGTAATTTTCACAGCTACATCAGATTTGTTAAATTTACACAAGTCATCTATTGCTTCATAAGGATAATCTTTTTCGGACATAATTCCGTTTTTTTCTATATATTCAAGTGCGTTTATCATTAATCCTCCTTCACATCCACCATCTTGTTTGTCACAATCTACCAAATTTTGTTCGCTTAGAGAAACCAATTTGCCAGTTTTTCTGTAATTTGCCCCTTCAACTGTTCCCGTCTGTTAAAAATCAATTTAGTATTTATTAATATTTTATGTTCGTATTATTAAAATTACTTACAGTACTGAAGCTCCAACATGATCCGCAGGCTAATTGATTTTTGATTTCTGTTACAGCCCCCTTTTTTCTCCAATCAATTTCGTTAGGAAGTTCACCTTCGTAGTCCAATTTAGTAGGAGTGATTTCTTTATCTTCCGTCGTTTCACTCTTAGATAATTTCATCATATCTTTAAATTCTTGAGGTGTAAGATCAGCAAATACAGTAACTCCCATTCTGTAGGATGAAAGGCCTTGCTCTTCTTTTGCATTATGAGCTTCAATTCTGCGTAAGTTCGATTGGAAGATCGAGAATCGTTTCGTTTCTTCTAAAGCGGTTTTGTACACTTTTTTGTTTGTAGACTAACAAAAATTAAGTTTACACTTTATTACCGCTAAAAAAAATCCCCTTTAAATTACTTACTTTGAAATTGAGCCATTCCTCCTTATCGGTTAGTGCATAGGCAACGAGGATGTTTGCCAAAAGTACAGTAATTATCAGTTTCATCTAGAAATTTTATTAATTCATAGATAAGTAATCGATTTAAAGTGATAAAAATAATTGTGAGAGTACTTACGTTTTTTTCTTCCTTTATAACTTGAAGACAGTTGGAAATGTATTGTTTCGAAGTGCAGTTGAGACTATGAAATGAATTCCCGAAGTGGGCCTATTTATATTGGATAAATCTTATTTTTTTGTTATTAGGAAATTACATCTTGCTTAATAACTTTGCAAAATAATTGTATCTTTAAATCTGGAGTACCTATATTGTTTGTCAACAAATATAAATAACCATCTGTTTTTAATATGTACACCTTACATTTTTCAAATTATTTATTTTTATCAGATTTAATTTACAAATCATTCTTTGCAAAATTGATTATTTGCTGTCTTGTAATTATTTTCATTCGAAAAATATTATTTATCGATAAAATTGTTGTCTAAATATATGTGTTTAGTTAAGGAAAATAGTGGTTTCCTATTAATTATAATATTCTGATGAAAATTCTCAACAAGAGGATGTCGACTCAGAGGGCATCCACGTGAGGAATTTTCTTTCCCGCATGATGTTCAATGCTATAGTCGAACTCTTCCATTAACATTGCCTATCTTGAAACTTTTGGAGACAAATATTTCTTCTCCATCGTCATTTGTAATGCAGAACAATTTGTAACTAATTTAAATCTAATTCCTAGGAGACACTACTAAATTTTTCTTCGCCGAATGTCGTCTTTTTGCTCATGTAATGAACAGTATATGGTTTGGAAATATTAAAAGACTCGCTAAACGCTAGGAAAGGGGGCTGCGCCCCCTTTCAATCCCCCTTTCTTATGGAGGCGGCTTCGCCGCAAGACAGTTTGATAGTTGTTTTATCTTGATCCTTACCACTCAGGACTGCTTAAAAGTTTTGGTGCAAATGGGCATTAGGAATATTAGGATAGCAGTATGTGCAAGGAGGAAGAACGAAAATTGCCTTTATTCATGTACGTTTAATTAACAACACTGCCCGATACTAGCGCTATGACAAGAGTTTCCGGACCTGTTATTATACGACCGTGCTTGATTGTGAATTTTTGACAGCTGACAGACAGTGATATTAAATGTTAACCTAAAATTTTTTTCTCAACATATTATATTTTCCTCTATTATTTGATAAATATTTAAGGGATAATACATAATAATTTGAGCTAATAATGCAAGATATGGAGAATTTGTCTGACGTTAGTCATTTAGTAAACGAAATAAAACACAAGTAAGTACTATTTTTAGCTTGAACTTGTGCAACATAAGGTAAACAATAATTCAATATTTAGAAAATTGTACAATTCCTTGGACATCGCTCTAAAAACCGAAGAATTATTAGAAAAATTAATATCCCACGATCAATGGAAGAGCGCCCGCGAATTAATGAAACTAGTTAAATCCAGAATCAAATTTATCCGGAAAGATTTACCTACGGAAACAACAGCCACCAGCATCATGAGACACATCCTGAAGATTATTAGGGAAGAATATGAATCGGCGGCCAAAGTAATACGTTTTTCTTTAACAACCCAATTTACTTTGTATATAAACTAATGAAAATGTTGGCTTGTAGAAAAAAGGCGAAGGCCAATCGTTACATCAACTAGTCACTGCTAATTCCAGCGACATCTTGGATTACTCGGAGAACTTGGGCAGTTTACGATCGAGTATATTAGACCATTTGGGGGAATACAAGGTGGAAATTGAATCGAGGTAATAATCGAGGTAAACCATTGTGTTTAAATAAATAAAAAAAATATTGTTTGATTAGTTCGGATAATATAGCAGCACAAGCATCCGAACACATTCACACAGACGAGATGATTATGACAGTGGGAAAATCGAATACCGTCGAGAAATTTTTAAAAACCGCCGCAAAAGATAGAAATTTTAAAGTGGTCGTCGTTGAAGGAGCCCCATTTTACTACGTACGTTTTCATTTTGTCTATACTCTATTTAAAAACTAGAAGGAGCGATTTGAATTTAAGTTGGCAACACTCGCGTACATTTGATGTACAGAATGTTGTTTTGGGGCTGGACAAACTTTATTAATTTCTATTATTAATTTATTAAAATCACTCCTCCTAGTTTTTAAACAGAGCATAATAGAACACGATTGTATTTATCTTTTTTAATAATTGTATTTGTCGATTTTTCTTCTTTAGGGTCATTCGATGGCCGCCAGTTTGGCTAAAAGTAACATTCAAACGATCGTTATACCGGATTCGGCGGTATTCGCAATGATGTCTCGAGTGAATAAAGTGATAATCAGTACGCATACTGTCCTAGCTAATGGTGGTTTAAGAGCTGCTAGTGGAATTCACTCGGTCGCTTTGGCTGCTAAACAATTTTCAGTACCCGTAAGTATCACTGTAGAGTTCTTTTTATAAATAGGAATTATAAATTAGGAATTTGTTCCACATAATATTATTTTTATAAATAGGGTCTATTAATTATTTTTTTCTTCGTAGGTCGTGGTGCTCTCTCACATGTACAAATTCACTCCATTATATGTGGTTTCAAATAATCACGAAGCATTTAACATATGCGCCTCTCCTGCCGATGTGATTCCCCCATCTGCTGGGAAAATTTTAAACGATATCGACGTGTATAATCCAATATTTGATTACGTACCGCCGGAATTGGTCACTTTGTTTATATCTCATCAGTAAGTATTTTTAACATAATTTTGACCTATAGAATTGCTATCTGAACTAAATTTAACTTTAATTTTATCTTTCTCTGCTTTTTATTTGAACTAAATGTTAAAATTTAACATTTTGCTTGTAGAATTACCATTGAAGATTGTTTGTAGTTCGATTGGGTATTTATTGATTTTTTTTTGTTTTTTTTAGGGGAGGAAACGCGCCTTCTTATGTATATAGATTATTGTCCGAATTGTACCATCAAGACGATTATGATGTTTAGAAATATATGGGTATTGTTTTCATTTGTGATTTTACACAACATTAAATGGCTGTTTAGCCACAATGGTCAAAGATCAAGTCGATTTTTAATCGATTCTATATCGATATTTAAAGTGTCCTATCTAAAAAACTCGCAATAAATTTTGCACTTTTTACTTTACAAGTAATTACAATTAGTAAAATTAATTAGATTAATTAATTTGTCGTTACACATCTGTCGGTAGAATGTCGGGAATTAAATATTTACACAATTCTTCTTCTGACGAAACAAATTTCACTTTGCTCGTCGTATTTTCGTCAAGCCTGTAAAAATAAATTGGAAATTAAAACATATTGAAAAAAAAATATACAGGGTATTAGCTCAAGAATCATACTTTAAAATAAGTACATTGCATTAATTAACACCCTGTATGTATATGAAAGAAAATTACCATCCTTTGATGACGGCCCAACAACCGGAAAACAAAGCAGGCGAGTTTATGATCAAACAAACGCCCAATCTTTCTGGGTAATGTCTCGACAAAAGCCATATCAGATTTTTTATCAATTGATAATCCATGCAGGCCATGCCGAAATCTTTCAAATCGAATACGATGCAAAGGTTGTCGATTACTTCCTCGAAACATCTTTTGCAGGCGTCTTCCTAGAAATTACAAAAAAAAAATAATATCTAAATTAGATTAAAAAAATTAACGAAAGTCTTTGATATGTATTCAGAGCTTTACTTGACAATTTTACATTGTTGTTATGGAGTAACTAAGGAGATTTTTTTAAATTGACAGTTTTACATTGTTGTTATGGGGTAAGTAAGGAGATTGTTTAAGTTTATCAATTACCTACTTAGAGAATATAAAAAATTGATTTACGAAAAAAATATAAATATTAATCTTACCAAACAATAGACGATAAATTTGGTCAATTCATCGATATCTCGATTATTCGCATTGTGATTTTTGGCTGGTATGTAAATGACAGGTCTTCCTGTCATATCTCTGTGCCTCAAAACTTTCGCCTTGTTCGATTTTAGATTTCTATCGATTTCCGGTGAATCGATTTTCAACGAATTCACTTGGTAATCGATTCGCCATTTGTTCGTTTTCAAAATTGCCTGAATAGAAAATTAAATGTAATTATCTATCTTGTCATTGTTTTTTCTTACCTTAAAAGCTTCGTCGACAGTTTTGAAGGCTCTCAAATATCTTTTCAGCGAAAACTCGTTGTGATACTGATCAGGATCAGCATCGACGATCATTTTCATCATTTCTTTCAATTCTTTCAAATCATTTTCGTTTACCATTTTCACAGGATTCTCTGCCATTTTTCGGTAATAATTTTTTCACACTTTTCTCGATTAATTATCCGCAAATTTTCCCAAATTTCTCTCAATTAAAATCCCCTTTTTCCATATTATCTTATCTCATTTGAACAAACACATTCGATCCAAAACCAACTGGGATTCCTGTCCTCCTTTTTTTCACTCTCACACAGCACACTAGATTTCTCCTCGATTAATCAAGATTATTAACAACACCAAAAGTGGTTGTTTATCATTGATTTTTTCCTAAATTTTTTCAGCTCGATTTGCCTCACTTTCACTACACAATAATTAATGAATTAGCTCATTGACATTGACAGAGCGAGACCTTCAATTATTCCTCTTTTTCACCCATTTTTCAAATGTCAAAATAACAGAATAACACAAGGCCACATTTGGTGATTTTTAAATATTTAGGTTGCCATCCAAACGCCAAGTGACATTCGATCTGTCAATATTCGCGCGCAAAGCCATCAATTTTTCCCAACAGTTTTTCATCGTATCGTCCCATTCGGCCGGGAAGTAAATTCGTTAGTTTCTTGAAAAATCGTAGAAAAGAAAAAGAGAAATTTTAAAAATGTTCGAGGCACGTTTAACGCAAAGCGCGTCGATCAAGAAGATCCTCGACGCAATCAAAGATCTCCTAAACGAAGCCTCCTTCGATTGCTCCGAATCGGGCATACAATTACAGGCGATGGACCATTCTCACGTTTCTCTCGTTTCTTTAACGCTGAAAGCCGACGGATTCGATAAATACAGATGCGATAGAAATCTCACGATGGGCATGCATTTGGGCAGGTACTTAACATCATATTTACCAATTACTATTCGATAGTATATTGCCCCGATATCTCACCTTCATTCATTCAATAATAATTAGGTATTTACATTTGATATTGGATGTACAGGGTGTCCAGAAATTGCAAAAAAAAAGATTAATAGGACATCTCAAATGTTTATTGTTCTGAAATATTTTAGCAAGGAACTTAAATCAGTAATAACTAATAAGTAATACCCAACAGAATAATGTATTTTCTACTGTAATACACAAAAATAAACGAAATAGTTTAAAATCCAGGCAGCTCTGACAATGACATTTCTCTTACAGAAAGTCAGTCTAGTAAAATCTTTTGAGAAATAAATAATAAATTCCATCTAGTTAGTGTAAATTGAAATGTAATTGTAACTAATGTAACCAAAATTGACATCTGACATTTGCGTTTTACCTTATTCATGCAGAACTTTTTATAAAGAATAACTTTTTTTCGTAACATTACAAATAAAAAAGTTTCCCACATGTTGCCAACTTTTTCAGACATACTGTATATATTTTATTATATCTTTTAGTATGTCGAAGATCTTCAAATGCTCAAGCAACGATGACACAGTAACGATAACGGCCCAAGACGATGCGGATACGGTTACTTTCACATTCGAAGCGAAAAAACAGGAGAAAATATCCGATTACGAGATGAAACTGATGAATCTGGACCAAGAGCACCTCGGTATACCCGACACGGACTTTTCTTGCGTGATAAAAATGCCTTCGGGAGAATTCGCCAGAATCGTAAAGGATCTCTCTCAATTCGGCGAGTCTATTATTATCTCCTGTACGAAGGAGGGCGTTCGATTCTCGACTTCTGGTGACATCGGAAGCGCCAACGTGAAGATAGCGCAAACGGCGAATTTCGAAAAGGAAGAGGAATCGGTTATTATTGAAATGCAAGAGCCCGTTGTGCTCACTTTCGCTTGTCAATATTTAAATTCTTTCACGAAAGCCACTCCACTATCGAACGTCGTGCAACTTTCCATGTCCGATAACGTTCCATTGGTAGTTGAATATCAAATACCCGATTTGGGACATTTGAGGTTCTATTTAGCGCCCAAAATCGAAGAGGACGAAAATTAGGAATGCAAGTGTGTAAATTGTTTTAAGTGCCTTTACTTTGTAAGTTTTAAACCCGTTTAAGTTTCGTTTGTACTCGTACATCTTTTGTATTCCACGTAAATAAATTACTTTTATTATACTATAGGTAGTTTGTATTTATTTAAATCCCAAATACACTACGAATTTTAAATGTACATAAATATAACTAAATTAACAATGAAATAATTAAAAATTCTTATTCCAATTCTCCTGTTCCTCCCTTTCGCTAGCGACTTGCTTGACGAGAGGTGTTAGATACAATTTATCGTCTTCGAGCTTCGTCCATTGTTCTTTGGGTAAATAGCTGTGAGTTAGGGACAATTGGGTGGCTCTGAGCAATCGGAAGTTTCTCTCGTCTTTGATATCTTGAGGGACTCTCTTCAGGGCCTCTTTTACATCGTCGGTCTCGTCGAGAAGATCGTCCCTCCACAGACCGTATTTGTTGAAACCGGACAAGTTGTAAGCCCATTTTTGGAAGGCGCTCGCCATAAAGCGCTTTTGCACGAAACTTACGGCCATTTTACTCGATTTTCTACCCCGATATTTTTGCTAAATATCAGCTAAAATCGCTTGTTAGATAATCGTAGGTTGTCACTTGTCTCAAAAACTGACATAACCTGATTGACAGTTTACATGAAGGTTAGATTATAATTAAAAAAAAAGAAGCTTCAGAAACTATTTGAATAAAATCTATACTAGAACAACCCAATTAGAAAATACAATAATTTCTAACATTTTCTACGGCATTTCTATTCTTGAAGAACATGAAGCGTGAACTCCAACGTCCATTGACTGTACGTCCCACGACACGAGGCCACAAAAACGAGAAGAAGAATTTATAACCTATAAAATTTTAAAGGTTATGTTTCCAATTTGTTTATTTTTGCAAGAATAAAAACCATGCCAGTCGATCACAAAAGGATAAACGGTCCCGAAGACACCGTACCTTACTCTCTATACACCAAAACGAATAAGCAGTCTTTAACAGAACAATATGAAGAAATCAGAAAAACGGGCCAACGGACCGATTCTAGAGCCTTTTCGGAACACAGAAAAATCTGTAAGACGCCTTCAATTCCTTAATTCATACATTCATAACGTTACATTTCCAGTTGTCAGAACGGGCGCAGTGAGCCAAGCGAAAGGCTCCGCCTACATAGAACTAGACAACACCAAAGTAATCGTATCGGTTTTCGATCCGAGAGAAATCCCCAACCGGCCCGACTACTCTCTAAAAGGCGAACTGTACTGCGAATTCAAATTCGCCCCGTTCAGCTGCCACAAGAGACGTTTGCACGTGCAAGACGCCGAAGAGAAACAGCACAGCGCCATCATGAAACGAGCCCTGGAATCGACGGTGTGCCTGCACGAATTCCCCAATTTCCAAGTGGACGTCTACGCAACGGTGCTGGAAAACGACGGGTCTTGCCTGAGCGCCGCCATTACGGCGGCCGGTTTGGCTTTGGCACACGCCGGTGTGCCCATGTACGATATCATCACGTCGGTTACGATGGGAATCCAACGGGATACTTTCTTCGTGGATCCCACCGTAACCGAACAAAATATTTGTTTGTATCCGAGGCCTTCGGAATCGGACACCGAACACGGAATCGTGGTTCTATCGAAGTTGCATACGCACGATCAAGTGTCGCAATTTTATCAGTTCGGAAACGTTTCGTTGGATAAATTAAACGAATCGATTAGTATTTTGGATGAAACGTGCCGGGAACTCGTTCCGATCGTTCAAAAGTATTTGGTGAAACACGTCGTTAAGAATCTGCAACGCAACACTTGATGGGTTTTATTTGATTTTAATTGGATTATTTGCGTAAGTTTCTATAATAAAATTTGGTATTTCAAAGATTTTTTAACGTGTGAAATCAGAAGCCTTCCGTCGTAGCTTAAAGAAGCAAACACCCAAGGCTCCGCGGGGGACCATTCCGCACAGTAAACGCTGTCTTCGTGTTCGCACCATTGCAATGGGCCATCTTTTAATCTAAAAACAACATAGGAAATATTATAATATAGGAAACAATATAACCTATTATACAAGGTGTCCCAATGAAAAGTAGTTATTTTTTGTTTAAAATGACTCTGGAGCAACAACGGCTCATTTTTGACTAATGGTATCTTTGCAAAAATTGTTCACCACAATCTCCCCTATAACCTCCTCAAGTTTGACACAACCTTATTGGAGCACCCTGTATTATTATTTACTTTTGTTTGGCATCTAAACCGTCCCTATCTTCAGCTATCAGAGTTTCGCTGATATTCTCCGAACTAACGCTGGCAGCGCTCGAAAGTAACACTCTCGCGTCCGAGCTAGCCGTGAGGATCAATTGATCGTGAAAGGGATTAAATCGTACGCACCATATCCTGCGAGAAAAAAGGGATATTTAAGAAATATAAATTTTCACACAAAATAGGGTGAATCTTACCAATGCGAGTGATCGCTTCTGGAGAAAATGGGCGAGCCCGGTTGTCTGTAGTCCCAAATCTTGAGGAATCCATCATCACCGCAAGTCGCTAGATGATATAATTTATTCATGTTGTAATCCATGTCTCTGACGAATTGACAATGAGCGTTGTCCAAGCTCCAAGCCAATTCGCCCGATCTGATATCGTACGTTTTTATGTGGGTTTCCGTGGCGCAACTGAACTAATTGAAAAGAATGAAATAAATAAGTGTATGATTATAATATGGACTTTTTTTTGAAAAGAATGAAAAAAAATTCCAATCAGTGAGTGACCGTTACAGTTTTATATACAGGGTGTCTCAATAGTGCGGTAAAGCTCATTTATAGCCGAGTAAATGAGCTTTACTGCACTATTAGGACACCCTTTATATAGGGAATCGGATTACTTGATTGCCGTTTTGATGGGGATTCCATTTTCCGTTGGTAAATTTTGCGCTGGTTTTTCCCTCGTTCGTAATGCTACTTATGTTTCTCCCTCTTGTGTCAGATATGTCCCATAAAATTAGATGAGAATCCGTAAGAGATGCGGCCGTATTGGATTCGTTCGGGTGGAATTCGGTCGTTCTGATTTCGCTTCCGCACGTGGAAAAATCTAGTTCGGTGAGGATTTCTAAATTTTCAATTGCATCGTGATTTTCAATTTCGGGCAATTTTAAAATGGCGCTTTTCATCGTACAGCCGTTTTCTCCGGTTAGGGCGTTGTAGCACGTCGATATTTTGTTCGCATCCAGAGGGCTGGATGTAATTTTCCATATTTCCCCATCGGAATGGTGGAAAACCTTAAATGCGTATTATTAGAAGAATACAGAATTATTTTGTATCTGCTTTATACAAATATTTTAAACGTACTGATGTTTTTAATGTTGAAATCTCCTCGTTAAATTCGATCAGATGGATTTGATTGTTAGTTTGGTTCAACGATTGAGTTCCTATTAGAAAACGAATTTTCTCCGTTTCTCCTAGTTGTGGCGTTAAAGCACGGGCCTACAATTGTAATAGAATTTTTTGAATTATTCGTAATTGAGCAATTTCAAGTTCAAACCTGAAACTCCAAGCCATAAATTACTGAATTATCATTGTCCATTCTTATTTATTTTTGTTGAACTTGTTTATACAGTTGTAGTTATTTAACCTAAAAATATGAATCTGTCACTGTCAAATATTTTTGTGTCCTTCATCGTTTGTTGTATTAGGTCAACGAAATTCTCGAAGTCGAGAAAGAAGTCAAAGATGGAATGACAGGTGACAGGTGGTTGTTTTGTTTTTTGTATTGTTTTTTTTTAAATAATTTAACCTTTCAGCTGTTGTAGTTCTTTTAAAAAGTGTCGTGATGTTAAATTATAAATTAAAAATCATGTTAATCCGAGTGTCTAGTTTCGAGTAAAATTTCCAATTTCACAGTTAAAAAGGAAACCGCAAAAGGAAAATGATCAGTTATGTGGAAAATCAGAACAAACACATTCCTAAATATATGCATAGTTTTAAGTCTGTTCGTTCTTTTCTATACTGCAATGTTAACGAACGACACAGTTAAAGAAAACAGACATGTAAGGAAAAGTTTAAAAAAAGACTCCATCAGATTTCTGCCATCGATAAACTCGAAGAAATCCAAAGAATACAACGTTTGGTTGATATTCACAAAAGTCACCAACGTATCGACGTTGAGTTATAAATTCAGAGACCTTTTACATAATTTATTGAACGTCAGTTCGGTGCCTTTAAAATTCAATATAATCGTCGATAAAGTATCCCAAACGATTGCCGAAAATCAAATAACCGAAGTCCTACTTTATGGGCGAAAATCGCTCGTCTATTCGTTCTACGACATCGAAGATTGCGCCAAGAAAATCCAGGACATCGTCGAAGTAATGACGCCCCATTTCAGCTCCAAACCCGGTAAATTATACAGAACCTTATTCAGAGCAAGTTAGAGAAGTATCCCGAGAGTAAATTGACAGTTTTACATTGTTGTTATGGAGTAACTAGGGACATTGTTTACGTTAGAAATACTCTTTAAACGATTAGCTTTAACAAGGAGCCCTGAATACGGGCCACAATATTTCAAACGATTCAATATAATTCTAAAAAAAATTAATATTTTTTTAGGTACTTATTACAGCGACGCTCTCTTCTACATTTCCTTGGGCCTGTACAGAATCGCCCCTCTCAACCAACACTACGCCATCTTGTTAGATTGCGATTTGTATTTCAAGAAAGACATATCGTTGCTGTTCGATGAATTCGCCAAGTAAGCATCGATAAAACGCGTATTTATTTCATTAACATTGTGGGGAATTTGTTTATTCAGGTTTAAATCGAGCGCTCTTTTCGGACTGGCCCCCGAACTGACCCCGGTCTATCGGCACATTCTACACGCTTACAAATCCAAACACAACACCACGTTCGGTGAATTCTATCACGATGGAGGGAATTCGTCCAACCAAAGCCACCCGAACGGCTTCCAGGGCTACAATACGGGCGTAGTTCTGATTAATTTGGGCGCCCAGAGGAAATCCCTGGAGTTTCCGAAGGTCGTTTCGAACGAATCCGTACAAGCCATGACTACTAAGTACAGGTATCTATCAACGAAACGGTAGTTTTAAAAGTGTTTGTTTATATACAGGGTGTATCAAAGAAAAGGTTAATCCTTTGTAGGGTAGATATAACATAACTTCGTTACCGATCTACAGAGTGTTGAAATTTCAAGATTTTTGTTTGTTTTTTCTTTGTAGCTCCTGCAGTTTTTGGAATATTAATATTTTGTATTGTTTTTAGGTTTCGGGGCCATCTCGGAGATCAAGATTTCTATACGCTTATGGGCTACGAATACCCCCATTTGATTCAAACGCTCCATTGCGGATTTAATAGACAATTGTGCACTTGGTGGAGAGATCACGGTTACAGTGGAATATTTTCCGATTATTTCAAATGCTCGCACGATGTGATTGTGTTGCACGGTAATTGTAATACGAGGATACCAAAACGATAACAAAATTATTGTATACAGGGTGACTCAGAGTAAAGTTCGTTTTTCAAACGTGCCTTGTGCACTCGTTTAAAATTGTTTTTGAGAGGGTTTTTGAGGTTTTGAGAGGATATTCGGCGTAAACGTAATTTTTCAGTGTAATCGGATTATTGTCTCAAAGTAGTAAGATATACACTTATTTTGATATCATCTGTACGCTCCCGAATTATTGACCTCTATTTTCTGGACACCCTGTATAATTTAGCCATTTTACATAGAAGTATTTTAGTTTTTTTGCATTTACAATGAATATTTTAATGAGTATTTTTACAATTACAATTATTAGTATTTTATAGTTAAAGTTAAATCGTTTCCAGATCTTCTAAAATCGCCAATTATTAAATTACTTGCCATTGTATAGAATTAACGAATAGAATAGGTAATATAGAGAAATATTCGAAATTGTGATATTTATATTTTTTAAACGTCTATTCGTATGTTTATATGTGCAATTTTGATACATAAAAAAAGATGTTAATTTTATCAAATAAGTATATATTTCAGGAATAAAACTGTTTTTAAAAACGACATTTTTATTTAACCGTTTAATTATCGCTAAAAATATAATAATAATAATAAACTTTAATAGTGATGTAAGTACCTATAACAAGAAGTTTGTATACATAATAAAAAGGTTAAACTTTCTCGATATATTATAAACAATAAATAAATTGTACAGATTATTCTTAAATGGTGCTTTTCAATATAATTTATTGTTCGATTGGCTTGTAAAGTTTTGGTAAAAATTAAAGTTTATAAGCTTGTCTCATCATCAAATCGAAATAACAGTCGTTGTCAATAGAGGCGCTTATGGCGGAATAATAATTTAGAAATTCTTCTTTGGTTACCTAAAAATAAATGAATATAATCGAAGAATTTAGTTCGAAAGTTTCTTTTTTTTTGGATTCCAAAAGGGACGGGATTCCCCTGAAAAGTGATTCGAAAATGCTCGATTTCTAAATTTACCTTTCCATCTTTAGTGGAATCGTTTTCGAAATTGCCCAAGAACTTCGTCAAAATCGATTCTTCGGTATCTTCCCCCGATATATAACGAGGATGAGATTTCACATTATAAACGTTCTTTAAATCGTCCAAAGTTATTACTCCATCGGCCGTTTTGTCCATTTTTCGAAACGCCTCGTCTATTACTTTCTTTCTCGATTCGCTCAATGGCGGCTAAAATAATTAATAATAATAATAATATAACATATGGATTGTATAATATGCAGTATGTCTGAAAAAGTTGGCAACATATGGAAAACTTTTTTATTTGTAATGTTACGAAAAAAAGTTAATCTTTATAAAAAGTTCTGCATTGTCAATAAAGTAAAACACAAATATCACAATGGCAACAACGCTTTCAAAAATCAAAAAAAAACAAATTACCTACCCTTATATGTATCAGAAATTCATCTATATTAACATTTCCGTCTCCATTCGTGTCGAATTTCTCGAAAACTTTCTCCGCTTCGTCCTCTTTCAGTTCCATTCCCACCTCTTTCAGGCCCTGCAGGAATTCCTCCCGGTTCAGATTTTTACTCCCATCATCGTCCATTATCCTAAACAACCTAAAAAAAAACACAAATAGTACATCAAAACCAACGTGCAAATAAAACGATTTTCTCACCTTCCCAGGCCTAAAATGCCGGTAGCCCCGCGAGAAAGGCACAACAATCGGAGACGTTCGAGTGGATCCCCGGCATTTCCCATCGCCTGGAGATCCCTTAAACTTTTCGCAGCCATTTCAGTCTCCTGCCTGGACGTGGCGCTTTGGGGCCTCAACATCCTGGAATAATAATTAAAGTAATAACAGTTGCAGGAATTTAAATGTGTAAATTTATGCCCGTTTATCGCGTGACTTGAACTACTATAGTAGGTGTAATGTTTTAAAGCAAACACGTAGCGCAATTAGATTAATTAAATTTTAATAAGGGAGGGTCTAATTAAAGTTTTTTTTTGGTGTAATATAAGTAGGTACTTACAAAAATGGGCGCGTTTGCTGTATTATCTACACACCAAGTAATTTTAAAGTATAAAGTAATTTTAAATTTAGGTGGATTTTAAAGTGTAATAATGGGAAATTTCAAGGTTTGCGGCATTCTTTTATGGTCTGATTGTTTACGAAAGTGATGAATTTCAACTGAGGTACAATTTTTACTACGGGTGAAAGATTTTAGATGAAATAAAATAAACTTTTAGGAAACAATTATAGGAAAGGATGTTTTTAAAAACAATTCAAATTTTGAGTCACAAAACAAATTCATAACAGAGTATCGTGCAAACAGTAGATTAGACAAGATTGCTATAAATAAAATTTCGCCATCAGCGAGAAATTAAATGCATCCAAAAAAAAATTAATAGAAAGTAGAATTTACCTGGTGCTCATTTTCTGATATTTTTCAGCTCAGAGATGCCCGAACGCCGCGAGTGAAATAGAGCAGATTTTAAAATAACAAAAAAAAAAGATTAGAATAATAAAAAAGTGAGTGTGGCGTGTGAATGTTATCACATGGGAATTCAAACGGGCCGTTATCGAACAAACACGCACCGAAAATAAAGAATTAATTAGCTCTGATAATAGAATGAAAAAAAAGGGTTATATGGAAGGAATTACGAAGGATTATTGTTGAGTCATCTTGTTTTGTAATTGATGGAAAATGTTGCATTTGAAGTTAATTATTTTACTATAGGAACCTATATAGGGTGTTAATTAATTGAATGCCGATACGATAGGATGTGAATATTTGGATGATTTTAAGAAAAAAAAGTTATGTATGTCCTAAACCTATTAGTTTTCGAGCTACAGTGTGTTAAAATTTTAGAAAAAAATAACTTTTCTATCATAATTTTCTTATTACTCCAGATATTTTAATGAAATTTCGGACGTGGACGTCACTGGTAATAGTAGAAAATTAATTTTTATCCCAAAAAAAGTGTTTCCATGCATGGTGGGCACCAAGTTTCAACCAAATATCAAAAGCTGTCTCAAATGAATTTGGGAAAAAATTGATTTGGTTTTTAATTTTTTACGCGAAAAAGGTGCTTCGTACGAAAGTAAGTATTCTCACCTAATTTGCTACAAAATAAATGAGGATTTTAAAAATAATTTTGGTTTTTAGAAAAAACAGTGACGTACCAATTTATCTTTAAACATATTCAGTTCAAACTCCGTACAGACGTCACTGGTGAAAATTTAAAAAATCTTTTGCCTCAAAAAATGCTCCTTAATAATTAAAAACTGTATACAAAATTTCATAAAAATATCTGGAGTAATAAGAAAATTATGATAGAAAAAGTTACTATTTTTCTAAAATTTTAACCTTTAATGCTTTAGGTGGCCTTTAATTAATTTAGATAAAGTAAACTTCGATATAAGTAAATGATTATAAATTTGTAATAATAATGTAAAAAAAGTTAAATAATAAAAAGGGTCAAGTACCTGTATATTTCCAACCGTTTAAATAATAAATTAGTGCCCGTGTAATTCGAAAAAATCGATAAATTAATAGACTCGTGCAACTTTCTCATTTATTCATTATTCTTGCATTTATAGTACATACATCACTATATTAATTTAGGTAATTTTTACACTATCCAACTTTCCTCTTTTTTTCATTTTTAATCTGAAAGGAAGTACCTCTACAAATGCGGTATCGCAAAATAATAAATGATAATACAAAATAGATTGCGGTTACAAATAACAAATTTTTATCGAAATTTCCTGTTTTCGAAAATTTACCCAATACTTAACGCAATTTAAAGTCGGTTCATTTTTCCATTTATATGCAATCGTAAAAAAATAATAAAAATAATTAAAGGTCCTAAACGTATACCTTATAATCACACGTCTGATGTCCGCGTAGATACTCCCTATGCAAACCACACAAAAAGTACTTTTGTTACTCACTAGAACAATTTATATACTAAATTTCTAAATTTTTATTGCAATGACACGATTGGATGTGTTAGATATGTTGCCAGGATATTACCTGAATGGCAACAAAAACAACAGATTGGAATCATTCTTCGGTTTATTTACCTAATTTATTGATAGAATCTTATCGAACCGTTTCGGAAAATTAGAACACCCGATTTAACCGATATAAATAATTTAATAATAGTGGAATTTCTAACGAGGAGGGTACAGAAATAAAATTTAAATCCTCCTTTATTCATAGTCTTATTAGAATTGCAAATGGGAAATTTAATATAGATTCTTATTATTTTTACAATGTGACTATTTTTAACGTTTCATGTTACAAATGATTTTTTGGTGTAAAAGATTTAAAAAATGACAATTTGTGCTGACTACGGTCCTGTCGTTTCGAAGTCGCGTGCAATGCTGCCAACATAAATCCAAATGAATAAAACTTCGTATATCCAACAAAACACGATTAATAAATAATTAATTGATTGTTAAGAATTAGTTCGAATCAATTCTAAATCATTGATAAAATCATAATTTACATTTATTCTTTATAAAATATCCATCCATAACTCCAACGAACTGGCAACATGGCTGAACATGGCAGAATGGCAACATGGCAAGCCATGTTTGATTTTCCGGGCACAAAAACATCAACCAATTAATAAGTTATTAATTGAGGTTAACAACTCAATTGAAACGGCCCCATAAACGATGAAAACCCGAAAATCACTTAAAAAAGGTTCCTACAACAATGAAAATGGCGGAATGTAGAATTAGTGAATTAGTGGAAAAATAGAAGAAATCAGGTGTGCGCGGTCATCAACCTGCATTGATCTGCAAAAACTTCCCTCCGGTATCGCCCTTAAATGGAATAAACATGAAAAACATCAAGAAAAACGTGCATGGAATTCTATTAATCATTTCACTTTTCACCAACCAACAAATCTAAAAATATATATCTATTTGTATACACTATAGTAGAGTGAAATTGAATTAATAACAAAGGTGAGTAACAGACATTTACTATTATTTTCAATCATCTATTATCTATTAAATATCTTTCCTTTTAGCTCTGAATAAATCTAAACCTACGCACACTATACTGTAAGCGAAAACAAAACGAGTTAATCCAGCTTATAGTTATACCATTTAAACATCATTCAAACACATTGAAGATGCACCGAAAGGAAGAAACCTTTGATCAGAAGAAACTCGACCTGGAGGTATGGCTGCAACGGATGGAGTCCAGGCTATCCGGCCAGGCCCCCGTTGGCCGTACGGCCGACGTGCTCGAGGCCCAATTGAGAGAACAGAAGGCCCTGCACGCCGAATTGCACCGCTTCAAAGGCCAAATCGAGCCCTTCCAGCAGCTGACCCAGCAGCTGATCGCTCAAGGCCGGTCCCACGAGGACACCGTTCGATACAAAAAAGTACAAAGTTTTCTGCGAAGAGCTCGCCTGCATCGCTTATTTACGTTGGTTTTTAGGCCGCCGAGATGATAAATCAGCACTATCTGCGGCTGGACGCGTGCGTGATCAATCGAGGTAAACTCCTACACACGGCTTTGAGTTCCCTCCAACATCTGGATAGATCCATCGATGAGTTCCTGGCATGGCTGAGCGAGGCCGAGAGCGTCGTGGAAACGCTGGAAGGGGATCCGGAGTGCGGCAGGGCCAAGCAGCATCTCAAAGAGCTGCAAACGGACATCGATCGACAAGCGGGGGCCCATCGGGCGTTGAGAAATTCCAGTTCGGCTTTGTTGGGTTCGCTGGCCGCAGAAGATGCTCTTATGTTGCAGTTGAGAGGGGACGAGATGGAGAGGAGATGGCAGGTAATCGATGGGTTTTTTTTATTTTGTGATGGTTAAACGGGGTGTTAAACGCTTATTTTGGTCTCCTTATTCATAATCGAAAAGGACGGGCGTCAATTTTGAGACACCCTGTATAACTTGAATTCAATTAAATTAAACTACGTTTAAATCCCATTGGTGCAAGAACCCTTAAATGAGGATTAATGAAGTTTGGATTTTTTTTGCGAAGGCTTTACGTACGAGGACGTCGGATTTGAGGAATAGATTGGAGCACAATTCGGATTATTGGAATACGTTGTTGTTGTCTTTGCGAGAACTGACCGAGTGGGTTATTAGAAAAGATACGGAGCTCGGATTGGCTGCGAGACAGGATGATCACAGGGCGTTTAGGTACGTTTTTTTTTTAATTTATCTTTAATCTTCATCTTATAATACAGGATGTTCCTAAACATCATGTACATCCGAAAGGGGGTGATTCCTTGGCTTATGTTTTAACGAATTATTTAATGGTTTCGAACAGGCAACAATTGGAAGATAAAAGACCGTTGGTGGAGAGCAGTTTGAGGAGCGCCAGGCAATTCGTTTCGGGCGATCCTTCGGGCGATTTGGCCAGGAATTTGCGAAGGGAATTGGTCAAATTGTCGGATAAATGGAACGCTCTGATCGACAAAAGCGATCAGTTGGCCGCGAGATTCGAACAAAACACCATCGTAAGTGGAATATACAGGGCGTTCGAAAAAGAACACCCTGTATTTCGAAAGAAAAAAATTTCTAACTATCGTATTCATCTTATAATTTTTTTCTAGAAACTCAAACAATTAACCGTTAACTTGGAGGAAGCTTCTTCGGCCGTGTCCCGTTTGGAAAGAGCAACGTTGAGTTGGAGCGGCCCGAGAAGTGCCGCCGAAGCAAGAGAATTATTGTCGAATCTTCGATCGTTAGAACAACAATTACCGTCGTTACAAAGGACGTTAGAAGAGGCGAGAATGCAAGCGAATAATGTGGGTTAGTGGCAACTACTTTAGTAACTATGTAATATTATTTCATTAAACAGTAGCAGCTTTATTCATAGTCGCCTCCTTAAAACACCACTAGTTTGTGGCAATTAACATCATACTAACAAATATTTTAAATTATGTTTAAAAGACACTTAAACACACCCCTTTTGTAACGCCACTAAGAAATTTAGTGGCTACTAACAAAAATAACATCTTAGTAGCCACTAAATAGAACTATAAATACGATTTAATTTAGTGGGATGTTAGTAGTGTGTTAGTAGCCACTAAATACGACTAAGAATAAGGATGTAGCAATTTAAGATGCGTTCGATGATACATTAACGTCAAAAATGACAGTTATGACTGTCGAAGTTTAGTAGAGGTGGGAATCGATTTTTCGGTATAGAGGTGCAGTAACGAATGTGACAAAATAACAATTATTTTTCAAAATATAATTTTTTTTTTGATTTCTTTTAGTATTGATTGTAATTTGCGTTTGTTTTGTTAATAGGGGATGCCTTGCCGAGTAATTTGGCCGCGCAATTGGAAGATTGCGCCGCGAGATGTCGAGCTTTGCAGGCCGCTATAAGGGAAAGAAGAGATCAATTGACCAGTAGCACTCAAGGTAAATTTTCGAGTTTGAATATACAGGGTGTTTCATTGGGAATGGGCAATATTTAATCCCTATATAGAGGTCACCCAAGGGATTACAAAAAACTCATATACTATGGGTCTTGCGCCCTTTATAACCTAGCTACAGGGTGTTTTCTTGAATTTGGCCCATTTCTTTCGACGCCTGGGTGACCTCTATGTAGGGTTAAAATATTGCCCTTTCGCAATGAAACACCCTGTATCTAAAGTTGAAAAAAAGTTCAATTAAAAAAAAATGAACAAACGGATTATTTCTCTCCCGATTAGTTTTCTTGATAATTTTCTATTTTTCATTGAATTGCACTGAAATTTATAGTTTTTAGAGCAATTTTACAGATAAAATCAGCATGTTTTATATATTTTTTTGCACCATTATTATTTCATAGTTATCAAATATATTTATACAGTGTGTCCCAAAAAGTTGTATACAAATGGTGAAAAAGTGTATCTTACATTTTACAAAAAAATATTCTTTCAAGACTTTCTATTCAAGTCATTTTTTTGTGAAATGTTAGATAAACATTTTCCCCATTTGTATACAACTATTAGGACACACTGTATAAAAAAATAATCCGTTCTTTTTCTTCTTATATTCTAATCTAATGAGTAATAACATTTGGTTAAAAAAATAGTCCGGGTACGGTCCTGTCTTCGATACGAGATACATATGTAGAGAGGCGACGAATTAGAAATTGAATAATAATCAATTGAATTTACATAAACACATCTAGCGAAACGGAGAGAAGCCGATTTTACGAGTGGTTTTCCTATTTCTGTTCGATCGCACGCGAGCCAGTCGTAGAAGAAAGCGAAATAAAAACGGTTTTAGGCGGCGTTTTAAAAATAAATCCGGCATTCGATCGAATCGACATTTCTCTAGTAAAATTTCGCGGCGGTTTTTCCCTATTTGTTTCGACGCCTTTTTCGAATGGATGTTAAGAGAATTAAGCGTAAGATATTTTGATTTTTTTTTTGATTTTACTGGGTCTTTTTGTATGAAATAGGCTAGTAGTAAAGTAAGAATTTTTGTGTAACTCCCACGCAAAAATCTCCGGCACTTTCACGACACACTTTGATTACAAGTATTAGTAGCAAGTTTGAAGGAATCGATTCGTGTTGAATTTTGTTATTGGTTTTAATTTAACATTAAAACGTCTAGATAATTCGGTATCTACAATTTATAATTGATATTATTTAATATTCTAATGTTAGATATTACTAATATCCAATGAAATGTTGTGAGAATCGAAGAAAATAATTTAGTTTAATTGAGAACAAATTGATAAAACTTTATCGGTCGTTAATAAAAAGTATTCGAAAAGACTGAAAGATATTTCGATTGCTTGAGGGATATCAGACGGTAAAAGTTCTCCTAATAATTTGATAATAGTCTTCTTTTCTAAATATTAAATGGTCTTGGACATGCACTTATACTTCGTGGGGTAATATAGCTATTATAATATAACTATAGCAACTCTCGAGAGTTACTCTCAGGTCTTTGTCCATTTGAGAGCAAACTCGCGAATTTTTACTCTCTGGATTGATACTCCGATTGATAATTAAAAAAAATACACAATACGGAATTTGTCACCAAATAAAGATATTCTGTACAACTTTTCACGAATAAGAGTAATGCCATTCTGGTTCAATATAAAAGAAAACCTATTTTTAATTTTTAACTTTTGACATTAAAATCTTTAACAAATAATAATTAATTTTATAATAATAAGTAATTTTTAACAAATACATATTTGAATATATCCCTTCAAGAGTATTAAGAATTGCCTGTCATGTTTGACAGTCATATTGACACGTGATTATAACATGACAGATCGAAAGTTGACAGTTGGGAGTTAGTAAATATGGATATGGAACTGGATATGGAACTGGATATGGAACATAATCGCGTCCTGTAAACTGTAAACAAAATTGACCTGTCCGAGCGTTTTTTTGAAAAACCAACCAATTTCATTATAATGAATTTATTCCTTTCATTTGTTACATACTGTATATGTCCTCAGGCGAAATATCGCCGGGCCCGCCGAGCGTCCAACCGCCATGGGAGCGCGCCACGACGCCCAACAAAGTCCCCTACTACATCAATCACGGCACGGAGACGACCCATTGGGACCATCCGCACATGCTCGACCTCGCCGGGCGCCTTCTCCAATTGAACGAGGTCCGTTTCTCCGCCTATCGCACCGCCCTCAAGTTGCGTTCGATCCAGAAGAAGCTCCGCTTGGACGCCGTCTCGATCGCGGCCGCTTCGGAGGCCTTCGATTTGCACGGTTTGCGCGGCCAAAACGATCGCATCCTGGACGTGGCCGATATGGTGTTGGTGTTGAGGGCGATTTTCGGCCGTTTGAACGACAACGAGGACGTGGTTGACGTGCCGTTGTGCGTCGATTTGTCGTTGAATTGGCTGTTGAACGTCTTCGATAGCCAGAGGACGGGGCAAATTAGGGTGCTCAGTTTTAAGGTAATGTATAGAACGATTCATTTGCGATCGAGCGACCCTGTATTTCGATTGGAATTTTCCAAAGGAATCGCTGCGAATTATACGATTTATACATTTTTTTCTTGTTTTCAGGTGGGACTGACGCTGTTGTCGAAGGGCCATCTGGAAGACAAGTACAGGTATCTGTTCCGTTTGATCGCCGATCCCGGCCAGAAGGCCGATCAAAGGAAATTGGGTCTGTTGTTGCACGATATTTTGCAAATACCGAGGCAATTGGGCGAAGTCGCCGCCTTCGGGGGCTCCAACATCGAGCCGAGCGTGCGAAGTTGCTTGGGCGATAGAGAGGACTTGGAGGTGGCGCATTTTCTGGCCTGGTTGAAGCGAGAACCGCAGGTACCTAATAATAAATTCATCGAGACGGGCGATTTTTCGAAAAAATCGATGTGAAACATTTCATTTGTACACAAATGAACCTTAATGAAAATTAATTACCACTACTTTTCGCAGTCTTAACGCATCTTAAAATCCCACTTATTACTCACTTATTTTTTCTGTCTCGTAGTCTTTGGTGTGGTTGCCCGTTCTCCATCGATTGGCCGCCGCCGAAACGGCCAAGCACCAGGCGAAATGCAACTCGTGCAAACAATATCCCATCGTAGGGCTGCGCTACAGATGCCTGAAATGCTTCAATTTCGACATGTGCCAGACGTGTTTCTTCTCCGGTCGATTGACCAAAGGCCACAAATTGAACCATCCGATGCACGAGTATTGTTCGGCCACCACGTCGGTGGAGGACGTGAGGGATTTCACCAAAGCGCTGAAGAACAAATTCAAAGGAAAACGGTACTTCAGCAAACATCCCAGGATGGGATATTTGCCCGTGAGGAGCGTCCTCGAGGGCGACGAGTTGGAGAGTCCGGTGGCGTCGCCGCAACACAACGACATGCACTCTAGGTGAATATCCAATTCACATCCTAAATTATCGGCATTCAATTAATTAACACCCTATATTTTTTTTGTTAGATTGGAAATATACGCCAGCCGATTGGCCGAAGTGGAACTGCGAGCATCGTCGCCCGAAGACGAACACCGATTGATAGCCGGTTATTGTCAATCGCTCGAAGGACAAGGCCAGGGGGCGCCCGCCAGTCCGGGCCAATTGATGTTGATCATCGACGAGGAGCAAAGGGCCGAATTGCAATCGATGATCGGCGAATTGGAGATGGAAAATCAGGCGTTGTTGCAGGAGTACGAGCAATTGCAAAGGGGTGGAGGCGGTGGAAATCATCCGGTGCAACCGCAACCGCAGCAACCACAGCACGACGTTTTGGCCGAGGCCAGGCTCTTACGGTAGGGGCTTTTGTTCGTTTTTATTATACTCTATTTGAAAACTACAGCAGTTTCCAGTTGTATTTCAGAAAGCGTCAATTGAATTTAAGAATAGTCACTTATATTTCGGAAAGTATCTGTTGTATTTCAGAATAGTCAATTTGATTTTAGAAATCATCAATTGAATTTCAGAATGATCGATTGTATTTAAGAAATTATCATTCGTATTTTGGAAACCGTCAAAAGGATTTCAGTGTCCCATTTGGAATGGAAAACTAAGAGGTTTAGAAGATACATTGATATAAACTTTTTTTCTTAAAATCAATCAAATATTCACATCCTGAAGTATCGGCATTTAATTAATTAACACCCTATATATCACAAGCCTATACTTCCCATTTAAAAAAATCGAGGTTGTAACTTTCATTCGAAGGGTGATGAAGATAGGTTTCACATTTTAACGTTGAGGAATGTCAAATTATAATAAAAATTTGACGTGTTTCGGGATTTTCTATAAATATCTTCACTAACCATAATAATGAATTTATTCCATTTGGCGTTTTCACCCTGTATATCTCTGAGGTATCTTCTGCATAGTGCCTTCGCCAAAGTTATTCATCAGTAACCGTTTTGTATTATGTTTTATTAGACAACACAAAGGCAGATTAGAAGCTCGAATGCAAATTCTGGAAGATCACAACAGACAATTAGAGGCCCAATTGCAACGTTTGAGGCAATTATTGGACGAGCCTCCTGCTACTTCTACGTTACAAACGCGCAGCGTGACGGCTTCTCAATTGAATCAGGACATTCCGGGAAGGATCAATCAACCGCCGCCTCCTGCCGATCATCGTTGATCTTTCTTCTTTTAAAAGGTCCTTAAATGTTAACTAACTACACTTCATCCGTCCAATCAATGGAGTAACCAAAACAAAGTTAGACGCTGGATCAACGCGTGATCTCCAGTGATTGGCCAACGTAAGGAGGCTTTTTTATTTTACCCAATAGATGCAAATGTGCTTGATGATCCAGCGTCTAACCTTGTTTTAGTTTTTGGTTGGATGGATGAAGTATAAATATAGACGATTATGCATGTAAATATTTCTATGCTTTTTGTACTATGCATTATAATATTGTTCTATTAGAACGATGAAAACGAAATACTTGGAATGATATTCCCGATATACAGGGTGTTTCATTTCTAAAGCCGGACATGGATTTTGTCATCCCTGTCACCCTGTATAGGGTTAAACTATTGCCCTTTCTCAATGAAACACCCTGTATTTATAACATGTACTATGATGTGACTAGTTGTTTTGTTTTTGAATTATTTAATTAACGACGCGACAGTTTATTATTTATCAAATACATATCTATCGAAAAAATTCAAGTGTTTACATAATATGCATTGTATTAATCTTGACCAATTTTATTGTTTATTTGCGACAATCACGCGGAGAAATAAGCTTCTTCGTAATCCTTCCAATGTTAGATATAAAAAATATACAGTATATACAGTATGTTTCCCATGTGTTGCCAACTTTTTCATACATACTGTATAAATTGTACCGGTGTTTGCACTACTTTTAAATGCATGAGAATTACTTTAGTGAATATCCTATAACATAAATAAGTTTAATGGAAAGAAAAAATGTGTTGAATGTATGTTGTAGATAAAAAAAAGTAACAAGCGCGTCTTCTTTTTAATTTTTATGTAAATGACATTAATAAAAACGAAACCATAGACTGATAAGATATTAACGCAGATTGTTCGATGTAAATTTAGGAAATTCAGTATTGTATACGTTTTACTGTAAATGCACATGATTTAGGTACTTATTTACAATTAAGACATATGTATGTTCATATGATTGAGATTTAATTTTTTTATGAATATAACCTATAACTAGGATTACGATTTCAGTACAAATTAACACCGTATAAATATCCTTTGCCAACTTCATTTTTGCACAAATACTCCAAATATTAGAAAAGAAAATTCTAATGTACTTTTCTAACAATTACACAATATACAATTTGTAATAAGTTACGATATTTTTTGCGCAAAGGTCTGCGAATTGTAATGGCAATTAAAATAAAAACATTCATATCATTGTACACATCATGTTTGTTACGATTTACCCAGTGAAGCTTAGATATTTATTTTGTTAAAAATCTGTTAGTTATTTAGTACGCCTTCTAATAAATAAGAATTATTAGTTGAATATTATTTATTAAAAATTTAAACCGTTTTACACAAGATTACGAAACCTATTTTAACTTAAAGAAAATTCGCAATTTAAGCGGCGGATTTTTGTTCTTGTTTCTTGGTAGCTTCGGCGGCCGCTTCGGATTTTTCGTACTCGGAAATAAGTTCTTCCACTTCTTTGCTATTTAATATATTTATGATGGTTTTATCGTTTCTACGCGTCAGTGTAGCCATTTCCACTAAAAATCATAACAATAAAATTTCGTTTATTTCAAATATTAACCAAAAAACATTTACCTTTTTCCGACGTCAATTTAGCCATATCCAAAGTTTTCGCCAGAACTTTCACAGCCAAACCTTTCGCATCTTTTAAGGTCATATCGCCTTCTTTGTATTCCTGCTTCAAACTCGAAATAGCAGCCTAAAGACAAAAATAAAAACTAATATAAAAAAACACCAACGAAAACCTACCAATTACTTACGGAACTATTATTTCCTATGCAAGTCGCTTTCCAACCGGAATAATTTCCACTCGGATCGGACTGGTACAATTGATAACCGTAATGCTTGTCCCAGCCCATGTACAAGATCGATACACCGAAAGGCCTCTTACCTAAAACCCAAACAATAAGGAATATCTAAAAAAATTTATATGGGAAAAAATCCAATACTGAAATGTAGCAAATCACACTTTACCTCCGTATTGAGTATAAGCTTGCTTAACATCGCACAACCACGAAACCAACTGCTCGCATGGGATCGACTCTCCATACTGATACAAATACCTTTGCCCGATCAAACGCAATTCGTTAGTTAGAACATTAGCGTCCGACGTAATTCCCGCCACGCTGCAAACCATATCCCTAAAAACGACAAAAACCACATTATAATTACGTTATACGAATGTAAGCTGTAATAAAGGGTGCTGGGCCACCCTGTATAATTCCTAAATGAGCACATGATAAACTTATAAATATTTCCATATTTTGCTACAGATAACATTGTTTTATTGAACCTTAAAATCTTGCGCTCTTATTGAAACACCCTTTAAAACCTACTCGTTTAGTTTGTATATTTTCTCCGAAATGAAAACTTCGTCCAGCAACTTGTTGGTGTTCCGTCTTTCGGCGGCAAGAAGGATTCCGTCGTTAGCCAGGATGCCTAAACACGTTCCGGCATGGGATATGGCCTCCATGGCGTACTCGACTTGGTACAATCTCCCTGCGAATTATTGCTTTATTATTAGTGATTCGGGTGAATTGATTAATTAAAAGTACCTTCGGGTGAGAATATCGTCGTTCTCGTATCATACCGGCGAGCCTGTAAATGTATTTAAACGTTAGAATCTCTCAATGACTGTGCAACAAAAATAAGGAACCTAACCTATACGTATTTTCGTATTTTCTTCGATTATGATTCGAGTTAAAATTTTAAATGATTATCGTTCTTACCATTTTTTTTTCGTCGGCTACAGGAATATAGTATGTAGGAAAAAGAAACGGATAAATAACCCTTCTAAGTAATAACTTTTCGTTTTTTCGTTTACAAACGATGACAGATATTTTGCAATGACAGTTTGTTGACGTTTTTGACAGAAGCGAACCGTGTCGGCGTTGCCGTTATTTTACCGCTGGGCAGCCTGCTCATAAATTGACAGGTGGCTGAATACCTATAAGCAAGAGATCCACATTAGTAATATGAATGAAGAAAAGAAGAAAAAAGAAGTCAAACTTAGAGCTGTAGAAACCGACACATCAAAGGCCACGAAATATAATTAATTTTTATGTTCCGAAAAAAAAGAGGAAGAAAAATTGAGGTTATAAATTTATAAATCAAAAATATATTTTCGAAATCAACTTTTTAAACGATGTTACGAAGATTTACCGTTAGAATTACCAAATCTCTGAGCGATTATGCGATAAAAAAGCAATTTTCGACGATTTCATCGAACTATTTCCACCGAAATTCAACCAATCACCAAAAAAACGCAATTCAAACGCAATTCGTCAGGAACTACGCCAAAGGAAAAGACAAGAAAAAGGAAAAAGGTAACAACAACAAGTTCAATAAATAATAATCAACCACCATTAACATTACTACGAGATAACTCGTATTCCCAGCCTCCTAGACAACGACGCGACATTACGAGTTATCTCGTAGTTGGGGCGTCTCGAACGCTGATGAACGCGATCTACGAAATATGTCGTAGTTGGGAATCGAATTCTAATCGATAATTCTTCCAGGCAAGGCTAAAATAGTAGTAAACGATGGTCAATTAATGGAGCATGTGAGCCTAGAATCGATGAGAAAACAAATGGAAAGGGCGACGGAACAATTGAAATTGGATTTTACGAAGAATTTAACCGTTCGATCTACGACTGGTTTGTATTATTTATTATATGATATATATATACGAATACGAGGGTAAGGTGGAAAGTTCTATATACGACTTTATACGTATATATTTCATTTTATATATTTTTTTTCAAGGTTCCATCGAATCGATTCTCGTCCCATTCGACGATCAGGAACACACCCTCCAAGAACTCGCCCAAATATCCAGGAAAAATCCCAAAACTGTAATAATAAACATGTCTTTGTTTCCTCAAGCGATCCCTTCGGTTTTGAAAGCCATCGAAAAGTCCGGACTGAATTTGAATCCCCAACAGGACGGGACGACTTTGTACATACCGATACCCAAGTAAAGTATATTATGTGAAATATTACGTGAAATATTATGTGAAATGTTATGTAAAATGTATTCGGAAATTACGAGGGGGTGAGGTGGAGAACGGCCCAGAACCAATCCTGAATCAGATTCATTCTTCCTCAGAAGCCAATAACTTTTTACCTTACCCTCGTAATTCACAATAATTTGCAACAAAAAAAAAGACGATACAACTTTTTTTTTAATTTAATTAAATTTTATTTTTCTGTAGAGTCACGAAAGAACATCGAGAAGCCCTCACGAAAAACGCCAAACAATTCTTCGTGAAATGCAAAGATAACATCAGAGATGTGCAAATAAAATACGCGAAACAAATAAAAAATAAATCTAGCATATCCCAAGATGATGCTAGAAATATGGAGGCCCAATTAGTTGCTATAGCAAATGAATATATCGATAGAGGGGAGAAAATGTACGAGAGAAAATGCGAAGAATTGATTGGGAAAGATTGATTTTTTTGGAAAGATTGTTTGGTTTGTTTTTTTTTAATAAAAAATGGTGAGTATTCAGTTGTTTTTGGATTTTTTTTTCTATAAAATGGTGAAAATTTCCTTTTTTTTATCTCGATTGGTTTTCGAGATAATTGGGGTTTTTTGTGGTGTTGTTTAAGAAAAGTTTAATTTTTTCGGAAAAAAGTCGAAATATTTCGGAAATTTGGGCGTTTTTTGGAATTGTTCATATTGGTAAATTGTAGGGGAATCTTTTCTCTATAAAATAGTGAATCTCTAGTTTTACTATCTCGATTAGTTTTAGAGATAATTGCTGTTTTTTGTATAATTGTACTAAAGAAAAGTTACGTTTTTTCCAAAAAATCTTGAAATAACTCGAAAATTCATCATCATTTCCTTTATTTCGTTACTAATTTAATTATTTCCTATATCATCCAAATCGCATTGTATTCTTCTCAATCATCCAGTTCAAAACCAGACTGCAGTTCTGAACCAGTTCAAACGTAACAACAGGGATGTTTGCATTTACAAATGTCCTTAATCGTTTCCTTCGTATCCGGATCGATCGGACAAGGAACGTCCAAAGGACAAGCGACTTCCGTACCTTTCACCTCACCCACCACATCACCAATAGCGCAAGCGAATTCGTGAATAGCTCTCATCATCTTGGTCGTCACCTTCTCCGGCCACAATTCATACAACCACAGAATCATCACCGTTTCCAGAGTACCGGCGGTGGGCGGGGGCCCGTCGGTTTTGATTTCCGTTTCTAAATCGACCAGTTTGTTCAGAACCGTTTGGAACCGGACGTGGGGTAGCCTGGGAACTCGAGTTCTGAACTTCTCAGGAGGCGATTTGGTTTGGTACTGTTCGATCAGTATCGGCAGGAAACTCCATCGGCACGGATCGTCGTCGTCGGGGATCCTTATGGGCAGCTCCATGATGATGATGATGATTATGGAGATTATTTATTTATTTATTTATTTATTAATTTGTTTGATTATTAAATTGATGCTGGGGATATTTAGTTTATTTATTTGATTGTTTGATTATTGGATGTATTTTTTTGTGGGGGTTTTGTGGGGGTTTTGCTGGGAATTTGTGAGTGGCGTTTGAGAATTGGAATTTTTTTTTGGTTTTTGTCAAATTTGACATATCTCCAAGAAATTGTCTTTAGTTACATTATTGGAAATATTTGTTTCCATTCTATCAATTATATATTACACGTTACTATTTACTATTATTTCCATTTATGATTTTATGCTATAACAATAACATTGCACAATTGAAAATAATATAAATAAAAACAATCGTGAAGTTAGACATACAAAAATTTCCTCTTCTCTTCTGTCTCTTGTCACTTCGTAACAATGTAAAAGTGACTGGCCGCGAATATAGACGAAGACCGACTTGTGTTTTTTTTTTTTGATAGAGAAGAATAATATTGTTTGAAATTAACCTCACAAAACAAGTTTTAGCGGTTTTTTGAGTTTACACTTCACAATTTGGTCTTGTTTTTTGAAGGGTTTTAACTTATTTCTATTTGCATCAAAGGTAAGTTCTTAATTAAAGTCTTAATTCGTAAACCTTTTATTTTGGTATTTTTCGTTACAAATTTCAGATTAAATGCTATTTTAGATTCAACGTTTTAGGTAAAAAAATGCCCAATACACCTTTCAAAATTAAATTTATTTTTAAAAACAGCAAAGATAAGAACAAATCAGGAGATAACAATGCCCGTGTATCCGATACGCCTAAAAGAACAAACCAAAATGGCAGAAAAAGACTCTTTAGCGAAGAAATCGATGAATTTTCATCGGAGGACGATTATTCCCCGGCACCTTCCAGTCCCCTTTCACCTTCACCATCACCCTGCAGCTTCTCGCCGCCCAAAGTAAGCGAAGAGCTGCGACAAAGAGACCGTAACATCAAAGAACGCGAGTCATTTCTTAAATCCTTCCTCAACGATCCTGAGTTTGCCGAAGCCGTCCAGAGCATTGGCCTCCTCTCGGATAAACCAACCAGCCGACCTGCTTCAAAAACCAAACAACCGAGGCGCCGAAGGGCCTCTTCAGACTCGGCGTTCCGTAGCCACTGTCAAATCCCCGTGGAAAAGCGGAAATCCCTGCGATTACAGAGCAAAGAACCGCAGTTCTCTCATTCCGACCTTCCGGACGAATCCTCGAAGAGGTATTACGAATCCGACGAGGATGTTACAAATTTAGAAGAAATTGTGTACAAACCGACTAAACGACGAAGGATTACAGCCAGGCCGACCGAACGTAGGGATATTCTACGTGTCGAAGATGTAACGGATGCGATGATAGAAAACATAGCCAAAAAGGTGGCTGATAAGGTGTACAGCGCGGAAAAAGGCACCAGTTGTCACCAGTGTCGCCAGAAAACTACTGATACCAAGACCTTCTGCAGATCGCAGGACTGTATAGGCTTAAGGGGGCAGTTTTGTGGAGTGTGTTTGTTGAATCGGTAAGCAAAAATTCCCGTTTAATAGGAGCATTTTACTATTTTAACACTCGATAATCTAATCTTATAAGTATTATTTGTTGATTGTAGTTATGGAGAAGATGCAGCAGCAGCATTAAAGGATCCCGATTGGGAATGCCCTGTGTGTCGTGGTGTTTGCAATTGCTCATTTTGTAGGGCTAGAGATGGGAAACGTCCCACCGGGATTTTGGTGCCTCTTGCTCACAAAGCTGGACATAAATCTGTTAAGGACTTTTTGGATAGCTTAAATGGAACAGGTATAATAAATTGTTGTGAAATCGATATAATTATAAATACTCTGTATTGCTCGTTTATAAGTTTTCTTTAATGGAAATGAAATGTATTTTTCAGGGGATTATGCAGATCCTACCAAAAACCCAAATAATTTACTAGGTTTCTCTGAAGATCTACAATTTGCTCATATGGGAAATGGTGTTAAAGTCTACGTAGGACAAGGGCTACATAGCCTGGATGAAGAAAAATCATTAATTAGTGAAAATGAAATTAATGGTAATTGATTAAATTATTAGTCTAAAGAAAATCTTCCATAAATTTTTGTTACAGAAGTTTCATCTCCCGTTCCAGAAAACCTATTAGGTTTTACCGAAGATCTGAATTACGCTGTAATTGAAGGAGGGGTTGAAGTTTATATCGGCTCACACAGTTTATCTTAGTGTAGGTTTATCGAAATGATGTTTAAAATATTTTTTACTTTTTTACATTTTGTATTGTAGTTATTTTATCGTATTTTGCGATTTGCCGCATTTATTTGATCTACCAGCAAATAGCAATAACTTGCTTTTTTTATTTAAATAATTATAAATAGTTTTAATTATAAAGATTTTGATATGCCACAGGTGTTTTTTGTGTAGCACGATGTTCATGTTTGTAATAAAAATGTTATTGAATTAACCACAGTAGTTAATCAAAATCAACTTCAACATCAATTTTTCTTTATTTAAATTTTACAATTAGTGTTACTAATACGACTAAAATTGTGATTAATTTACGACAATAAATCTATTTTAAATTAATGTCACTTGCATTCGAATTGTGCAAATTGAACAAAATTAGCTCCCATTACAACAAAACCAATGGTTCAAATATTTTTAGTTCATTTATCCGGCCCAGCCCAGTAACCGTACAGCCTCGAATTGCAGCACAACCGCACTGTTAAAAAATAAATGGCTTCCATCAGAGAGAGTATCGAAAATCCCGTAAAAAGCCCCAGCAAACCGCCGAAATTCGCCAGAAAGTCCGTCGGGCCGTACAATACGTGTCTCTCGGACCCAATGAATTGCGAGGACTTGAAGAACAGGATCAATTTCGATACATAGTAGCTGAAATAATTTTTTCATCATATAGTATCTAATATTTTTATACTCCATTCGCCATCAGGAGATAGAGTAGAGTAGGAGTAGTTCTTAGGTAGTCCTGAACTGTTTCAAATGGTTCTAATATCATTTCTAAAGTGATTCTGGGCAAATCCAAGTGATTTTGAACAGTTCCCAAATAGTTAAAATGTTACTTAAGGTAGGTACTATACTGTGTCGTTGATAATACGAAAGATCAATAAATATTGCCATCTCCTGATAGAAAATGGAGTATAATAGACATACCGAGTCATCTCTTAATACCCTGGTTCCAAAGTAACTGGCAGTAACTCATTTTTCAAAGAAAAAAATAAGCGATGAGTCACTGCCAGTTATTTTTAAACCAGGGTATAATTCCTTAATATTCCTATAGACTATAGACATATCCTGCTTACGTGTCAAGGTCGGCATTAAAGGACTTATCGGCCTGCTCGACCTTCATAGCTCTCACGTAATCCAGTTTGCTCTGCGATGTTTCCACATTGTAGGTCAAATCCGTGCAAGTCGGCATGCAGTTGCATCCTTGTTGATAATCGTAGAGAAAATTTTTCATTTCCGACGGGCTTATGTTTGATTGATTGTTTTGGTGTATTTTCATCCGCAGCGCCGCCAGTTCGAAGTTAAATTGCGCATCCTTCATGCAATTCGCTTTGCCTATGCCGCACATTTCCGTAGCATTATCTCCTACAAAAGTTACAGAAGTCACAAGGATATCATTATTATACTTAGAAGGGCTTAAGTAACAAATCAGCATGATCAGATTTTATTTATTTGAATGAAAAAATAGACTTACTGGGCATGTAAAAGTTAACGCATCCGCAGATGTTTAAAGTGTAGTTAGTGAGACATTCCAAAGCGCAATTTCTGGCGGTGTACAATTTGAAGAATTTGAGTTCCTTTTCGTCGGGAAAATAGCATTCTCTCCTCGAGGGGTTGTAGATTTCAATGTCAGGATCAGTTGTAGTCAATTCCGGACGGACCGCAGCCAACACTATTTCATTTAATGGTACCTATGCAATTTAATATTGTTAGCAAATTAGTGGGTACATTAATAACCAAATTTTGGTTCATTATAAAGGACTGGCAGATTATTCGAAATGCAAAGTTTGATTTAACTCTTACGCACTTGAAAGTAGTCTTGACTAGGTCTAGGCACTCTCGAAGGCAGGTGTAAAGTTACCTAAAAGTATAAACTATATACAACGATACTACAATGACATCTCTCTTTACCCTGAAACCAGTACGCGCCTTTTTGCAACTGTAGTCTTTATTGAAATAAGACATATTTAAGGTTACTGATAGGGCGTTAGTTGCCCCAGCAAGTAAAGCCCGCCTTGGATAGGCGTGCAAGTCTGAGCTTCTCGAATAACCCCCATCCATTGTCCATAAACCTAGCGCACTTTTATCGGCTTTGTAGTAATTGTCCGGCAACCAGCTGCAAAAATTAATGATCATATAACGGCCGATTTCAAAAGGATACTTAAAGATTAAATACTAATAAAAATGCATAAGAACAGCACTGCGAATACGGATCGAAACATTTAAATAGAAGTTTACTAAACTCACGATGGATCTTTAAATATCTCGTGTTTGTCCAAGACGTTGAATGTGTAACAAATTCCTTCGTCGGTGATTATGGGCCTGAACCAGGTCAGGCAATCTTTTCCTTCGAGTTTGAAGCCGAAGTATTCGCAACTTTGGAACGGGAAAACTCCTTCACTGATCTGCGAGAAAGACAATTTATAGTCTCCAAATTACCTCTATAGGTAATTTACCTCCTCCAAAGTTTTATAAAAATCATCGGTAAAAGTTAGTTCTTCGTCGGTGTACTTAATGATTTCGTTGTCGTCGCATATTAGCCCCATGTACTGGAGGATTTTCTCTCTACAAAAAGCCGTTTCATTAAGTCCTATCGAAATATATAATTTAGAAAAAATACTCCTTCTGGGTGAGCGACTGGTTACTGGCGAACTTCTGCACCACGTTCGAGTGGCTGTAGACGTTCTGGTTCGATTTGAATTCGGGGCAAATGGTGACGGCGGGCCAGGGGATGGAATAAATGGGGGTTTCTTTGGTAGCGAAGCTCACGATTACAGGGCTTCTCACCCATCTTTTGTATACCATCCTTATGGACATCACGCACCCTGCCAATGTCACGCTGAACACCACGAACCACCATACTCTTAACATAAAAGGCACGAAATAAACAGGAAAAAATGGAATTTTAGTAGGTACTTTATTTAATTAAGTCTTAAGTTCCGGTATAACCGAAAGTCAACATATGGTGAAAATAAACTGCTCCACAAAAGTTAAGAAAGTTCGCAAATTTTGCGATTATTTTAAAAGTTACAGACTTTTTGATCACCAAATTTTCAAATATGCGAAATTAAATGTTTTATCTCATATCTAAGTGTTTTTTTTCCCTACCTCTACAACTCATACTAAATTTGGCGATGAAAAAACTTGCAACTTTTAAATTAATCTCAATATTTGTCAACTTCCTTAACTTTTGTGGAGCAGTATATTTTCAACTGTCTGAAACTGAGTTTGAAACTCTTCTGGAACTCTAAAAAGTTCTAATGGCACGGCTACCGTAAAAAACCCTGTATAATTAATCTAGATCTAGATACAACAACTTAAAAACAAATCATTTCCCTCCCATTCATTCTCTCAAAGTTTCCGAATTTTCTTACCGTTCGAAATGCGTCCTCTTCTCCCCGAAGTACCGAAATCCGTGTATGCTGGAGCATTGGCAGTACTCCCTGAAATAGTTCCGGACGCTTTTGAAAAACGGCGGGCGATTCTCGCGAGGGCCGCCCTTCATCCCTGTTGTTTTCACACAAACTGACCCTTTCGAGTCTCGAGTTTGCACAACATAATCGGGATGGGCTGTTTAATTCCTTTTGTATCGATTGACAACGCAATTACAATTTACCAACAGGGTGTTTACCTGAATTACCCGACACTTTTAACATAACGAAAGGCTATTGAAATACTCATATAGTTAATTTAGGGATTCCCAGCTTGGATGGAAAGTTGTAACTTGTTGCACACTTTTTGTCTTTGTTGTATTAAACAACACTCTGTAACAACGTTTACATAAAATCATCATAAAGCGTAATTGTATACATACAAACAGTTTCACCCAACTTTTTTTATTATATTAATAAGCATAACTTAATTAAATAAATATTGTTGTATAATGTCTGTGTAAAAAATACTTCGGTTTTTGAAGTCGATTTGAAGGACGCGATGTTATCGGGATGAGTATTAATGGAACAGCACTCAGGGGAGACTGGACAGAGGACGGTGTTAATTTTTTAGTTCGAAAATTTAGGTTAATTTCCAAACTTAATTAAGATAACGATTTTTTGCACGATGAGCTTTCACGTAATTGAATTTTAGTTATCTTAAAGCTATGACAATGTTTTTCTTTTATTCAATACCTGTAAAGATAGTTCAATGTACGAAGTACGAGTATTGAGATAATTTAAATCTTTTTATAGCAAACGCACTACAATAATAGAATAATTGGTAATTGTACATAAGTTTTTATTATCTAATTTTAATAACATTAAACATTATAAACTTATCTACAACTATTAATAAATTATCTACATCTTCATTACTTATTTTCTTAAATTTCTTAATTTTCTTAATTTTTCTTGTTCTTGTTGCAACAATAATTTTGCGGCATCTCTTCGATACTGAGCCTCTTCCATCCTAAGACTGTGTAGTTCAACAATCTGCTCTTTTTCTCTTTCGATTAACTCCAATCGGGCCTTTGTAATGGCTTCCAGTGGGCCAAGTTGTCGTTTCTTTGCCCTTTTAGAGCTAATCCCACTGCTCCCACTTGCTGCATCTGAAATATTAAAATAATAAAAATGCATTAGTAGCTTTTGTGTTTAGTAGTCTTTGTTGCACCTATAGATCATATTATTGCATACAAATTTGCCTATAAATATATACATATTTGTACATGTAGGTATATGAAAATTTACCTGTCCCTTTGTTTTTAGAATCCGGGCTAATTGTTTCTGCAACTTCTGCAACTTCTGAGAGTAAAAAGATAATCATTTGTTTTGTTACTCTATTATTCATTTAGTGACTACCTACCTCCTAAATTTTGATTCATAAATATTCCGTCGGAATCATATATATTATCGATCTCAAAATGATCCTCTATTTCTACTTCCATTGGAGGTACCGGTACCGCTTCTCCATCTCCTGTAGCCAATAATTCCCTCCATTCATTCGCCAAGACGATTTTCCTGTCTCTTTTAACCCTTTCCCAATGTCTTTTTAACTCAGTTATTGTCCTCTACAAGAAGTTTTAATATAAAACTAAATTAACTACTTAATTTAAATAATTTTAAAATTAATTTTTCATCATTTACATGATATAAAGTGTAGATAATACTGCGCGTATATTTAAATGAACTTTGTTCAACACATGCTCCCGAACATTTCGGATCATTTCAGGGCTTATTTCCCCACATGCTTGGACCGATTTAATTGGGCCACCCTGTATAACACGGGATAAAAACTATTACTTACCTTCACATTACTTTTGGCGTTAAATTCAATTGAAATATTCGCCCAAGCTTCCTTTTTTTCGATTGCATTGGCATCTGTTCTTTTCTCTTCGATTATGGGATACTTGGCAACAATTTGTAAGAACGCTATTTGTTCGTCCGATGTATATTCCACTGCCATTTTTACGCAATGTTTCAAGTTCACTGTCACAATTAAGACTAAAATTCATTCCCTTTGGAAAATATTCACTAGGAACGTCGAATCGTGAAGTGGGTAGAGGTAATCTGGGTATTTTTTTCTGGGAATATTTGTCTTTTTATTGTAGAACTGTCCATAACCACTTAAATGGGAGGGTTTCTTTACAAAATACATGGGTAAGTGCTAAGTGCACATATGTTTGCAATATGGTCAATTCTGTGAGTTGAACAAAGAAATTTTATTAAAATAACAGTGGCTAGAGTGAGAAAGTTGCAATCCCTCAAGATCGCTATTTCTGTTTCCTTTATGAGACTAACGGAAGTTTTCTTTGTTGCACCCATAGACCATATTGCGACCAATTTTTGGTTTGCGTCAAATTTAAAGTCGATGAAAGTGACAGTTTTTTCTTTTAAAGGACGAGCCATTGTCACTTTCGTCAACTTTAAATTTGACAAATAAATGTCAGAGCCAAGAAACCATAGCAACAATTAATTGACACATTTTATAATACGTTCAAAATTAATTCTTAAATGTATCAATATGCCCGGGAGTTAAAACTAAATTGGTCTTAACGTGAATACGGGTTATTAAAATGTTTTCAAATTTGGGGATTGATTTAAGAATGAAATTACCTTTAAAACGAGGTGTCACTAAACCCCTCTTTCCATAAGAAAAAAAGATTCAAAATGGCGCCTAAATGTCATTTTGAAAGTTTCAACTGTCATTTTTACGTCAAAAAAAGTATTAGTTACTCCAATATAAACACCCCAAATTTCGCGACAAAAGCTCTTACCATTTAAAAGCTAAGGGGGGCGACGGACTTTTGGTCCTCACTGTATATTTGCACGTTTTAAGTAGGTACTTCCACAAAACAACATCGTTTTCGGAACATTTATAAACTAGGTACAAAAATATGACTAATTACAAGCTACTGAAAACTTAAATTACATATTAACCCGGTCAAGGCAATGGCCAAGGTAATCCCGAAAAATCCACCGGTCCTCCGAGTCCAGCATCAGCTTCCAATAAACTCATAATAACCGCCATTGCAGCCTCGTCGTTTCCATCCACAGATGATGTCGCGTTAGCTCTTTGAGTACTAACGTTTCCTTCTTCCATCATTTCGATGATGCCTTCGTCTGTGGTTCCCCCTAATACTGCGCGAAATACGTTTTACATTATTTCATTTTGTAGCTGCAATCAAAAACTAACCTGGATCAGTAGCTATGCTGGATAAGGATATGTTCCTCATGTCGTAGAATTTTTGATTCGTAGAGAAATCCGGTAAGTTGTTTGGAATTTCGTCGTCTTCTCTTTGATTATGCGCCTTGAATTGTTATGAAATTTGTTACATAAAGTTGTTATATGTGTAGAATTCGTGATATTTACCTCTACTGCAACTGTGGGTAATGTAAAAGGCGGGTCAGGATCAGGACTATTTTCCGATGAAGACTCCCCGCCTCTCTTCTGAGAATCCATAACTTGTTCGGCTATTTGCCTACCGATTTTGCTCACTTCCAGGTGATTGTTTATCAACAGGTGCATATCTTTATCGTTCTCTAAAAATGTACTAAAATTATTTACTACTTAGTCTGAACGTTTTTAAAAGAGTCAAGTTTCTAGAATTATCGTAACTTCTTGTCTTGAAATTGTTCCAACGAAAAGACCTCAGATGCAAAATAAATATAATAGTTTAAGTACGTACGATCTGAGAGAAAATCCATATTTTCCTGCATTCCATCGGATTGGCCTGCACTTGCGCTACTCTCAACAGTTCTAAAATCGGTCCTAAAAAATACAATAAATGATGTCTTCAGAATAAAGATTTAACTTTGGTAGTTACTGCACCATTAATCTCTCATACTCACAAGATAAGGTTGTTCTTGGCGTTGAAATTTTCGATTTCCTTGGTCCAAGGATTCTTAAACGACTTCCACTCGCTGCGGATCTTGATGAAACCGCCGCTCTTCGTTCGGAACCTGTAGACGCCGGTGGTGACGGACTCGGCGGTTTGCAGGGCCACCTTGTGGTGCTCGGCCAGCGATCGGATGTCCTCGTGGTGGAAGTACTCGTACATGCTGGTGCCCAGCAACTCCTGCGGCAGGTAGCCCAGCACCAGCGTGGATTTCTGGTCGACGAACAGGAATTTCCCGTCCAGAGCGTGCCGCGACGTGAACTGGATCTGCCGGATGTTGGGCATCCCTTGGCAATTCGCCGCCACTGTGGATATGTGGGGGAGGATCCTGCCGATGGCCACCAAGCAGGACAGGTTGCAGGTGTCCCCGTCGGTTTCTTCGTGCTCTTCGAGGCCTATTTTGGCCGGCGCCCAGGATTTCAGGTAGCCGGTGCATTGGATCACGTTGTATTTTTTATCTGATGTGCGTAGAGATATTAAAAATGTTAAAATGGTTTCTGGTTTTTGCCAAAGATGATTGATCGTTGAGGAATATTAAGTTTTCCTGTATCTGTTTTTTTAGATTGGGAAATAGTGAATGTTTACCTGAATTGTACTTTTTTCTTCGGTGATATCCTGTAGTAGTATCGGCTTCCTCCTTGACTTGGGACGATAGATTACACTTCATTCTGCAAAAGAATGATCTTCGAGCGCCTGGGCAAAGTCGCGAGGCTCCTTGAGGAACGTCCGTTTTGACCGGCAACATCGCTAAAAATCCGATTAAAATATAGCTTAAAACTGCTATTTTAACTATATTCGATATTTTTCATTGTATTTTAGATGAATCAAGAAGTCTAAATACAACATAATTGTATTTGAAATTGTATGTGACTCTCAGAAAGTTCTTGTACCTCATCGGATGTAGCTTGGCAGTTGGAATTTTCAAGTTTGATGCAAAATTTAAACCGTCCATTTTTCTTCCCCGTTTGCGCATCCACTGCAATTTTCAACTGCCAAGCTACATTCGCCGAGGTATGAAATAACTAAAAATTACGAAGACTCACTTTTCGCGTCGATCAGCCTTTCTCTAGGATTAATATCCGAGGAAGATAGTTGTTCTTTTACTTTGGCTACGTCTTTGGGATGGACAATGTCGAATAAACTCTGGCCCAGCAAATCGCCCTTTGGAAAAAGCGTATTGTTTTTAAATTAATTCTCTCTCTAAAGTTCTCATTTTTGGTTCTTACTTGCGAATAATTCAGTACCTTCGATACCGATTCTGATACGTATAAGATTCTTCCTCTGTCGCAACCGACCACAAATAGAAAACCATCTGCTACCTATAAACAATAAATTATATCACTTTTTTTATTTATTATCAAATATTACTTATAAATTAGTTATACAGGTGCGATGGGTGCGATAAAGACAACTTCCATTAGACACTTACAAAGGAAAAGGAAAGAGTGACATTTGTGTCATTGCAAATTTTCACTCTGACAACTGTCATTTTAATAATCTTTCTTTGTTCCACTCATAGAAATGACCATGTTGCAATCGGAAATGGAGCAAGTATATCAAGTATATCCATTGATTTAACCGTTTTAGCCAATAGACCAAGTCCAATTCTGATTTCTACAACAGTAGTAATTCCCAAACTAAAAGCCCAAACTTTTACATTTTTTACAGAACTCTTAAGACACCCTGTAGAGTAAATTTAACGATAAATCACTAAAGCAATGCACTCTTTATAATTTACCTGTAATATAACGTGTTTCAATTCCTGATCGGACAACAGGGAAGGTTTGTAATTGCCCTCTGTGTAGGAGGGCAAAGCGCCCCGAATGGATTTCATGTGTTGCACGGCCAATCTGAGCACCGTTAATTTATCCAATTTTCGAGACATTGCATGACACATGGGCACCATTGAAGAGAGCTCCGTGATGTAGGTGTTCATTTTGTCTCTTCTCCTCTTCTCCACCTCGCTGTGGTTCTGTCTAAAAGAACAGGAGGTTGATTCATTAAAACAATGATATCGTAAGATCGAGTCGGGGAAAATTTATTTTTTATGTCTTCGTATTGGCGCGAGGTACGCCTCTGGTTAATGTCGATGAAGAAAAAGGTTTATGCGTTTAATTATAGCGAAACATGCAAATTAAATGAATGTAAACATTGTAAATACCTACCCGATATTACGTTAGATTGTGTCGTAATAATTGTAGTACCCAATGTAACGGTACTGCCGACGCATTCCTTTTTCATAATATAGTACTAGTTTAACCTTTTCGCACGACCGGATTTGTTATTGTAAATTGATAATTAATCCGCAATCGATTTTATGAATTTTTCATTAGTACTTCTCGGCAATTTATTCTTAACTCAGCGAAGGAAATTGTTTGGAATAGATATCTGATTTTGATTGTTATAAAAATGCCTTTAGGGGTCCTGTAGGTACTACTACTATTGAATACAGTACTATATGAATATTAAATTCAATTCGCTAATAATTTTATTTTATTATTCATTAATTAGGCCCGCATTTAGCGCCCCTTTTTTATGCTAATCAATCGTTTAAATTTAAAAGAGTCTCTTCAACTTGACCATTGTTCATGGTTGTTATGGAGTAACTATGGGCATTGTTTAATTTGACAGTTTTACATTGTTGTTATGGAGTAACTAGGGACATTGTTTATTTTGACAGTTTTACATTGTTGTTATGGAGTAACTAAGGACATTATTTATATTAAAGAGATTCTGTAAACGATTGAATATCGTTAAAAAGGATCTCTGAATGCGGATCTATAAATATTTAATTAGGTATTTATTACTATTCTCATAACAGATCAAAAGGTATTAGATAGATATAATGAAAGCTGCTTTTTGCAATTATTTTTATAAAAAAGGTAGCGATTGAAAAATGGTTTAATTACGGCCTAGAAATCGGCATTCTTTCATAAAATGCACTTGCATTTACTATTGTAAGTGCACCTTGTTTCGAATGCCGACCACCTTGAACTCTCGTAGGGTTTCCTTCTGCACGTCACATTCGAGTAAATATCTAGTTTAATGCGATTTGAATTTGGTTGATAATTGTGGATTTTGGTAAATAATACTTACTTTTTGTTATCATCGTTTGATTTAATGGATTTTCCATCTTCGGTTCCTTCATCTTTGGTATCACTTTCGCCCCTGAAATTATAGTAGTTTTTTGAAGATTTTTTCCTAATACAATTCAAAAAAAATAAAAGAGATTCCGAAAGAGAATGAAATTCTAAAAGAAATTCAAAGTTACTGTCCTTTTTGCAATTAAATAAAAAAATGTATAAATTCTTGTTTCATTTATGTACATTTTTAAAGTTTTTTTGTTCAGTTTTGATACAGTTTATAGAAATAAATACAGCTAATTTTATTTAAGAAATTAGCAAATTAGCAAATTAGCTAAATTTTCAAAAAAAAACGTCCAAATCGAGCAAAATAAAATACGATCAGCCAAATTCAACAGTTTATAGGAAAAATAATTTTCTTCCAGAAAACAATAATCAAAAACACCCTTCTTTCATTAGAAAACACTTTGTACTCGTATAAAAAACAGAACATAACTAATTTTCGAAAAAAGAATCGAACAAAATAAAATCGACAATTTATAAAAAAAAACTCCAAATTTTCTTCAACAAATCAAGAAATTCATTAGCGAATCTACCCCTTTATTCATTAGAAAATACTTTGTATATGAAAACCTAATTTTCTCCAAGATGAACCCTCTTCTTTTATTAAAAAACAATATGTACCTACTATGTACTATTATCAAATTATTATTAGTGATTGCCATCACCAAAATTTTCGAAGTATCAAGCAAATCGAGCAAAATAGAATTCGATCAGTCGAATTCAACAGGTAGCCTATTTCTAAACCTACCCCTACCGGTAACCAGGGTGCAAAGTACGTGTTTCGGGAATCCCGACTAACGTCTCACTTTGTATAGTAAAATTAGCGAGCAATTAATCTTAACAAATAAATTCTCTATGATCCAAGACGTTGACGTCTCGATTGCGGATCTCTCACGTAACCCGTTCGATTAGCCGGATAATTAACTTTTCAAAACTTCGCATATCTGGAGAGAGAGTTGGACATTTGTGGGGGTTCCCCCGTTTTCTACGCGCCTACCACGATCGAAATCGAGAAGTTCGAACGCCTTTTTACAGGGATTCGATGTGTTTTTTAATGGAAAAAAATTTATATTCTATGAGCTGATTGTACCAACTTTTACACGCTTGGTTACTTAATAAGGAATATTTATATGGGTAAGTGAACATTTGTTTGCAATATGATCAGTTCTATGAGTTGTTGAAATAACGGTTGTTAAAAAGTGAGAAATTTTTAATCTTTTTAATTGTTATTGGTTAATAAAGAAACATTGTTAAATTTATATCTATAGTGGGGACAGATTTAGATATTTTTTCCTTTACGTTAATTAAGGAATTCTTACCCGTAGGGTTTTCTTTTTCTGCTGGAATTGGATAAAGAACTGCTGTCGTCCAAAGATGAGCCTAAATTTTGACTCGATTGATAGGAGAGGTTCGAAGAACAAGTGGCGCTGGAACAAAATAAAATAAATTTTGAATATAAACTAATATACTATCAGTTTTCCAAAACCAGTTTTTGTTGTTCACTTGCAGATTTTAAAGAAGTTTTAAATAACATTTTTGATGAATGTTAAAGTCAATTGTTCGCACTTAGTTATGAATATGTTTCCTTTCGACTTTGCTAGTCTGATGAAATGTTGAATGTAAATGTGGAAAACACTGCTAGAAACTCATTTTATTTGCACAAATTATGTTTGCAAAAATTTATTAGATCATATTCCATTCCGACTTCTTGCAAATTTAACAAACTCCACGAACACAACTCTCATTAAAGCTTTCATCATTTTTTCTTCCACACTTGAAAAATCTACTACATTTGCACAAAATGTAGATGAATATTGAAACTTCATTATACCTACAGCAAAATTCTCTCGGTACTTACTTGACAACATTCGGTAACTCATAATAGGAGCGCTGGTAGGACTGCAAGCCCTGTTGAACTCTCACGGGCTTCAACTCGTGCAACGTGATGAACCCGTTTTCATCATTGGGTTCGTGCAACAATTGCGGGTTCGATATGTCCTGAACCGGAAAATTTCGCGCGACCATTTTTTTAACACAGCTATCATTAAAATTTGAGGTACTGTTTGGGGTTACAATCGAATGTCTATATTAGGGCGCCGTTTAGTATTTGCATTTAATTTATAAATAGAACAAAACGATTTTGAAATAATAACGGCGTTTAAATTAGCTTCGGTACTAGTAAATAAACGCACATTTTTTAGGTATTTAATATAAGAAAAAAAAAACTAGTAAATTAATCTAAATTGTTCAAATTTTCTTAGTTAATTTCAGGCTCGGTTCTTACCAAAAAATTTAAGTAAAACGAGAAGAACAAACTATCGCACGATGAAAAAAGCGCGCGGTTTATCGCGAAATGCGCGTGCAATTTTAACGGCGGATTTCGCAATGAGGGGATATGTTCACTTGAGAGTTCGTGTGACATTCAAATGTATCAATTTCTTTTCCGTTCGCCCGATTTATATAAACTAATAAGATTGACGAAGAGGCGGGAGAACGGTTTCAATTTAAATCTACGCATGCACCGGTCTACACCTGTTTGAAGCGCAGAACGTGTGTATGTATATACAGGGTGTTTGATGATAATACATTATAAATGCACCACACCGAAAGTGATAGATTTCCGATCTTAGGCCAATGTTAAAGATTTGTCTTTTTTGTATAAAAACTCTTCAAAAAGCTGTTAGTGCCGAATTCGTAATAAAGAAAAGAAAGTTTTAAGATAAAGTGTCCATTTACCTTCTTCCTAAAGGCTAATTGTTTCATAAATCTACTTTTATGGACAACATTTTCTCTCTACTTTTATGAACTTTTTTCTCTCTACTTTCATGCAGAAAATTTTCTCTCTACTTTTATACACAAAATGTTCTCTCTACTTTTATGAACTAAATTTTCTCTCTACTTTTTTGAACATTTTTCTCTCTACTTTCATGCAGAAAATTTTCTCTCTACTTTGATGTACATTTTCTCTATACTTTTATGAACATTTTTCTCTCTACTTTCATGCAGAAAATTTTCCCTCTTCTTTGATGTACATTTAAGAGTACCTGAAATTTAAGAGTACCTGTTCAATGAAAGTTGTTTTGGAAAAACTTCCGGAAAATATACAACTACAATCGCGACAACACAGCGATATCGAAAAAGTAGTTTCAATATTCAACTGGGCAATCGATGGACAAATACTTTAAAATTATCTATTAATATGTATGCACATGAAAAGATGTTGTTTGTTTAAAATTTATATTGGGCATATTTTCGCGTCGATTAAAATTACAGCCCGTGGGAGCTTTTCCGAGAAAAATCTTTTCGCACAATCAATACGTATTTAAATAATACATAAAATATTTGCAAATTCGAGCACTACTGCTCATTAATTTTAGAACTAGAATGATATATTTTTGGAATGGAATGAATTTGGAAAACTAAAGAAAGAATCATTAATTTACTTATTATAAATAAGAAATTTGGGTTTAATAATGAGTTAATAATAACACACAAATTAACTAGTAGGTACTCAACAAAATGTACATACAAGTGAAGATTTATTATTTCTGTTTGGTTCAGAAACTGTGCTGTACTTTTTTACATTTTTTTATTGTATATCGAACCGATTTAATACGGAAAATCTCTGCGAATGTGACATACAAAAAACGCATTCGTTTATGCTCGTTTTCAATTAGCGGGATTATGAAGGGGTTCAAGCTTATTAGTTGAATATATTTGAAGCCCTGCCTGGATTATTACTAGACGAAGCAACAACCCGTTCTGAATTGATGCAATCGATGATTGTTCGGCGATTCGACTTCGTTTTAAAGCTACAGTGCGACCACAAAGTAACGAAAAAATTCGGAATGGAAATTTTTGATTATCGATTTCTATGTTTTTCACCTAAATTAGTATACAGGCTGAATCCGTCATTGATTTATGAAGATAACAGGACGTACAAACGAAATAAAATTAATATAAGATTATTACAGAAATTACGTATAAGGTATTATAATTAATACGCTAACTTTAAAAAAATTTCTCGACTGACGAAACAACCTGTTACTAATTAAAAACATTTCGCAGAAAGATCATCACGCAACTGCAGTATTCAAATTAAAAGAAACTAATAATTAAAGGTATTGTCACCCGTAGCAACAGTTCGTTATCGGGAATGGGATTCTGGACATCTGATGCAACCAAGAAAAATAATTATAAGAAATGTTGGAAGAGGCGTTATTCAGACCTCAGGTGTGATTCTCAAATTTCACCAATCAGACCGTTTTTAATGGACATATACGCACGTTCTCACGTGTGCAAGTTACGTGTATCTCACGAAAATACCAGATTTGATTTATTTATACACTGTGGGGCATAAATATGGCACTAGCTTTATTTATTATTTAGTAAAAGTACATGAAATTAAATAAAATACCATGTTTCGAAAACAAATAGTGTACCTACCTATGCTTTAGGTTGGATGGTTCTTAAATTTGTGTTAATGAGAGAGTTATTTATTATTAGAGTTCCATTTTTAAATACATTTTTAATCTTACAGTCCAGTGGTGCTATTGTTATGCACTATGGTAATTTCGATTATTTTAAATAAATATTACCAAATTCATTAGCAATGAATAGTCGAGCTTTGTTAATTATTTGTATATTATTTCTTTTTTCTCTGAAATAGACCGTGAAAAACGTCTTCTCATTGTAATGCATCATCCCTTTCAATAACACCCGCGTTCGACGCAAAAACGCCCTTACGTAAGTTATGCAAGTGGCGGATTTTCATTGTAGTGACATTTACAGATGTTGTTCATCTCCTGTTATTATGCTGAATTGAGTAAATAAGAGGGAGGCAGTAATAATCGAATAAATGTCAAAAACAGTTTACCTGCGTAATATCACTGTTGACGACAATGGTGTAGATAAAAAAAAAGATTTACAGTGACTTGAATTACTAGAAAAAATGTATTATCAAACACAGCAGGAGTGGAGGTAAAAATTTGTATGAATAATTCAATTTTATGCACAGATTGTCCGCGAATAAATTTCACAAAGAACTGCAAATAAGTTCTGTTTAAAAATGCTGGATATTTTGATGTAATTAATCCTCTTTAAATATTGCTTTCATTCAAATATTTTAATAACAATATTTTAGTTGATAAAATTGTATACAGGATAAGTCGTGTACTTTCCTGACAATTTTCTCTCTACTTTTATGCACAAAATTTTTTCTCTACAATAGAAAAAATAATTGTCTCTTATCAGCCTTGTCACATTGAAAACTGAAATAGTTACTAATAAAGGACATTACATTTTAAATAACTTCACACTTGTATCAGATTATCTTAAAATTCACACTTACCAATCGTTACTGTTACTCGATACATTCATTATGTTCCTATAGCATTTTGGTTAAAATCCGTTGGAAATCTTCACTAAATATTTAATTGCATCTTTTACTGCACTATGCACTTACCAGGCGATAATTGTAATGATGCAACGAAAACAAAAACCAACCAGTTGTGTTTAGAACGATTAAAGTTCGAATACGATGTTTATTCTATTCATTAGATATTTGTTGTTATATACTCAAATTAATTACAACATGACTTTCGATAAATGTTACAATTTGAAATGCACAACGAACTTAGATTTTCTGATAACATTTCGTCCTTGAATCACCCGGGCATTACTCTAAGAGGGTTCGGGATTTAAAAGGTTCGATATTTTTTAGCAATTTGAATTTATTTAACTAAAAAAAAAACATTCATAATTCTTAGAATACAATAATACTAATAACACAGTGGCTATAATTAAGAGAAGTAAAGCTTGTCGGATGAGCACCCTCTTTTATAACAATCCACGTAAATATGTTAGTTAAAAAATATTTACAACAAACTCCGGGTATGCATTAAAGGTAATAAATATTCTTAAATCTCATTCAAAACATTTCCCTTTCCAAATATCCGAGAACAGTCTGAAGTCTTCCGCTCGAAACGAAATTTCCCAATTTGGAGACATAATCATAAAAATTATAATATACCGTTTAAAATGATAAATAAAATAAACCATCTCTGCGATTCAAGAATCCTCCGGCTCGTCTTCCCTCCTCCGATTCGTCCTCGACCTCGCCACGCGGCGAATTTGATTCAAACAGGCCAGCATTCTTATCATAAAAGCCGCCGGTACGGTAATGGTATCTCTCGTTTCCTCCAACATTATAGCGTTTCTTGTAATTAACTGCAAACAAAACATTCAATGTAAATACAACAATCGCCAAAAAAGCCCAAGCTTAATGGTAAACAACATATTTTTGGCTCCTCTGCATGATAAAATAACGACTGATTGTCCTTAAAAATGGCTCGACAATTCATGATTTTTGATAATGCTTGTACAGTGCTGTTTTTCTATTTATTTATCTATATATCTATCTATCTAATCTATTTTCTATCTATCTAAGCTATTTTCTATCTATCTAAGCTATTTTCTATCTATCTATCTAAGCTATTTTCTAAAGGATATCCATTTTCGTTATGTTCTTTTATTTTGACAGGTTATGTTTAAAATTTGTTGTTTTTGCTACTTTTTATGCGATTTTTGCATTTTTCTTGCAATTCATGCAAGTTTACGAGTAGGTTTTGTGTTTTCCGTTCGTTTTAGAGAGTTTTTCGTGCGGTTTTCGGTTTGTTTTTCGACCTATTTCGATAGAGAACGGGACGGCAGAGGGGAAGAAGACTATTGGAATAATTGACCTAATGGTAAAAAATCACATAATGTTCTGTTAAATCAATACCCGCAAGCTCACATCTTCTCCTGATCTACTTTTTCATGTTTAAATTCTACTATTTAAGACTTTTTTTTAATTTGTAAACAATGAAAGTAAACATAACCTTAAATCGAATATATCTGTCACATCAAAGATATCAATTACAACCCGGCAACGTTGCATCAGGCTGGCCCGAGATCCACTAGTCTAACGAAAATGGACAGCCTTTATCTATCTCTCTATTTATCTAAGCTATTTTATCTTTGGACTATTTCGTCATGGACTATTTCATCTTTGGGCGAATTTAACTTAGCACTATTCGGTTTTCGGCCTATTTCGCCAGGGTACCGCGATGAACAACAAAACATTATAATTACATCGGCCGCCGTTTTGCCATCGAAAGAAGTCTCCTCTCGAATGGGCGCCCAGAGTTTCACGTCGTGATCGATCCCGCTGGTCGCCAGAATCGGCAGAGTCGGATGCGGTTGCAGGCAATTGACCACGTGCTGATCGGCCTGCAACAGCATCTTCAAATCGGCCGTGTGCCGGTTCCAAATGAACACGTGCCCGCAATCCGAACCCGACATCACGTAGTCGTCGCCCCAAAACGTCGCCTCCTTTATCATCGTTCTGCAAAGACAAACAAAAATAGTACGCTTCGATACTACTGCAAGGATTTCCACCAGTTATACACAGCAAATCAAACGTAAATACCTAGAGTTTCTGTGACCGGTGTACTTCATTTTCATCTCAGCTTCGTATATCGGATGCTTCTCTTCGACTTTATCCTCCGCATCGGGCTCCTCATCCTCGTCATAATCTAACTCGACGTCCGTAGCCTACAAAAAAAAAACCAGTACATACACAAACCTAACAAACTCGACAAACCAAATTACCATTTCCTCGGCGGGTTCGTTCCCGTTGCTCTCCTCCCGTTCGGACGTCGACGGCGCCGTCGCGACGTCCTCGTCCACCTCTCTTCTGTTGCTCACGCGCAGACTGATAGTCGAATTCGACGTGCTCTGCTGCGAATATCTGAAGCTCACCGACGGCTCGGCGCCGTGCTGTTCGATGAAACCCTCGCGCAAATTGCGCAACGCCGTCAAATGGTTGTGCAGGTGGCTGGTGATGCCCGTACGAGGCGAGGACGAGTCCGTTTCCGGATTCGTCGGCGCGTTTCCGCTGCGAATTCCACACATATTATTATACATAATGGGGGGTTTGTAAAACCTTTGCTGCGACCCTTGAGCTACCAGGGAGCATTAGCATGGGACTAATGAATTGTGTAGAGCAGAGCAAGGAGCAAAGCAAAGCAAAGCAAAGCAAAGCAAAGCAAAGCAAAGCAAAGCAAAGCAAAGCAAAGCAAAGCAAAGCAAAGCAAAGCAAAGCAAAGCAAAGCAAAGCAGAGAGCAGAGAGCAGAGAGCAGAGAGCAGAGAGCAGAGAGCAGAGAGCAGAGAGCAGAGAGCAGAGAGCAGAGAGCAGAGAGCAGAGAGCAGAGAGCAGAGAGCAGAGAGCAGAGAGCAGAGAGCAGAGAGCAGAGAGCAGAGAGCAGAAAGCAGAAAGCAGAGAGCAGAAAGCAGAGAGCAGAAAGCAGAGAGCAGAGAGCAGAAAGCAGAGAGCAGAAAGCAGAGAGCAGAAAGCAGAGAGCAGAGAGCAGGGCAAATTGTTACGCTCTTATTGCGAACCCCTTTATTACTTCTACTAGCGTCATTCAATAGAACGCCGGAATAGAAAGGATGTAGGACAGTAGAGAATCTATTTACCTTTGTTCTGGATTGTTGACTTCGACGTCGGCCGGCGCGGCGGGCGCGTCTTCGGCGGCGTTTCTGGTTTCCAAATTTCCGCGGGCGCTTTCGTCGGCGTCGACCGAATCTTCGCCGCCAGCGCTCAGCGCCGCCCTCGTCATGGGATCGTTCAACATGCGCGACAGCACGTCCGTCATGCGTTGCATCAGAGTGGCCTGGAGCTGCGGCCTGGCCTGGCCCAAACCTGAAACGAAGCCGACATCTTTAAACACATCCCCCGGGAGACAACCTGTATACCATGTTCGATCGATTGGACATAACAGAGTCCCGCTAACTCTTCTAAACGTACAATAAGACAGTGTTAATTCGCGAGTTGTTCGGTACATTACCGGGAAACTTACTAACTGAAGAAGCGTTGTCGCGTTCGGGACGAGCATCGGGTCCTGTATCCGACCAATCGCCTCGTAATCTCAACCGCCTGACCGGTATCGGCGACATCCTTTCTCTTTTACCGGCGACGGCCTTGATTTTGTCCCAAGGAGACGATTTTTTCGCCGGCTTTTTGAGTTGTGTCACGGTGTTTTCCTACGAAATAATCGCATAATTAACATTCTATATTGGTTAATGATAGTACTCTACTCACCGAAACGCTAAACAAATAAAGGTAATCCGAAGAATAGCTAACGAGCATATCTCGCTCGTCTCTACTATAGCTCAACGATGTTATTCTGTAGTGTCTCTCGTTGCCGAAATGCGGCGCCACGAACGTGCAAAACGGTACAGGCTGAACTAACGCGTTGTCTACAAAATAAAAAAAAACAAGTCTATAATCTAATTCCAAAATAGTAGAGCTAAATTCTCAGAAATGATTGTGGTGTATTTGTTCGAATGCTAGAATCACAACCTGACAACAATGTTTTCGTTTTAAAGCGATATTTCCGAGAATTTAGTGCACAATTGGAGTACAAAAAACTTCAAGTATTCAACCCAAACATAATTAAAATCTCACCGCCGGTTTGGGTGCTCAGACACCTTCGATCGTACAATCTCACGGAGGAATCGGCGCAGCCGATGGCCAATTGATAGGGGGCCGTTCGGCTCAGAGCCAAGGCGGTGACGGCCCTTTGACAGGACACGATGATGTCCTCCTTGCAGCGGGGCTTGTAGCAACTGAAAACGGGCGACGGGTCCTAAATTAAACATGACAAAATACGAATGGGGCACCATTCTGACCTGCTCTTGCACCGCAAATCGAACCACCGGACGGTGCCGTCTTCGCCGCAACTCAAAAACGAATAGGGCTCGTTGGGAATGGTGATGACTTCGTAGGTGGTGGTGCCGGCGTGGCAATTGAACAGCTTGTCGAACGATCCATCGTTGCGGTTCAAATCTGTTTAGGCAAACGAATAGGCGTTATTATTCTCGTATCGGGATGGACCTTTTCGATCGGAAAGTACCGACTCACCGGTGTGAATGATTATGCCGTCTCCCGAACACGAAACGATTTGTTCGTCGTTGGTGCACGGTAGAAATTTGGCGCTGAATATGTTAGCGTGGTGTTTAGTGCTGTGGTTCGCTAATACTTTGTAATTGTGGCCGTTGGTGATGACCAAATGCTGATCGTCCGAGCCGGAGAGTATGTATTCACCAGAATCGTTCCAGCAAATGGTGTTGACGCAACCCTGGTGGATCTGGAGCTTTTTTAGTAAGCCCAATCGTTGAACGAGGCTTTCGTCATCTGAAAAGTAAATATTTTACAATTGCACTAAAAATATTCAAACAATCAGCTAGAGCCTGTATATTATACATTATATTTTCAAACATTACATTAATTCATAATATTATATAATGTTAGGATAATAGGGATACTAGACATCATATAAAATTAAACATTGCACTCGACTTAAATGTTTTGAAGCATTTTACATCAATCATAAGTTAATATTGAATATAATATAAGGTAAATAAGAATACTAACATTTTGCTACATTGTAACATAAGCTGCGATCATATGTTAGTGTATTATGTTAAGTATGTGTCATAAAATGTTTGTTTATATGATAGCAGGATTACTAACCTTTTGCAGTACTGTAAATGTTTATCTTGTTGTTGAATTCTCTGCTGTAAACATCGCTAAAGACGGATTTGCGTTTGCGATTCATTTTTTCGAGCTGTCTCAATGAAGTCACTTTATTTAAAAATAGCCTACTTTTCTAGTTTCGTTTAAAAACCTGCGTGTAAATAATTTCATCATTGACGATAAGTGAAACTGAATTCGATAAATTTGGATATGTTTTCTTTGCGGATCATTGTGATTAAACGTTAATTTAAATTAATAAAATAGAAAAATACTTTAATGCAACTAAATCTCTTTTTGACTTTGACTGACAGTGACAGTAGCGCGATGACAGTTCGAATTTTTGAAATGTCGAAGTTGTACTGAATAAATGCAATAGTCGAGGACAAAAAAGTAGAAGATTTTGTGTTCTTTTTATGCCGACTACCCCATGTAGCTGAGACCATTTCTTTGAGATGAACTAGAAGAAGAACAGTTTGTTTTTGACAATTTTGATTTTCGTTTTCGCTATTTGGAATTTTGGTTGTTTTCGGATTTGTTAATTCGTTTGACTGTTCCTGTTTCTTCAACTATATTTGAATAAAAAAAAAATAAGATGGTACGTTGTTGTTGTGTGCCTCAATGCACTAATAAAGATGCTACAAGGTAAGATACTTTATATTCTAATATTTAAATTGTATTTTGTATGGAGGCGCTACTTAATTTTGGTTCAACATTTACTTATAATACTTTCATTTAATTATAGACATTACATCCCATCAGACAAATTAATTCAAGAAATTTGGATAAAAAGAATAGACAATCCGAATTTATACAATAAATCTTATAATTTATTAAAAGGACATGCTGTCTGTGATGTTCACTTTGCAGATATCTGTAGATTCGGCAATAAACTAAAAAAATACTCACTCCCCACGATCAATTTACCAGGTATGATTACTTTGAATGCTAAACATAAAATTTAAATTAAATGTTTACATTTCTTTTATAGCGTTTGAAGATCGTGGCGACCCGGCAGATTGTTTCTCTTACCCTAAAAACCCTTTCGAAAAATACGAAACCCCTCCAAAAATAAAAAGTCCGTATTATTATGTCACATTTGCCACTATTTCTACAATGAATTTAATTTTGTAGGACTTTTACAAAGTACATCGTTCGCAAGAAAAGAGGGTCCTATAAAACAATTGTTTCTGGAGACGCCAGTAGAATCGAAACCTGATGTGAATATTAACTTACAATTATACCCAGTATCTGAATCTCCACGTGCATCAACACAAAGTCGAGGTAGAGTCTTATTAGTAGCCTAACTTAAAAATAAAAATATCAACATAACCTTTCAAACATAATGCAGGTGAACAAAACGAGCCTTCAGTGATGGGGAAACGGTGTGTAGTGGAAAATTGCACGACGAAATGCAACACGAAGGGACGTTCGATTTTCCGCGTGCCAAAAGATCCCCATCAGCGGACAGTGTGGCAAAATAATTTGAATATTTCGGTGCCATTTAAAGACACAGACGTTGTTTGCGAAAGGCATTTTGATCCGGAATGCGTCTTTCGCGAGTGGGTGCACAAGGACTCTGATGGAAAGATTATTGCAAAGGTAAGTTCGGGTTAAAGGACATTTTTTAAGCTTCCCTTCATTGCCCTGCTTTGTATCGGTTCTTGCGCGGGACAACCTGTAATTAATAGTATGTGCTCTATGTAAGGTTCGATATGGGCATCCAAGGCTGGCGGATTATGCTGTTCCAAGCATTTTCATAACGACACCAACCAAACCAGATGATAGCAGGTTGACAGATTCTCCGGATGACCACGACTATGCTTGTCTCACCGATGTGATAAAAGTTGAATGCAACCCAACGAATATCCAAACAGCAAGCGAGTTAACCAATCCCCAATCTCCAGTTCCTGCGACGATCAGTAATCATGGTGAGTAATTTGAATTAATTACCCACTAGTAATGGGCATACTAAGAGTTTCTTGTTGCAGATACGGAAACGTCCAGTACTCCGGTTCCAGCCTATCAGAAGTACCTATCTCTAATATCGAAGTCTTGGAGTGTTACCGAGCTACCAGTAGGTGAAAATATCCAGTTTGTGTTCTCTTACACGATAACATTGATGGACAACGGTATTAACGTTCCAATTACACAAAAATGTATCACCCTCGACGAGGACAAATATCTCGAATATTTCATCTACGGTCGTCGCGTCGACGCGCATCAAACCGGTTGCGTTCGAATTTTGACCGCCGCCGAAGCGCTTCCGGGCGTTTTGGCAGCATTCAAACGCGTGAATATTTGTCACGGTATAGGAAACGTCGCGGAATTCTCGGTGTTAGTGAATATCGCGTTTCGGGACTACGTCCAACAGTGGCGCCACAACGAGTGCTCCATGGTGGGGAAGACGAAGAGATGCGAGGCGTGCAGGAAGCTGCGGAAGCGATTGTTGCAGCAGGCGTCGAGAGACGAAGCTCGCGCGACGTTGCGACGGTTTCGAGCGCCTTCGAGCCCTTCGGATCGACTGAAATTGGACGCTGTGCGCAAGAAGTATCTTCGCGAAAAGAGACGAGGGGAGCAGGCTAGGAAACGAGTTGAAAAATTGGAGACGGCGTTATTGAAACTGTCGAATCGACAATGTAAGATACCGTAATCTAACTCTGCCAGGACTTCTTCTGTGAGCCAATTGGTGGATTTAAAATCCTTATTTGCGCGTATGTCGTGTGGTAGAAGATGGCTGGTACAAGCAGAATAGATTTTTATTTATATTTCGAATCAAATTTACGTCCAGCCTTAATGAAGCGCGCCACTGGAGCGGATGAAAACTCTTTTTATTTAGTCAATAAAACTCGAGTTGTTTACATAATTTTTTATTAAATTATTCTAACACTAAAATAAATTTCATACAAATCCCATCTAAACGGGCAAATCAATTGTAGCATTAATTTACCCATTCCGACTGGCCAAACTCAGTTTTAAAAGTCATAAATACTTATGTACACGGGGAATAAAAACTATATAAAAAAATGATGTTATTTATATAATCACATAAAGGAAACAATCGTGCGAAATAAATCCGACCTTTAAAATTAACGGGACATTTCACTTTTTTCGAAATACAGAGGCCAGTAAATGCGACGAACACACGAGTAATCATTTACATTTAGATGTTTATATTACAGGGTGTGTCTTGCACAAGAATTTGTCTGTGACACATTGCAATTTAATTATCTACCCTCTGTGTTTCTCTTATTAATAGCACATCCATCGGTTTTTCTACTGTACAAGTCTGTAACGATTAAAAAATCATCTATGATGTCAAATTTACAATAATATTTTATTAAATGTTTGTAGAAACAAATCGATAGATCTGTAGCAAAGGGGCTGTTAGCAAAGAAAGCAACCAACTATATTTTTGTTCTAAAGGTTCTAAAGGTAATCGATCACTTTTAAATTTTTTTATAAATAATACATATAACACAATATATTGACTAAATTAATAGTGTAAAGCGCTAGGTTTCTACTATGGGCGTAGTGTTACAAACACAGTCGTACTTAAGATACAAACACTAGTGTTTTATAATAGGGATAAGAAATAATACAAATGAACGAGATATAAATAGTATATGAAGTATACCAAAAAAAACCAGCAATTTTATAATTGGCTACCTTCCGTTACAGCAAGCTTCAAGTGATTAATTTTATTGTTATATATTGAAATATTTGCTGTTGCTAATAAGAAAAATTAAAAAAAAATCAACGGAAAGTTGTAAAGACAGCACCCTATGTAAAGAGTCGTAACAAAAAAACCATACCTACGCTATGTACAAAACGGTTACATCAGTCGATTTTAACGGTTGAATATATTTTTCTCACAAATACGCTCGTTCCAATGTATCCCACTGTTCCGCACATTATACCGAGCGCTCCGCTGAACAGGGCCATGTAACCAAAGTAAAACGCTGTTTGAAATAGTCCGTACATTCTAAAAATGAACAAATCAAAAGTATGTAGTAAGTCTGGAATTAAAAAAAAGTGTCCCGTTATTTGAGGATAAAACAGGGTTCCTAAAACGACCGCTAGGAGGCGATATTGTAAAGGACCGCGGTTTTTTGGGTACGAATTACATAGAATTAGCATTAAGAAAGGTTATATTCAAACTAAATGTAACAGAATATAAAAATGTACTTAAATCAGCGATGATTTTGTCGTTAACATCATGCCTCACGTATCTTCGGTTAATGTATTTCTCCATTTTGTCCTCGAAATGTCAAAAAATAATTTTTGAAGTTTTGACAGCTTGAACTGTCATCTCACAACCGCGATTTATATGTAGCGCGACGCTGATTGGCTGAGATAAGTTGGTCCTCCGATCGTTCGCCACGGTGCGGCGAAAAAGTGAAGCTTAAAAAGTCCTCAAATAACGGGACAAATTCTATAATGTATAAGCATAGGGAGATGCTAGACCTTAGAAATATAGTACCGTGGTAGTAATTTATCAAAATTAAAATGGATCCCTCCCCTTCCAGGCCTTATAATATACGACAGTGAATTCATCGAAATTCACACGCCCGCTTAAAAGTAGTAAAAATCATTCGAAAAAATAATATGCACTTACTTCGTTTTGAAGAAAAAGTAGTAGATGGCGTAAATGTAGACGTAGGCTGATGTAGAAGCGGCGGCCAAAAACGAAGTCCATTGCCAACGGTAATCTTCGGCGTTCAGCAAAAAGTAAGTACATACGATGGTCACGCAGACGGTCACGATCATTAATATAATGAAAACCAACAGCATGAATCCGTACACGTAATAGATTTTGTAAGCCCAAAACGACGTAAAGATGAAGTACCTGTAAATTTAACGCCGTTAAGGAACGCGAGATTTATCTATTTATGAAGCTCCCTCCTGTTAGCTACAAGTTAGTACTAACCGGTTGGATATTAACGATATACAAGGCGAATTTTTCTACTTACATTTCGATGAAAATACTGGCGAACGGCAACACTCCGCCCAACAGGATTATAACGCCAGGTTCCATAAACCATTTCTTCTCAGGTATCGGCCTCGGCACTGCGTTTATGCGGCAAGGATAGTCCGGTTGACCGGCCAAATTTCTACCCAACACCGTACCGACAAGAGTCAAAGGTAATATAACGAATAAGCAGATGCAAGTTACAGCAACCTGAAATCAAAACAACTTATTTACAATACATCCAGAGGAATTTAAATATGAACAAGAACTGAAGGTTTTTTTGTGTTATTTTTAGCCTTTAAGATGAATTATCTTTCACAGCTTATGGACAAACACTAACGTGCCTCTGTGGGACTGATAGTTTTCGTATATACAGGGTGTCCCGCATAAAAACCGACATATAGGAGAACGCAAAATATGTTACCATTTTCTTTCTCGATAACTTACCATTGTGCCGAAAGGAATAGCTCTGGACGCGTGATAGTAGATAGCTATAAAATTGATGAAAAACGCCGTGCCGCAAACGAAAGCTGGTAGCATAAATGCGGACACGATCATCTGTCTTATCCATATTTTACCGCCCATTCTAGCGTACAACGAACCCCCGAAGTAACCGTTGATAGGAGAAGTGATCGCGTAAACGAATATCGATGTTGAAAGCAGAGATCCTCTCCTAAAAAAAAAAAGAAACCAAGATGAAAGTACCTGAGCAAAGTTCCTTATAACATACAGGGTGTCCAAATAGTGGGATTGGGACACTGGTCTCGTCAATTCGAGTGGTTTATTAACCGTATAAACGCGGTACTTACTCGGTATAGAGTTCTCCCATAATAGCGAAACAGATAACAGAGAATACGACAGTGGTCAATTGATGACCTGCGCCAATTAACGAGGAAAAGAACAACGATTGTGATGCAGGACGGAAAACATCACCGTGCACTTGTTTCCAGCCGTATTCGTCGCCCAAATCTCTTTCCTGCAAATAGACAAAAGTGTATTACCGATTTTTTGTTAGCATATTATTACTGGTTTAATTAATAGCATAAAAAACAACGTACCATATCATCGATATCATCGTCTTTACTGTATCTCGCATAGTCCTTTCTTAGGGTCCTCATTAAGATCATAGATACCAAACCGACGAGGAATATTACCATCATAAAGCTATTGAAAATGCTGAACCAATGGATCTAAGAACAAAATAAATTGTCGTTTTAATTGCCTTCCTGAATCTAACCCAAACATTGTAGGACGATGAGATATGTTCCTCAAAAATGGCGATAAATTAAACTATTGGTTCAATTATTAATTTAACGCACAATCATCATAGAATCGAAATGCGTTCGACAAACAAATATTTTTGCATTAATAAAATTATCTGTAGATTTAATGTTATATTTTTATGTGCATTTTAGTATCAACTAAAGCATAATAATAAAAGATAATAATAATGACAATAAATAAAACGAAAGTAGAAGTTCGGTTTGTTTAAGGCTTTCGAAAAACAAAGTATTAAAAGTATATTATAATTAAAAAAATATGAATCAAGAAATTAAAAAACAATTTTATTCGAGACTATTGTTAACCATCTTTCAATAATATCAAATATTTAATTCAAACGACATGCCTACGTTTTATTTTTAAAGTTAATCAACAACTTAATGTATTAAGTCTATTCTTAACACAAAATTTATTATCTGAAAAAAAAATCTTTCGATGTTTAAATGATGATATAGTTTGCTCAACAATAACCTTCTTTCATTGTAAAACTTACCCTGTGTTGGAAGAAATTATGGTCCAAATACTTATCGAATCTATCCTCGAACTCGACGTTGCTCTTCGACCAAACGACCTCATAAGTAAAGGTCAGTTTCGTCGATGGCGTCAATTCGACTTTCTCCTCAGACGTCAAATTCACGTCGATGATTCGCTTGCCATTGTAACCGATTTCGAACTTCTTGTGCGTCCAAATGTAGAACTTGGAATCCTTCATTTCGCCCACCACGCCCCATATGGGCAGATCGTCGATGTACATTTGGTACCAATAGTGGTTCTTGACGGCGTATACAAAGGCCTTGTACCTTTCTTCGTCCAGCTGTACCGCGCAGTACTCTCCTTTCGGCATTTTCACTAAAAAATCCATCATTTAATAAAAAAATACATTATTCTTCTTATCAAGTCAAAATCTTTAGTTCTAAACAGTTCCAATGGATTCTGAAGCGTTCTGAATGGTTCTCGACAGTTTTAAATGGTTCTAAAGCGTTTTATATGGTTCTAGGCAGTTATAAATAAGCCTGGAGCGTTCTAAACAGTTCTAATTGATTTTGGAGCGTTCCAGATTGATCTGGACAGTTCTAAAAGATTCAGGCCGAGAACTTTTCGCCCTGCCCTCGTATTGCATTGGTCATTATATTTACAGTCTATGTACCTTTGTATTCGATATCGATTCCGCTAAATTCGAGCTCGACTCCTTGCAAAGCCTCGCTGAGAGTCTCATGGTAGTGATTGATCGATTCCTTCGAGCCGACACAAAATGGCAAGGAAAAATAGGCGTACGTTTCTTGCCTGTTGTGATAGGGCCCTACTGTATTCATCCATAGTACTACCTCTTCTCCTTCGTCGTACTGCAATTATAAATAACGATATAAGATTGAATATAGGCTAAAGTACAGTTTTGTTATGTGTGTAGAGTTAACCTATTTATGCAAAATGCTGGTAGCTATGAACATTAGTTATCCTATGCATACATTTCCATTAAAAAGCATGAAAATGCCGGCTTTACTTCGATGAATCTAATCCGAAAAGGAATAATACAGTCGACTTACTATGTGATTGTGCTCGTCCGAGTACGCCCCGATTATCAACGTCAGAAACGTTAGAATGTAAGGAATACTCATCATTGGGCGTTTGTTGAAAGTTTATCTGGATTCTTAAATATGCCTGGGCTTTCTGTATTTACGAAATCATCGAAATTTTACTCATCTTCGACATTCTCTACACGTAGACAGACAGATTTCGTGGTTGGTTCGATTTTTTGACAGCTTATGATGTGATGACAGTGTTGACAATTATGACAGGTGACAAACAAGCGCAGGGTGCGTTCGGAGTTTGTTCAAGCACGGTCTTACATAGAGGTCTGGAAACTAGTTTTTATTTATGGTGATGGGGATGCCCCCTTCCGACGTGGACCAGCCTATTATTCAAACAATGGATTATTTTATTGTAAGTTTTTTTTATTATTTTTTTAATCTAAATAATCAATTAATTGAAAAACTTACACAATTTACAAAATAATATATTTCATTTATACAGGTGAGAATAATAAAACAAAAATTTTAAGAGTACGATAAACGAAGAAAATATAAATCAGGCATAATAAACAGCAACAGCGGGAGGCTCGCAAATCCCGCATTTCGTCACAACATGGATGGAAACTTGAATATTTTTCGATAGATCAATAGAATGAATCATAGCCGTGGTTCTTCCGCCGCTCATCACCTTCGATTTATTCACTCCGTTAATAAAAATATCGTAACCGGTAACCAAATCGCTTTTAGGTCGATTCCACTTAATAATTACACTATCATCGGTCACCTTACTGATATCCGTTATCTCGAATTCCTTCAAATCCACCATCTTATAATCCGAATCGTTGTGGATTTTACCGCACTTGCAGGTCCTGACGCCCTTCATTTTTCTTATAATTCTCTCGTTTTTAGCCGCCTTAGATTTCCTCTCCTCGAAGTTATTCACAGAATCATTGTAATTCTCGCAATCCCCGGGGATTTCCCTGCAGCAAAATTTGTCCAAAACTTCCAGAAACGAGATGCTACTGGTGCGATTTCGCAATTCCCCAGTCATCGCTTCGATCAGCATGTCCTTACTTTTGCACTTTTCCTGCAGATTATTCAAAGCCAACTTTAATCCGGACATCGTCTGTCCGAACGTCGAGCATTGCTTGATCAAAGGGCCTTTCTTCGCCTTTTCTTCCGCTTCGCTGCAAACGCTCTTAATGTTGTTCAAGACCGATTGAATTTCCTGCATTTGATCCTTGCAATAGTTTCCTTTCGATCTATCGAGAGTGTTGATTATCGAAGAATCCACGCTGCTGCAATCTTCGAATATATCATCAGAGGTCTCAATTTTGGTCGTTGTGGCATAAACGCAACTGGTTGATTTGCTGTGAGTGGTTAAAGTTGCTCCTGTGTTAACGCGTCGAGGACTTCTAGGTCTCCCTATTTTGGCGTTAATTTTACTAGATTTTTCTGCACGTAAAGGGCTGGATGGGGTGAAACAGTGGGCACAAGGATGTATCGATAACAGATTAGATGTTGAGTGAGATTTGCGTTGAACTCGAATAGTATTAATATTCCAACAGTTATTTCCACGTTTACTGGTTTTGGAGGAAAATGTAATATCCTTCTCAAATTTCTTCATGTGTTTAAAAGGAGCAAGATTCTCTTCTTTATTTCTAGTTTCTTCGCAGTTGCAAGTATCACCACAGCATGTACACAAGGGACATTTACAAATAGGTCCTGACCAAAGGTGGCACTTCTGGTTATTTTGATGATTGGTAAAATAAGATTTCATTTGCTTTTTGGCGAAGAAGCAATCCTTGCACTCATTCTTGGGACTCTTGCAGGTCAATCTCGGCCATTTTGGCTCTTCGCAATCGCCTTTTATGGTTCTGTCGCTCTAAAAACATCAATTTAGTAATGAACTATAAAAATACTTCATGTACTCACCATTGATGTTGTCAAAGTACAATCGCATTTGGTACAAATACAATCTTCTGGACAACGAGATTCCAAATTAAATTTCGAATTAAAGTCGTCTAGGTAACTCAAATCCTGCTTTTGTTTAATCCCCTTCAATTCGTTTACTTCGTTTTTTAATTTCTGGATTTCTTTCTTCATCATTTCGATTTTGCATTGGTCGCATACGCAATCGCGCGTGCAACAACAGGCTGAAAAACAAATTGAACAAAGCTTTAAAAAATGGTTTTTGGAAAAGTGGAAAAGTAGGGAAGAGTAGGAAAGAGTAGGGAAGAGTAGGGAAGAGTAGGGAAGAGTAGGGAAGAGTAGGAAAGAGTAGAGAACTTCAATTATTGAATACACTTATAATCGATACCTTTGCTCTTCGACTTATCTGCTTTATTCTTGATTGGTTCGTCATGACTGTTTTCATCAGTATTTTCTGTATCTTCGTCGAGATAGGGGTAGTGAAGATAGTAATCCCATTTTCCAATGGACTCGTTAGAGCATTTTTGAACAGGCATTAGAAAGGCTTTCTTCGAATTGGGGCTACTGCAAGCAGTCATTTGGTATATCTGTTTGTTATCTTCGGCGACGAAGAATTCCTTTGTTGTGGCCAATTGGCGCACCAACGGCATGCAAATGCAATCCACGCATTCGCAATCCACTGGATGCCTAAAAGAAATTTAAAAAAAATGTAGCTCATTAGAGGAGAAATAGAAAAAATCCCCCGAAATACGTACTTTCCCTCTGATGATTTCTTTTTAAACACATCATCGATGCTGATTTTCTGTTTGTTTTTGTCCACTCCGTGCTTTACATTCGCGTAGGCAACGTCAAAATCGGTTACAAAAGAAGTTTCCTACAAAAAAGAATCAATATACAAATTTCAATAAATCAATAGGTATATTTTGGCGGTTGCAGAATACGCATTACAAATTCATTTGCTCCATTGTTTGATACTCGATAAACACATTTCAAGTTCTAAAACAGACTGAAATGGTAGTACTTCAATTTCCAATGCGTGCTCTATCATAACATCAACGTCTCACGTTACGTTTTCAGTGAGACTGGTTTCCAATTCGAGCGGTAGAGCATTTTTCTTGCAACTGCAAGGCGTGGGGCACCAGCATTCGTCGCTGCGAAATTTGTTGGAGACTCGCCTGGGCTGATTCGGGTCGATATCGAACAGCGTGAGCGAATCGTCGACGGTCGTCAAGCTTTTGCCGCTCAGTTCTATGGTAACTTGGTTTTTCGATGAGCTTTCGACGGTTTTGCTCACAGAGGCTGAAATATACGGAAAGATATGGTTAGAGAAATTTACAAATGTCTCGGGAAAACTAAGGTTTTTGGGATGAGGGGATAAGAGTAGGATGAGTAAGGATAAAAGGGGATGATGATGAAGAGATGAGGAGGAGAGGACGAGAAGGTGAGTAGATGAGAGGATGAGGATGAGGGGATTTTATCCATCATATTCAATAAATACCTGGTTTAGAAGTTTTAGGGGATAAGATCGACGCACTTCTCAGTAGTATTTCTTCCAATTGTTTCCTCAAATCATCCGTGTTCTCCTGTGTTTGCTCAGTTTCGGTCATTTCTTCTTCGCTCTTTTCTTTTATTTCTTCTCTCGTTTTTCCATCTCCCTTCGATGTTTGAACTATACACGAAGAGTTATCCAAATTAAGTGTTCGTCATTGGTAACTTTTATAATATTGACATTACGACGTCGGTTAAATTAGCAAACTATTAGTATTTTTTCTATATATCTTAATAATCTATATAGATTCTATTCTATGCATGAATTGAATTAAAATGAAAATAAAAAACATCTAACCTGAAAGTTTCTCTTCGGACATTGTGGTACTCTCATCTATGTAATTAATCATTGTATCAGTTCCTGCATCCTAAAAAACATAATAAAAAATGGGGAAAAAATAAAAAAATAACACCACACAAACAAATTCTTAGCAAATATTGTGGTGTGAGAACAGGTAATCTAGAGATACCGCAAAAATCAAATCAAAAATCTAACTAACATTTCCAACTTCCTTCTCGGTACAAGTCCCCTTGTGGAAGATCTCCTTTAGGCAAATCGTCTCTTCGTTCATCTTCGGTTTGTCGTCCATCGGCTTCGGTTCGACGGGTTCCGGCAAATCCGGATTCGATTGGGGCAAATCTGGATTCAATTGGGACAAGTCCGTATTGCTTGTCGATCGCTGCCCGATGGCGAAACGCTCAGTTTGTTGCAGAAACGAACTCTTGCTCGGGCCGCAAATTATGTCGATTTTTTTGACCGGGCACGTCCAGCACTATAGGTTAAAAGTTAAATCAAATTACTAAGAATAAGGGAATTTGCTGCGTTGTTCTGGAAGAGTTTGGATAAATGCGAGTCTCAGAAAGTTGTGAAATTATCTCTTTTATTCTCTTATCTAGTTTTCGTTGAAAGACACTTTATAATGCAGTAAATATTTAGAATTTTTGCAGAAATTTATCAACAAATGTATTATCTAACATTTTAGTTATTATCTAACAAGTTTTAAATTTATACAAAAATTGTCAATCGCTATCACTTCTTCAAGCTTTTAATACTCACCTCAACATCATTCCGTATAGTCGACAACAGCGTACCGTTGCTAACTGTAGGAACTACGAGTGTATTACAAGATTTATCGTCTTTATACATCACACATTCTTCGTTGCGATCCACGCATTTCAAATTAGCGCAAATTAGGACCTGCCCGGAAATGTCCTCCTGTTCCTTCGACAACTCGTCCTTCGACGGAGCCGCGACGGGCTCGTGAAATCGTTCGGATAACGATGGCGATTGCTCTGAAACTGAATAATGTTTTGATGAGCACGAGGAACATAATGTTGGGAATTTTATTTATTGTATGACAAGTAAAAGTATAGCAGTTTTTGGATATTCAATTCTTACCAATTAACTGCGTTGAGATGTCTTGCTGCAAATCCATCTCCGATTTCTCAGATTTCTTGCCTTTCTCACTCGTCGCGTCGGCACTTTCGGCCACTTTGAACGCCAACGGTATGTAAAATCTCTTCGACGATTGCGATTTCGTCAAGTCCGTTATTTGTGTAACAACCTGTACCGATAAATCGCATAAAAATTTAAAATAATCAATGAACTATAGGCTCGTACCTCGATGGTACCGTCGTCTAAATAATGCAAAACCGTCTCGATAATTCCCGAGGGTCCTTCGGTGAGGATTAGCAAATTCCCGGATTCGGTCACGGACGTCGTTACATTTAAATTATCCGGAGGAGATTCGCACATTTCCATCTTGGTATCGACCAATAGAGGAATTTGAATGTCCTGTTGCGTCTTGTTACTAATACCGTGAGCTTCTTCACGAAGATACCCTTCGCTCGCCTCGGAAATATCTTCTTGAGTCTATTAAAAATGCATGTACAGTGTATCACGACGAGTTTAAATTTTTAAAGTTAACACAAAAACATTTAGGTCATTTAAAGTAGCCTTTATGTCTCATTCGGCAGTTGCCAAAACAAAAAAAATGGTAAATATGTAGTAGGAATTTCTTGTGAAGACTGTCATATAAACTGCTATAAAAAAGTTAAGGAAGTTCGCAAATTTTGCGATTATTTTAAAAGTTACAGACTTTGTGATCACCAAATTTTCAAATATGCGAAATTAAATGTTTTCTCTCATATCCGAGTGGATTTTTTGTCCCTACCTCTACAACTCATACTAAATTTGGCGATCAAAAAACCTGTAACTTTTAAATTAATCTCAATATTTGTGAACTTCCTTGACTTTTGTGGAGCAGTATATTTGAAACGTATATATCAATAATTTTGAAAGCACATATAAAATATTTGTACTTACTTTTTCCTTGGAAAAAATCGGTCGAGGATCGATTCTGACCGAGAGTTTGGACCGTTTTTTCGATGTTTCTTCTGAATCCATATCAGACTTTTCTACTTAAATTAAAATTTATATAACAAGCTAAAGTGCAACTTAAAACGCAATTATATGGATCAAATTTGTTTCTACAAGATTAAACATAATTAACTTTCGAATTTCTAACGTACCGTTGGCAGTTTTGACATCCGATTCTTCGGAGAAAGAATCCCGCTTCAAAACGCGCATTTTCGAAGAAACATCGATCTTCGAATCATAACCGCTGCTGTTCTCCATTCTCCCGTTGATCGTGTCGCTCTCGTCGACATCGACCTCCCTAATTTCCGGCCGAAACGATCCCATTTCGTCGGGAAACTGGCTGCTGTAATTCGACGAGTTGTTGCTGTTGTTGCTCGTCGCGATGCTGTTGTTGCATTCCTCCGCCTTCCCGCGCGATCTCCCCGACAGCGATTTCTCCTCGGCGGCCCCGCAATTGCACGTCGAGCTGTTCTTGTCGGTCATCATCGGATCGTTGCTGGCGCTGATCATCTGCAGGACGGACGAGAGTTTGTCCAATATCGCAGGGGTTTTGGTCGAGTGGCAGGAGTTCGTCCAGCTGTCCCTCTTCGACGACGCCGAGGACAATTTCAAGCAGCCGCTGGGAGTCAGCGTTTGGGAAACGTGCGCTACTATCTCCTGGCGGGTGCCCGAGCTTCGGGACAGGAGCGTCGGGTTGCCTTCGTGCGATAAAATGTTCGATTTTGACATCAGACACATCGATACGACTGTACCGATGGTACGTAAATCCTTGCATTGGGTACTAATCTCTTCCATGGGCGGCGGGGATTGGCAGGAAGTGTCGGTACGACTTACTGATGATTCCCCGAATTCGTACGACAACGCCTCTTTTCTGCTATCTACCATGTCGGTCAATTCTTTGATCAATTTCGCAGCACCTGTTTAATTTGAACGCAAGGGAATTGTATTAGTAAAAAGGCGAAACTCCAGCAAGGCGACTGGTGAGGTACAGTAGAGGAGTCAGTTGGACTCCTGTAGAGGAATCAGAGGACTCATGTAGAGGGTCCATTGTTATCTAGTACCTCTAGTTTATCCCTTTGAAGGACTGTTTGGAACATAAACCTAAAACCCCTAGCTTATAGGTAATAGATTACCTTTCAGTTCAGCAGGTATACCGATTGCACAATCAGCACAGGGCACGCAATCTTTGATAGTTTTGCTCAATTTCCTCGCTATATCGTGCAAGTTTGATTCTTGCTTACTGCTCATTACATCGAATTCCACTGCAAAATTCAATCATACACAAAAAAATCTGTTGAAATTTCAGCTGTATAAACTTACCATTATCTCCGCCGATATATTTCTTGTGGGTCAATCTTTTGATGGTCTCCGCCTCGTTGAGTTTCTGCTGTATCAAATCGTCTTCCAATTTGGCGCACAACATGTCCATTATGTTCATTTCCTCTTTCAGTTTCTTGTTCATCTGCTCCAATTCGTCCATGTTCGTGCCGGCCATGCACAGCTGCTTCTTCAACACGTTCATTTCTCTGAGGTAATTTTCCTCGGATACCACCATGTTCTGAAAGGCCTTCTGCAGCTCCTGCTGCAGCTGGTGGCAGCGGGATTTCTCCGCCTCCAGCTTCAGGCGCATCGGGCCCTGCACCTTCTCCAAGGTGTGCTTCAAGTCGAGCCGCATTTCCATGATTTCGTTCTGGAATGGAATTAAACAAAATTAGATGCGATGAAAAAAGGACATATTTAAGGGGATTTAGTTACTTTAAGCGCCGCGTTTTCGGATTTTAAAGCTTTGGTAGTCGATTCCAATTCCCCGCTGTCCTTGTTGATGCCGTACAAAGAATTGGAAATTGAATCGTATTGTTTCTCCCTGTTCCTGAAACCTTGAATATGCGACCTGTAATTCTTCTCTCTCGATATTACGTCTGTCATGGATTCCCCGAATGTTCCGTTATCGCATTTTTTCCCACGAACCTCCACTAAAATATTAAATTTATGAAAACTTCCTCCGTATAAAAGAAAGAAATCATAATGAATATTTATACATTTAAAGTTTTGAATTTGGAAAAGAGGATAATTTTATTCTAAAATTAAAAATATTAGACAATTCTAACGATAATTAGAATGTTGACATTTTGAATTATTATTTTATTAACGGTTTTCCTAATACGTAAAAGGCCACTGGACGCACTTTTTCAAACTGACAGATAACTCGAAGCTTACTTTTGAAATTGGAAGCTTCCAATATGGGCGATCCGATAAAAGCGCATTGATTATCTTGATCTTTATAATCGGAAGCGGCCGGACACTTCCGCTTCGCCAACGGACTATTATCAATGCGATGATCGCTTTTCCGCTTTTCCGCCAGCTTTTCGCTAGCCAACCGCCTACTCGAACTCCTGCAAACAGAACCTGTCAAGCGCCTACTTCGATTTGTTGACTGTGACATCAAGCCAATGACAGTGCCTAGTTTTTCACTCAACTTACCACCAACCAATAAGAGTATAGTCGAAGTAGTGACGTCAACGTAATTTATAATCTTTTGGTATAGTTACCTTTGACCACGCAGTATGGTGGCATGATCGTATAATTCAGTGGTTTTTCTGTCGCTTCGGAAATTCGAAATTTCCACGTCGATTCGGAATTTCCCGTCATCTTGAGAACCGTAATTCTACAAATACCAACCGTAAGTTTATTAAAACGTTCTAAAATATCGAAATAACCTTTCCCGGTTGCGAAGACTCCCGAACGTTTTTGGTCGTATCGGGAATGTCCAGCCAACGTTTCTCCTCCAAGGAAATGGACCTAGAGGACGGTTTCTTGCAGGCCGGCTCTAATGGCTCGGTGCTTCTATTAGAGGCGGTTTTCATGCAGTCTTTAAAACCCGCGCTCAGCGTTTCGCATTCGCCCATCATCCCCTGAACCGAAATGGACGAGGAATGGCTGTCCCTAAACGTGTACAGGGTGTTTATAACAAACAGCGAGACAATGTGAAATGCGACGCCATTTACCCGTAGCTATCGTCGCGACAGGGAACGTTGCAATCCGGCATTTTCTCGGCATCTTCGAATTTGGCGCAGGATTTGGGCGACGGGGCGAGCTTCGATTGAGCCAAGCTGCCCTCGCTCATCAGATTGTTGGTGATGGTGTCGTCGGTGTGAAAGAACTCGCTCGGCTCAAACGGCCCGTTGAAATCCTTCTCGGCGTTCCCGTACGGGAATTGGTAGGCTCTTTTGCTCGACCTGCGAACGGGAGATCTCGAGGCGATTCAATGGTAGTTGCAGCGGTTTTGCTTACCTTGATAGCGTCCTGTTACTGAGTAGGGGTTGAACCAGCTGCAAGTCATCTTCAGTGTTTTGACTGGTACTCACTGTCTTGCATTCCCTTTCTCGCTTAAATACCTTTATGGAGGTGGGGTATGGTTTTTTCGAGGTGGTGAATGTGCTGGTAATAGTATCCTCGTCTACCATGCAGTAATCGCTGGAAGGAAAAGTGGCATCAATGTTATCAATACTGCTCGTTGCCTGTATTTACAGATAAAAGCAAATTTGTTTGCAATATGGTCAATTCTATGAGTCGAACAAAGAAAGATTATTAATAATAGTGGTTAGAGTGGGAAAGTTCCAATCCCAATAATAGAAGTGGTTTTTGTTGCACCCATATAGACCATATTCCGTACAAATCTGCACTTAGTTGTACCTAGAAGTGTATTTTAATCCGGTTTCTTTGAACACTTTTCCGGTTGGGAAATCGGTGGGATTGGAGAAATATTCGCCGGTTTCCTTGGTGGGTTCTTCGCTGCTCAACGATGGGTGTAGGGAGGCGCATTTTTGGGTTAAAATAGATTTGGCATTGTTCATGATTCGACGGAGTAACGAGGTGTTCGAATTGTTCTCGGTGCATTCCGTTGTCGAATTCTCTGAATAATCGACGAATATTTTAGGCACCACCTGCTCGGAATAAATGCACAAAAAACGTGAAATTTTCTGATTTTTTTGCTGTAATTGTCTATAATTAAAAATTACATTAAATCGATTTGTATATTCTGATTAATGTCAATTATCCAGAACAAGTTAATTAAGAATACCATTATTTTGCGGGTACTCTTTAGCATTGCAAAACCAATTTAAAACCTACCTTACTGCTCTCATCTATTTCTGACAGAGACTGTTGAGACGGAGTGTCCATATCGTCGACGATTTACTACTAATATTCATTAATTCTACTGTAATTTTTAAGAAGAGACGCGCACAAAAACTAGAAAATTTTTCCACTTATTTCCGAATAAAGCTAGACATGGAATTTGGACCGAGATTACTCGCGGGATAATTCAAAATTTGACGACATTTTTGACGGTTCGCTGGCAGACAAACAAGATGAAACAAGAGATGATTTTAATCTCGAAGCTAAGTCTCAATGGCGGATGTACAGGGTGTGCTAATTTTGATTCTATGCAGTGAAAAATTTTATTAACAATTTTCATATTCATCATAACGGAGTAGATGATCTTTACCGCATTATTGGGACACCCTGTATATACTCTCTTATGAGAGTAAAGAATAGTATACTTTTTTACCTAAATATGTGCAGTACAATATTTTGTTTCAAAGGAATCATAAATAATACTATGTAAATTGTTTTATTTTTTACGCCTTTAAGGAAAAAATGGGTAAGTTCAATAAATTCTACTAATGTGACATATGATGAGTTTATTGTTAAAACCATTTTTTTACAAAAATATTCCACCTCTTTTCAAGACAATTTTTAGTGTATTAGAATGGTCATTGTATCAATTCCTACTTAATACATATCTACTACATACATAATTTTAATAATTTTTATTGTTTTAGGTCTGATGTGAGAAGCATTAGTTGCAAATTCAATTAAAAGAGCTGGAGAGAAAGAGAAATTGCCGTTGAAATTAAACAATATTGTAATAACGGTTTTCCTTGGGCTAGCAATTACAATTCATTTTGAGAAAATGTGGTGTGTAGACATCTTCAAGGTAACGTAGAATAAATGTATCATTACATTAGATTCGGGAGACATCAGGTCTTCTGAAAATGATTTTTCTGATTGCCACTAAGATCGAAAATCATATACTATTTATATTATGTAGATACATAAAATAAATAAATAGAATGTAACACTGTAAAAGATTGAAGAAATAACACTGAATTTGTAAGAAATGTGAGAAGATATGTGAAGTGTAGACATCTTCAAGATAACGTAGAATAAATTAATATAACAACTGATTCGGGAGACAGGAGGCCTTCTGAAAATGATTTTTCTGAAAGAGATTATGATGGCAAAATAAATCATTCAACTTTTATAAGCAATGTATGTAGGAAATAAATTTGTTTTTTATTAAATGAAGAATGGTTTTGTACTAATTTTACCCAGTTCTGGTATAAAATTTTACAAATTCCTTGCGAAAATATTTTTAAGTTTCGTGCTGCTCTTAATTTTTTTTATATGATTAACACCATCATCTTTTTCTGAACTGTGGTGCTTCTTAATTTTAATTTTATCGCTCACAATTTCCATATTATTGAATATATTATCATATTCATCATCAATTTCTTGATTAGTTTCGACGTTTCCGGATTGTTCTTCGCCCTCGGTTATTTCTTCTTTTATAACAGGCCTTATGAGCAATGATGTCAAATTCACCTTCATGTAAACCTGTAAAAGGAAATATGAATTGAATTAAAAGCAGGCAACTGTTAAAAGTGAATTATATAGTCATGTTAAATTAAGTTGCATCGAATATCATTTTTTGAATTTAACTTACTTTCTGTAACAATTCTTTCGTTTCCAAATGGTGCATTCTCAAATGCTTATCTAAGCTAACCGAAACGACAATTGGTTCCGTAGGATCACAGGCAATACTTGTTATACTACCGGTAAATGATGTAAACGTTTTTAGACACTTTCCTGCTTTCATATCCAGCAATTGCATGTATCCTTTTGTGGTGCCTACTAGACATTGCCTGAAAAAAAATCATAATTATTCATAAATGTTTTTTAGTTATAAATAACTTTTCTTAGCATAGCAAGTAAAAAAGTTTGTACTATTACCTTTCCCTATAAGCAGAAGAAATAGTGGTATAACTAGCTTTCGTTTCGATGAATTTCACAACAGGCCTCCTTTGTATTCTTTCATCGTATAACAATACATGTCCTTCTTTAGTACAACAGCAACCCAGATTCGGTTCATCTGGTAGAAATGTTATACCTCGTATGGAAGTGGGAATCGGTAAATTTAAATTATCGTGTCCCATCTAAAATCATTAAAACAAACGTTATTATAATCTCACCAAGTCTACTACAATAAATTAGCCATGAAGATAGCATACTTACAGATTTAGCATGAAAGGTACATTTCTGTGTTTCGATGTCCCACAATTTAAAATCGTTTTTCTCTCCCCCGGTGCCTATGGTGGTCCCCGAAGGATTAACAACCATCGCATCGAGAGTTCCTTCAGGATGTAAATTAATTTTGAAACTCTTGACGTAGTTCTTTTCATTTCGAATGTTGATGCATCCGTCCGACTTTCCGGCTATTATGGAATTATTATCGGCGTAACCCAATCCAATAATGCCTCCCTCTCCTTCTAAATCGGATATTGTTTGGATGTATTCATTTCCCGAAGGATCGTAACGATGTAAATGGCCGTTTTTGTATCCTATCACTATTTCGGTTTGGTCTTTGTTGAATGTCTGAGCGGTCACTTCGGATGCGAATTCTGGTTTTTTGTGTTTTATTTGGTTGGGTTTGTCAGTGGTAGCTGAAAATTTATACGTTAACAAGAGACCCAATAAGAACCACAAGAATGTAAAACTAGTATTTGGAGATAAGCCCAGTATAGTAAAAACTGTATTAAACGATAAATACAAAAAAATGTAAATATGAAACATTTTATATTTGCTGTTAGGAATTCTTTTACATCGTATATTAGCATTTATATAGCTGATTAAATGAGAATATTTAATATGTAGTTGAATTTTGTATGTTTGAAGAACAGTTAAATTAGAGATTTTCTTTTTTGTAGTAAAATTTATAAAAATAAGAAAGGTACTAAATAAGGTATTTTTGTACTTACAGAGAAGGAAACCTCTAGCAGTCCCTACAAAACAATTATATCGCGTTAATTTTGCTTCCATTTTAGAGACATACACGCTTTTGACGATTTATTTAAATTAAGCTAGGTTAGGAAACTCTTCTTCTTTCTACTATGGTGGCCTCTACCTTTGAAAGTATTTGGTGACTGTTAATAGAAAATTTCCTACAGCTTTACTGTCAAATCGAATTTCCACAAATACATAAGAAGTAAAGACCTTTTAGATAGATTAAAACAGAGTGCAATAATCTTGGATTAGGCAAAGGAAAAGGTAAAATCTACCATTGACTATGAACACAAAATAAGACAAAACAAGTACGAAAACGATTTCCACACAAAATTTATTACTCTTGACGTCTAAACTAAATTACCTCAAACTCAACAATCGTTCGAACAAATCCTTTTAAATTAATAGAAAATATAATTTATATCAAGCTCGAAGAACAAAATATGGCCGAAAAGGAATCGAGACCATCAGCATAGTTAGAGCTTCGACTAGAGTCCTTGTGAGCTACATCATGTTTCTCGAGCCATTTAAACAAATACCTATCAATAAAATTAAAAGTAATAGCTATAAATATACATAAGCTAATCTGCGATAACGTGATCTAAAGGCTAATTGAATTTGTAAGTAAAATATTCTGGGTGCATCATTTTTATTTCTATTAGAAATCGATAATAAAAACTATAATAAAGAGTGGCGTTTGAGAAGTTTAAAGAAAATGTTTTGTGTTTCATGTCAACCTTAAGGACTGTGAGTCCAGAGCTGATTTTCCTATAGTCTAACAAGGCTTCAGCCTAGAGCCTCAAAATCAAGCGGGCCCTACATTCAAATTGTTCAGGTGTATTGTCTATCATGTTATTTAAAAACCTGGGGCCTTTATCTAAATCCGGCCCTGACTGTGACACTCTGAGAACATGAAATTTGCTTTAATTTTATCAAACGCCTTACCTAGTGTAACAACACAAGAATGATTGATAATGTTCCTCTTAGGTCACAATTACGAATAACAGATCTTTTATTTAGATCTTTAGATCAATTGGAGTAAATCTAAAATCCCTTTCTAAAAATTCAGATTTTAATAACTTATAAAGATTTAAGAACTTATAAACAATCATCTTGTTTTATAATAGAATATAAGTATATTTCAATCATACAGTATTATATTCGTTTGCATAACACATCTATATAAAATTCATAAAATATATAGATACTTATTGTACCTTATCATAAACTTCATTTTTTTACTACAGTATAAGTTCAGAAGTACATCGGCACAAAAGGCTGAAATACACCATTCCTAATAGGAGTATGTAATTGTTTACATAATACATAATACAAGGAATAATGGAAATCAGCGTAGTCGCCAACATGTTTCTAAATCCACAAGAAAATGATTCAGTTTCTTGTTTCTTATTAAATTTCAAGGAAGAATCTTGCCTATCACAGGTTAATTACATTTTAGGCACGTATTTTTTTATCTAACTTAACACTCAAATAATGAAAATTACGAATGTAATTATTGAAAAAAGGAAATAAAATACTGAATTCTTTCAAAATACTAAACGAATAAAAATAAAAATAGTGCTAATATTATACATAGCTCTCAAGAGAAGGTTCTCAAATGCTTATTAAGAAGTCAATTTTCATTTGAGCAAATTTGCTATAATTGGAATTAAATGATTCTATGATCAAATTTTCAGATGGTACATTTAAATAGCCAAATTAACGCGACACACGTGAATAAATATGATTTTATGAAAGATCAGTATAAAAAATAGTTAAAAAACGCAATTTACACAATTTAATAATAAAAATTGCTCCTAAGTCGAGAAAATATAAAAAAAACAAGAATATACAGCCCGTGGATATAAATAATAATTATAGGGACTTTATAATTAATTTCGGAACTAAAACAACCTTTGGGTAAAAAAATATTGAAAACAAATATTAAATAAAGTACATATTTGGTAAGATTTTGGGAAATTACATTTAAGTGCGAGTCAGAAGGGTTAATATAGACTTATTCTTAACGGGTGGATATCATTCAAGACTCACGATTGTCCCTGTATAAATTCTGATATAGTAAAGTATCGATAAATGTCTACACAGTAGAGAATATAACATTAATTGCGGATTTAACAATGAACAGAGTAATTTATTCAAAATATATATTTTTCAGAACGAGAGTTCTGTTCAGAATCTCTATGTTCTAATTGACAGTACTAGTTAACAAAATCTGCGCATTGATAAATCACATAACACTACAATATAAAGATTTCAGTTAGAGAAATTTGTACAGTTTCTTAATTGTTGTAATAAGTACTGTATTGCTTTATAAATAATATTGATAAATTCTTCAACAAACAAACCTAAGGCACATTCTTTAAAGTCATCAAAGTCGCTATATATCAAAGAGAATGACTTTAGAATACGAGAAGAAAAAAATTAGAAAAATAGAGCAATATGAGCCTGTTAACATCCAATCTCATATTCTCAGTCGCCCTCTCGTGAACAAACTCGAATCAATATTACAACACCCACGATTTCGTAACCTTGCCATATCGATACATCGAACATTCCATTCTTAACATACTTAAATATCTTCGGAATTCAAGCCGTTTCGAAATCGCCCAACCGCTCGGGATGCTTCTTCCTCACGTGCTGCACCAGCTGCGTCCTCCTGATGAACCCTCGCCCGCAAATCTCGCAGCCCACGGGCTTCCGCACCGAATGCGTCAGCAAATGCCGCCTCAGCACGTCGTTCCTGCCGAACTTCTTGTCGCAGATCTCGCAGACGAACGGCTTGACGTGCAGGTGCGTCAGCAGGTGCTTGCTCAGGTTGTGCGCCTGCACGAAGCCCTTGTTGCAGATGTTGCACACCGACGATTTCTCGCCGGTGTGGACGCGCGCGTGCCGCTCCACGTCGCACAGCTTCGCGAACTCCTTGGCGCAGACGTCGCACCGGAACTTCTTCGCCAGCGGTTTGGGCTTCTTCAGGACGTGGACGGCGGCGTGCGCTTGGTAGGCCTTCTTCGTCCAGAAGCCCGAGTCGCATTTGTTGCACATGTACGGGTGTTTACCTGCAACGGTGAGCGATTGGTTTACGATTGGAGAATGCGCCGGAAGAATGGAGATTTCTTGTTTACTATGGTAGGGTAATTAAACAGTTTAACCGGTTTTTTTATTCTTGTTTCGTACCATTACAGTAGAATAGTTCTTAGATGGCCCTCAAGTGATTCAAATTGTTCTAGTTCATTTCTAAAATGGTTTAAAATGATTCTGGACGATTCTAAGACATTTTAAATAGTTCAGATAGTGAAAATGGTACCTAATAGAGTAAAAATAATTAAGAATTACTATGCTACTAATGTATAAAACAACTATAAATACTGTCATTAGACCAGGTATAATAATGGTACGAAACAAAAGCAAATCGAATAAATAATGAACAGTTGATTTAATCATTTGGTTCTCACCTCCTTTGATTAGTTTCATTTTAATATCGGGGAATTCCGGTATGATCATTACATCTACGTTGTCTATTTTGCTGATAATGTGATCGAATTTCATCTTGGTATTTTTCGAAACGCCATCGCTATACTCGTTTTTCGGTTTTAACATATTTTTCTTACTTTTCGCTTTCTTCGAATTACCCTCTTTAACACTATTCGCAATTAATTCGGTCGATTTTCTACATTTAATTTTAATTTTAGTAGTTTTATTATCTTTTTGACCGACAGTTACTGTCGATTTTCTTCGATTTGATCTGGTAGTGGCCATTATAGACCGAAATTTGTACAATTATTCGTAATAACGACAGTTATTACTTAAAACTATACGTAATAATTACTTGAAATGCACTTGTTGATGTTGATAAAAAATGTAAACAAATTAAATAAGAGAACAATATGGCGGAAGCGATTTTTTTGACAGATCTGACACTTTGTTTTGACGTTATTGACGTGCGAATACAACGTTGCCAGATTTCGTTAAATTCAAGCAACCGCGGAATATTTGAATCTGGATTAGAAATAGCGATAATGAAGTAAAAGATTTGCAGGTTTGTGTGCAATTTGGTCAATTCTACGCGTTAAACAAAAAAAGATTATTAAAATAGCAGTGATTAGAGTGAGAAAATCGCAATCCCACAATGTCACTCTTTATATTTCCTTTATGCGAGTCTAATGGAAGTTGTCTTGCTTCATGTATACAGGGTGTCCCTCATAAGAACCGACACAAATATGTTGTTTAACTCAATTTAACTTAATACAAAGTTAAACATTAACTGTCGATAATGCAAAAGTTGGCTGTATTTAATAAAACAAATATCCTCTAAAAAAAAATCGCACTCACCCTTGTGCACCCGAAGATGCGCCGAAAAGTCCTCCACCTCCCTGAATTCGCTGCCGCAATGGGGACACACGTGCGGCCTGTCCTGTCCCTCGTGCAGCCGCCGGTGCTTCAACAACTTGTAGTAAGTAGGCTGCGGCATCTGGCACACCTTGCACTTGAACGTCGGCTTGTTCGATTTCAACAGCTTCCGCGAGTACTGCATCGAGTACTTCATCTTGTACTCGGCGTACTCCTCCGGCACCCATTCCATGCGGCTCTCGGTGTCGCTGTCCTTGTCCAGTTCGTCGTGCTCGTGCTCCTCGGGGTCCCTTCGCGGACTGCGGGGGTCTTTTTGGGCCTGCGGAGAGGGCGGGTTGTTCTGGTTGTTGGCTGGTTCGGTTTTCGGGGGGATGTTCGAGAATATGTCTTGTTTTACGTCGCGTTTCTTCCACGCTTTGCTGAACATTTCTATGATCGTTGGCTGTTTCAATGGAGACTTCTTTTCTTGCACGGGCTAAATAAACATCAAAGAAATTTAGTATATAACCATGATGAGATAAATAGAGTTTATTACTTGTGAATCGCGATCTACGGATGGTGGTTCGTGCGAGTCGTCGTCTTTGAGGTATTGTGAGGCCATGTTGATGAATTGCAGCGATGGTTTGGGCGGTCTGGGCGTCTTAGGGGTCTCTATAATGGACCAGAGTTTCTTTGGTTGATTGTCGCCCAAATTGGATTGTAGAATCGATTGGGTTTGTTCGTTTTTAATTGGCGAACGAGACGAGGTTTCAACAAATTCATCGTCGAATGGAGTTTTCATCTGCTCTTTCATTGGCTGTGTAAATTTGAGCCTTAATGGAGTTTCGTCTGGTTCGGTGTCTTGGAAATCGAACACGGTTATATCACTCTTTTTACCGTTAAATTCATTCGTATCTTCGACAGTTTTGTTAACTGTAACGTCGTTGATTATTACAATGGAATCGGTTTGTTTTTTGCCAGCAATTTCCTCCAAACAACCATCGACCAAATGAACAGTGGTTTCCTCCTTTACTTTATCAGATTCTCGGGATCTCAGTTGACGTTTGAGCTCGGCTTTCCTTCGCATCAATTTCCTCCTGGCCACTTTTAATTGAAGTTTATTTTTAATTGCAACCGACAGTTTCTTACCGGATTTGCTACGGTTCAATATAGTGTTCTTCAATTCTTCGACTATCCGTTGAATTAATTTGGTGTGTTTAACGAATTTCGGTTTATTAAGCGGTTTATCTGTTGTATGTTCAGAAGGTTTTTTAACAGGCCTGCCTTTTTGAGGATTTTTAGGTTTCGGTTTCTCTTTTACCTGCTTGATTTCGTTCAGGTTTTCCGAGATAAGTTTTCGTTGCCTGGTTCGTTTGATTTCTTCAGTGATTGCAGTTTCGGTTGAGTGCGTGGACTTTGGTTTTGGTTCGTGGTGTACAATAGCAATAACTTTCTGTTCTACTCTTGTAACCGGTTGTCCTTCGATTAGTTCTTTTTTTACTTCAATCGATGGCGGTTTGAACGATTTAGATTTGGACCGAAGCGACCTGGGTTGTTGTAAATCGCTTTTAGCTGGTAATTTTTTGGCTTTTCCATTTTTTCTAACGTTCTGTGTAGATTTTTTATCAGTACTCTTCTTAGGTTTTGATTGTTTCTTAAAAACGTTTCCAATCTTAGCAATCGCTTTTTTCTGAGAGACACGTTTTCTCATATTTTTATTTGCACTAGTTTGACTATTCTCTTTCCAATTAACAACTGATTCAATAGTTTTATCCAAGTTACTCAACCCTTCAGTGCAATTATCTGGATCTTCTTTAGAATCATTGGTTGAATTGCAACCGGTATTAGGAGTGTTTTGTAAACGAACTGATCTCAACCTTCTAGGTGTTGTCGTGTCTATTGTCATGTTAGCATAATCGAGTAAATCAATAGACAAATTTTCATACCTCGCTTGGAATTTTGCCTTCTTTGATGACTCCTTGATTAAACACTCGGTAAAATGAGTTTTCGGACTTTCCGATTCATCTATGGAAGATTTATTCTCGTCCCCCACTTCTTCAGTTAACTGGCCAGGTTTACGAGTTCGATTTGATCTCAATTGCCTAGGAGATTGTTCCGTTGTATTTTCTGTTTGTTCAACAACCAATGGTTCTTCGAGGGCATTTAAATTCAAATTTTCTCCATCTTTTAAGGGTTTATTGCTATTTTCATGGCTCGTTTTATCGATAAATTTCTTCAGTGTAAGCGATTCAGGTTTGTTGTTCTGAGACACCTTCAACTTAATAATCAATGGTTCGACTTTTTGATTAGCACTCTCCACAATCACGACATCATTGTTCTCATCAGTATAAGTGTTAGCTTCGGCTTGTTCAGTACTGTTCTGTTTTACCACTTCGTATACCAAATTTTCAGATGAAGTAGAAGCGCTCTTTTTCGGTTTATTGCAACACTTTTCCGGTTTATTGTCGATTTTCCGCACTACCGGTTCTGGTGTGGTTTTTGGTTGGGGAGTTTTCAACTCGGACCTTAGTAACATAGATGAATTGAACAAGTCCAGTGGTATTGTTGGTAGGTTATTTCTCCGTTTCCTCGGTTTATCCGTAGGTTTATTTAACGAATGAGAACATTTGGTTTGTTTGTCAGAAACCAGATGATTACACTCGGTGTCGCATGACAAACACTCGGTCTTTTTAATTGTTGAACAAAAACACTCAGGCTGCTTGTCTGTTGGTTTGCATTCTGAATGGGAGCATTCCGGTTGCTTTTGTACGAGTTTTATACCCAAATGTGTACACTCGGTTTGATTGTCTGTTTGTTTACAAGCCGAACATTGCCTTTCCAAAGTTTTCGGTTTCTCTTCGTTGTTGTTACTCAAATTTGCATCCAATTGCACATTCGTGTCTGCGTCGTCGATTACTACAACATCCTCTGGAATTTGTTCGTTGATCACGATGACCTCGTTATCGCTCGGTTTTTGTTCGTCAGTTTGTAAAGAGGCCGGTGGAGCGAACAGACTGCTAGATGAGTCGTGTTGTCGGTCCATACGTAGCTTGATTTTCTCAAAAAGGTTCCGCACAGGGTTGACAACTGTTGTAACTATTTCTTTCGGCTGCTCCTTTTTTGGTTGGTTCATGTTGAATACTGGTGGCTTATTTTTAATTAAGTTGTGGTTAATTTTGTTTGTAGATACGTTTTTACTTTTACTGTTGGCTTGCTTGGTATTATTGTTCTTAGTTCTCTTGGTAGGCTTGGTACCTGCAACAATATTGTTGGTGTTGTTTATTTACATATTTATTATGATTTTAGCAAAAGTTTTGTCCAATTTACCTACTCTCGAGTGATATTTTGGTTGTTTTCTTCATTTTAATCTAACAAGCTTGGTTTTCAACCAAAGCCCACTTAAAGAAAACCTACAAACATCCGACTTTTCCGTTATTATATTAACAGCGTTGGTCCTCTAATTCAGTTATTTCTTGTTCACTAAAAATCAAAAAGTAGATAACAGAAGAGTTTAGTAAACACACATGTCTGATTCGAACTGATAAATACAATTAAATTAAAACACTTGTTGCGCTTCCACCATAACTGATGACACATTAAATAAAGAAAATTGGGAAGTTTGGCGGAGGGCAATAACGCGCCGCCATTTTGTCGAATATAAGCTTGAATTTCTTCTTCTTTGTTTGAAATATCGGCCATCATTGTCTGTGGTATTCAGACCATAATTATTAATCACCTTTGGAATTTGAATAGATTTTCTGGAAAAGTTTATACCACAGTAATGTAAAAGTAAGTGCCAATTATATACAGGGTGTCCTAATAAAGGCAGGATATAGGAATAACTAATTAAAGTCTTGCGTGGCTTAAACAAATATTTATAAAAAAATTAATCATCTTCACATTGATCATCTTCCTCGCTAGTAACATCCTCCTGGTCAGCTTCGGATTCGCATTTCGAACACCGACAAACGAACAAGTAATTCCTCATCAACTCCTTCCTCCTCGAATGCCTCGACCTTTCCAGAAAGCACTCATCTAGGTAGCTGATGCAAATCTCTTCACCCTCCTCGATATCCCTAGTCGCCGTTAGAGACACTCGGTGATTGTAAGGGAACTGCGGTTCGGCGTTCGGCGAGCAACTGTGATTGCAGGCGCTCTGCAAGCTGTACAGGGCGACGCCTTCGTTGTTCAAAAACTCGCCTACGTGCTCGTCCATTTGGTCATACAATTGGTCTAAGAATACGTCGAAGGCCTTTTTCTCGTCGTCGGGCAGCGGCAGTTTCTCCACGTGCTTTATCCATTCGCCGATGGCGCTCGTGCCCACTCCTTGGCCGTTTGTTCCTGGTGAAAATGATCAAAATCAACAAATAGTTTGAGTAGTCCCGTAAGGGGACTGTTGATGTCAAGTAGAGGAGTCTATTGGACTAAGTTAATAGGTTTAGTTACTCCCTTTGAAGTACTGTTAGTTCGTAAGTCCAAACCCATACACACCTATAAGAGCCAGCAGGCTTAAGAATCCCTCGTACGTTAAAAATCGCTCGATGCCTTCATGCGGAAGGGCTGCCACGAGCAAATTATGCAACAGGGTTATTTGACCGGCGAATTTCTCCCCCAAAAGTTTATGAGCCAAATCCGCATCTTCGTTTACAGTCCTGTGACAAAACTGTAGGGTCTGTGCTACGGCCGCTTCTTTGTTGGGCGACTTCAGTATTCTAGCCAGTAGACGTACGATCAACATTATGCTATTAGTTTCCGGTGGGAAATGGATTTGTCTGGAATATCGAAAAGCGAATTAGAATGTTATTAACTTGGATAAATTTAACCTACTTCCAAGTTTCGTTTAATTTTACCAAAGGGTGCTGGCTGTTGGGGTCTTCGGAATGAACGCATATTATGCTGTGATACGACTCTAAAGCTTCGAATTTGCACTGATCGGAGCAGTAGAGGGCTGGACAATCGGAACATTTGGTCATTTTACTTTTGTCCGTTGCACAGCATTCTGAATATGGTAACTCGACTGATTGGCCCGTTAAACGACTGGCATTTTCTTGAGCTGTTTCCAAAGGTCTAAAATAGACGAAAAATTATTCTCAATGACAAATTAAAGTACTCAATGATAAAAGATTGGTAAAATGGATGCGATAAATACCTCAGGCAATGATCGCAAGCTAAATATCCATAAGCTGCATTCCAAGAAAATTGGCAGGATACTAAAGGATCTTCTTCGAATATAACAGATCCTTTTGGTATATTACATTTCGCAAACAATCCTTTTCCCTGCAAATTGTTACAAAATTAATAAAAGGGAGGGATTAATAAATTTATATGTGACATACTTTCTGGGAATCGGTTGTCCTAATTTCAAAGTTCATCGTAAATTATTGTAAGTTTACTATTCAACCGTAAATAAATTAATAAACTCCGGAAAATAAGGAAAGCACGCTTGATACTTCGAAATATAGGTTATAACAATGTGTCACGCGTGTCAATTGTCACATTAATTTATTTTAAGGCCTTTGCTGTTGAGATGCTCATTTTAGCAACCATAGACAAAATAAAATAAAAAATCTTTCTTTCTCTAGCAACCCTTTCCTTAAGTCTAATAAAAATTGAATGGTTAATGCCGGTGTCGGCGGTGTCAAATGGAATTGATCTGAACATGGACTGAACAGTAAATTTGCTGTTCAGTAGAGTTGCTGTTTGCTGTTGTTGAAACAAACCTAAAAAATATCCTTAAATAATAAAATTAATAAACATAATAACCTAAAATATCTTACCACTTTTCTCCGCTCAATATCGGAAGGAAATAAAAAAAAATGCTTTTGAAGATTTTCATCTTCGAGGTGGTTAAAATACAAGCTATTGCACCTTGGTGATGCACATTGGAGTTGATTTTTAAATAAGCAAACACGGTACAATATGAAATAAAAATATACATAGAAACACCTAACTTTTAGGTTATACACAATAATGGCGCCTACGAAAAAAGACCGGTAAAACACCATAAAACACTCGACAAGAACGGCAAGGACCAATGACAAATAACTGTCATTATTACTTCAAACTAAATTTAAAAACTAACAGTACGCGAAATCCCCGTTTTCAATAATCGCTTTAGGATGTGCGACGATGCAGCAGGCTCAAAAAACTACGAATTTATCCCGATCACCAAATGCCCCTTGGAATATGGCACCAGACTCTTTTACGATGATTGCACCCAATCCCTCTACTTCGTAGACATGCCAAAAGCCACCGTTTACAAATATTCATTGGCATGCAAGAAATTAACAAAAGCGAAAATCGGTAAGCCCTGACACCTAGAAAACACAATTTTTCCTCGAGGAACCTCAACTTTCGAGGATCTACCGGGATCGATCTGAATTTCGAACTGGCAATTGCAGGCTGCGAAGGACAATTGGCGTTCATGTTCCCCGTGGAAGGTTCGAACTGCAAGTTTATAGCAGGCATCGGCAGGAAAATCGTGTTCGTGAATTGGGACGGGGAGGTTGACGCCGTGCCCGACTTCGAAGAGATCCTCGAGGTGGACACCGAGCCGGACCTGTGCAAGAACATGTTGAACGGGGCCAAAATAGACTTTTGCGGCAGACTCTGGGCTGGTGAGGCCTTCTGTTATTGTGTGCCCATTCTAGCAGAAATTTCCTTGCAGGAACTATGGGTCCGGTGGACGACAAAGGCAACGTTGCGCCGGGAAAAGGGTCGCTCTACCGCATCTCGCAGGGTTGCAGTTCGAAGCAGAAATGCAGGATCGGGATTACCGGCGGCTTGGCGTTTGACTGCAAAAAGAATAAAATGTACTTTTGCGACACGAACGACCCGAAAATATTCCAATACGACCTTTCGAAAGATGGGACAATAGGTTTCTACGCGATTAGCTTATCGGGGTTTTATTAAAGTTAGTTTTTCGTAGGCAATGAAAAAATGATATTCGATTTTGCGAAGAACAAGTTAGAGGGCAAACCGGACGGCATGTATGTGGACAAAAAAGGAGATCTTTGGGTGTGCGTGGTGTTCGGATCGGCTTTAATTAAAATCGACGTTTGCAATGGAAGTATCAAGGAGAAAATCGATTGCCCTACAGCTCAAGTGGGTTTTCAAATCAAATATATGTCTTCTCTAAATTGTAAATTTTCTAAATTCTAGGTAACATCCGTAGTATTCGGCGGTCAGAAACTCAACGAAGTTTACATCACTACAGGGAAATTATGTGTAGGCGGAAAACCTCCAGAAGGACCAGCGGGAATGACGTTGCAAATAAAGGGCTTGGAGGCGGGGGGAATTAAGGACGTGAGATACAAGGAATAATTCATCTAAAAAAACATCTAGCATTAATCCAATAAAGCAACAGGCGCGAAATTTGTGTATGATTGTATATAATTACATCGAATTACATTGCTTTTATTTCTCGGAAACCTGATTATTTAGGTATAGGAACATGATATACCATTTGAAAGAGAATTTAATTAACTTTTTGAACAGTTAAAAATATACCGGGTGTCCCATTTAAACTTATTAGCGTTTGTATATCTAGCAATAAAATGACAATTTTTGAACAACCCTGTATAAATAAAAAAATATTCGTTTATAGCTAAACTAATTCCTAAGGCATCTGTAAGCTAATCCCGAAATTTCAACATTCTTCTAATCTAATTACCGCAGTAATGAACATTTAATTGGAGCTGTGTTTTGAATAAAAAATTAAATAAAGTAATGAATTTCTCGAAAAGCGCTTAAGATAGGTATAGGGAAGTATTAAACAAAAATAATCGGAAAGCAATAGCGGAGTAAAAAATGTAGAAATATACAGGGTGTCTCATTTAAAATAACAAAGTTGCTGCTACTTTTCGATAGAAGTGGCAACGCCGAAGCGTTGAAAATATTTTAAATCGATAGAGCAGGACCAATTACTTAAATAACTTAAATACTTATGTTTTTATATAAATATAAAAATTCCTTACTGTAGTTTCGGAGATTTCAAAAATGGCGTAATTTTCACTAAAAATCCGGTTTTTTCACCCGGAAGGAAAAATTTTCGGGTTTCGAAAAGTCGATATTTCGATAGATCTCGTCGATTTACGTAGGGTAGGATTTTTTTTACTCCACAAATAAAGCCGTGAAAAAAAAACACGCCGATGAATCAGTGAATGAATGAGTGTCGCTTTCAGTTGTATAGTTATTGAGATGAGATGTGACATAAATGAAAGATGTGTCACCAATTGTCACAAGTGTATTATTTCAACAATCATTAGGTAAATAATCCGATTTCGACTAAATCAATTCATAAAAATCTTCGTGTGACTACACCGCTAGAATGTGCGACATTGAAAGTTCTAGTAAAAAAAAGTACGAATTCATCCCGATCACGACCTGCCCGTTGCAAATCGGCACCAGGCTCTTCTGGGACGAATGCTCCGCGAAACTCTACTTCGTAGACCTTCCGAAGTACACCGTCTACAGATACGATCCGGCGTTGCCGAAAGCAAAGAGATTAACGAAAGCCGAAATAGGCGAGTTCTCCTCCATTGAAACCCCATTATCCAGCTGGACGAGTGAATGTAATATTCGCGGTTTCAGGTTGCTGCGAGCCTCTGGCGTTCATGTTCCCAGTGGCCGGGTCGCCGACGAAATTTATAGCAGGGATCGGCAGGAAAATCGTCTTCGTCGAATGGGATGGAAAGGCTCCCGCCGTGCCCGACTTCGAGGTCATCTGCGAAGTGGATAAGGAGCCTGATTTGTGCAATAACCGGTTGAACGGGGCTAAGGTGGACCCGTGGGGCAGGCTGTGGGCCGGTGATTACGTCGGGCGGCTCCTAAAGAATAGGAAATCTAAACAACTTTGAGCGATTTCCTGTTCTTTTTTGATTTGTATCCTACCTAGTTTTGTTGCAGGAACGATGGGTCCAGAGGAGAACGGCAACGTCGTCCCGGGCAAAGGATCGCTCTACTGCCTCAAAAAGGGCTGCATAACCAAGAAGAAGTGCAACATCGGGATCTCGAACGGCCTGGCGTGGGACATGAAAAAGATGAAAATGTACTTTTGCGACACCTTAAAACCGAAAGTGTTCCAGTACAATTTGTCGAAGGACGGAAACATAAGTTCGTAATTGCGGCTTGTACGCCTGTAGATATATTGATCGGTATCGGTGTTTCGTAGGCAAAGAACAGGTTGTGTTCGAATTTGACAAAAATTACAGATTGGCCGGAAAACCGGACGGTTTGACCATCGACAGCAAAGGGAATGTTTGGGTGTGCGCCATATTCGGATCCGCTTTGGTTAAGATCGATCTTCTCAACGGGACTGTCGGTGAAAAAATCGTTTTTCCTACTCCGCAGGCAAGTTTAGTACATTTTCGAATTTTTAGGTCTTTCGCTAAGGTTTTGGATTAAGGGAATTTATTTTTACAAGGCAGGAGTACAAGGGAAAATTGTTTTGGTGCTGTTTTAAAAAGCGTTTGAATGCCGGGTATTATAGAGTAAACTAGAGTAGCGAGTATGGAATATAGAGAGTAGAGAGGGTAGAGATGAGTATAGAGAGAGTAAAAAAAATAGAGATTATGGAGAGTATAGTGGGTAGAAAGTATAGAAAATAGATTATGGAGAGGGTAGAGTTTAAAGTATCGAAAATAGAGAGTATATAGAAAACAGAGATTATGGAGAATAGAATACTTTTAGGGAATTCCTGCTGAACAAAATTTTTGTGCAGTTTTGGTATCGGATTAAAGATAAATTCGATGCGCCCCATTTACAGAATGTAATGTTTCCTACCCGCTTGTAATGCTTACTTAAAGACCTTTAAAGGTCCTTTTATGGTAAAATTCCAAAATTTTCGCCTTAGCGAAAGAAATATAGCTCCCTAAACCATCAAGTTCTCTTCGTAAATAAATGACTATTTTTCTAACTCCTGTAATCGCATTTTTTTGTATTAATGTAGGTAACATCGGCAGTTTTCGGGGGCCCCAAATTCGAAGATTTGTACGTTACTACGGCGCGAATAGCCACTGATGGATGTCCTCCCGGTCCTCCTGCAGGTACTGTATATCGAGTAAAAGGCGCCGGAGTGACGGGACTCAAAGGAGACAAATACATACCGTAGTCGTTTTTTTTTAAATTTATTTCGTACAAATATTCTAACATAAGCTAAATGTAAATTAATACAACATACGAGAATACACAACAGATGCAGTATTAAATGAGTTTCTTAACGGTTTTTGAAGTTTTCTGTGGAGTCTGCAACTATTTTTTAGTCACTACAGCAGAAATAACTCGTAAACAATCGAAAATTCGTTGAAATGGGCAAATTTAAATGCAAACCTTAGTTTTATAAATTTTAATAAAAAAAAAACAAAACATAACTTAAACTGAACTCGACTCGCGTGATCAACCCATCAACTGAACTGAACATTAAATGGATTCAATTCTCTGTTTATCTTGAATAAAAAATATTTATATGGTTATAACCTTAAAAAATCTTATCGAACTAAACTTGGAAATCAACGTGATTTCTAAGATTCTTCGGGTGTATGCCAAGTGATTCTTTCTTCGTAAAATCTGATGACTACTTGAGGGCAGAGAACGTTAGCTTCCTTGGCGAAAACAAGATCTGTGTCTTCTGAATCCTTCCATTTCATTAAAAACATTAGTTCCCCGGTGGTATCAGAAGCACCGATAATCTTCTCGGCGTCCAAGCCCTTGTCGAAGGCCGAGCCGCTCTTTTCTTTCAATTTGAGCACCTGTTTCTTCTCCTTTGTCTCTTTTTTATTCCTTTTAGAGTCGTTCAGGTTCTCATCGTCCTCGTTCTTATCCTTCGATTTATCGACTTTGTTCTTATTCGTTTTCTCCCCTTCCGAATCGCTATCGGCCTTCGACAAGGGTCGTTTCTTCTTCTTCTTCGTTGCCTCCTCGTCGTCGCTGTCGTCGGAATTTTTCGACTGTACGCCGTTTTTCTTCTTCTTCTCCGCGTCCAAGGACTTCTTCTTATCCGCGTCTAAGGCCTTCTTCTTCGATTTCGGCTTCTTCTCGCTTTCGGAATCCGAGTCTTTGTCTTTGGACTTTTTCTTGGACTCCGAGGCTTTCGGGGTCTTCTTCGGTGAGGCCTCATCGTCGGAATCGTCCTTTAATTTTATGGAAATGTTCTCGGAATCGGATTCGGATGATTTGTTTCTTTTCTATAAATAAATAATTACAGTGCAAGTGCAGTTAAATGTATTAATGTGATGTGAGTACCTTATTCTTAGTAGATCCATTGGATTCTACAGAGGAAGTGGAGTCTTCTCTGGTCCTCTTCTTCCCTTTTTTATTGGCTAATTTGGCTTTGCGGTTCTTCTCGAACGCCGCTATTAGTTCGGGGCAATCTAAGTTATCTTCGGGCTCCCAAGTGTTGTCGTCTTCGGAATAACCTTTCCACTTTAGGAAATACTCGACTTTCCCGTTCGCTACTCTCCTATCTAAGATCTTCTCGACGGAATACTCCTCCGCGTCGCTGTCGCTGCTTTCTTCGACTTGCGCTTGCTGCTTCTTTTTGCCCATTTCGATGGCTTGTAACACGAGTATCTGAGCCGGTAGGTAACCTTAAGACAAGCGTAGTGAGGGGCGTCGTAGTAACTGAAATATTCGTCACTTATGTACAACTAGTTGCTAATTTTACTAACTATCACTGATTAAAACACGAACGTTACAGCAAACAATAGTCAATGTAGCTTTTTTTGTTTAGCAAAATGGCGCCATAGCATTCAACAATCTGAGCGAAACGTCAACGGTCAAACAGTCAAAAATTTGACATAGAACACGGTACTCAAAGAACAACGAACGCGTCGGATTTTATATAGGGTTTTTTTAAATAAAGTTGCCTGCCTGACTGTCCTGGAGAATGACAGAAATATTGGCATGTGAAAAATGACGTCATGGTTCCAGATTCCAGGCAGAGAAGCTTTTAAAATAGACGCTGTAGTGTTGTGAATTGTGCATGTGATAGTTTATTTGCGCTTTAAAGCGATCAACCTCGCGAAGTAGACCAGCAATTCAGTCATCAAATGGGTGCTCCGGTACAAGGCAAGGGAAACAAAAAGGGCAGCGGCAATCCGAGAGGCAGAGGCGGCAAGGCTCGCGGGCAGGGGCGTGCGTTCAATGGGCAACCGCCGCCGTTCGGTAATCAAAACATGATGCGCCACAGGGGCGGTTTCCGAGGCGGCATGCGCCCCCCGGGCCCCCCGATGCGCGGCGGCCACCCCCCGATGGGCGGACGGCCGCTCCCGCCTCCGCCGCCCCGCATGATGGGCCCCAGGGGCCCGATGATGCCGCCCATGAGGCCGCCGCCGCCGGGAATGCGCCCGCCTCCGGGCATGAGGCCGCCGCCGCCGATGATGATGATGGGGCCCATGCCGCCGCCGATGCGCGGCATGTTCAGGGGCGGCATGCGGGGGAAGGGCCGGTTCCCGCTCGGTCCGAATTTCCGCGGCGTCAGCAAGAAGAGCAAAATGATAAAGAAAGGGCCGAACAGGCCTTCGTTGAAGAACATCGATCTCTCGAGATCGTTCGTGACCGAAGCGATAAAGGCGGAATTCGCCAAAAAGGACGAGCTCCTGGCCGGGGCGAAGGCGACGCAGAAGAAGGAGGACTGGCTGAAGTACAGGGAGCAGCGCGAGAAGTGTAACAAAATATACCAAGAGGCCGAGACGGCGGCTGGTGGGCAGCAGGAGGTGCGTATACCCCAGCTATTGCCCGAAACTAATTTCACGCGAGTAACAGCACCTATCGATTATACAGCAGACGTCCACTTATAGGTACTTTCATTCAATCATGTTTTAGTATATTCTCCCGGCACTATATACGCTATAAAACGGGTAAAGAGTCCGGCAGAGCCTTTACCTTGCAATTATCCAAAGTACCGTTAGTGGAGGTATTTTTGGAGGTTTCGTCTTCCATTTGTTTTTCGTACGAATCGATGATTTACTGGTATTTTTAAAGGTAAAGAAAACGACCATCAATTTGTACGAAAATACATGGAATACATTGGGAGAATGAATCATTTATTCGCGTTTAAACCCATGAACTGTTTCATGTCTGATGGTAATTGAGAAATGAAGGTGCATAATTAACGAGACAAATGTATTTTTGATAATTGCACGACCAAAGAAAAGCGTCGGAATATGAGAAATGGCTTTTCTTTGGCGATTCCCTGTTTATCGAGATTTGAAACCGTTGCTGAGTTTTCCGATTGATGGTGCAAATCTCGATAATTTTCACCTTATAGATTTAGTTAGTTTGCATCAAATAGAAAGTTTGTACTTATTCGAACTTAAATGTATTTCTCTGTATTCAATTGAATAGACAAAGGGGATAAAATTAGGGTATTTTGTTGAAAAATATTTCACTTATAGTTAATTTATAGTTTCAATTTAGGTATCTATGTGTTTTTTGAATTAAAATATTTTTATTAACAGGAAATTTACTAAACAATCAATTAATCATTAATTTTTCATCTGTTTAAACTTGATTTAAAATTTGAGGCCGGTCCTGACTATTGTATTTTTTACTAACATCAAGCAACCAATTTCATCAAAATAAAATGTCAAGTTTGACATATAATATGTCATAATATTGACAGTTCAAGGACCGCAATCTCAAAAAAATAATTATTAGTTTAGTCTGTTGATTTGTGCAAGATCTATTTTGGGACTTAAAATGTGAAGTATTTGTTACAATATCTTTAATTTTAATGACTCCTATCACAATTCATTTTAGTCTTTTACCAATAACTACAGCAGTCTAATTCTTCCCATCAATCTTGGTTTTTGATTGCAAAACAGTGACATGCATTACAACAGTTTGAATAGGTCGATAAACAAAAAAAAATAAACTAAAAACTGCTTTGAACTAATAAGACAAAAAGTATTTTTTTAAGGAAGTTCAGCCGTCGCTGAAATTTCTAAAATTGATTGGATATCTTTACAGGACGGTAGCAAAAATGAGACAGCAGAATCAGAGAAAAATTCAGAAAGTCAGCCCGATGGGCAACATTTAGTCGAGTCTCAGCCCGTCACTGAGACTCCAGTATCAGAACCTACAAATACTGAAGTCACTCCGGCATAAAGTGGGCCCCCACATTGCTTTCATAATTCACACACTTTGGCCAATTTATTCTTTTTTTAAATCGAACTTAATAATTTTTCATTATCGTTATAGTGTTCTTATTTATTTTGGTGTAATTTTTGTAATTTAATTATAAAATTCTTTTTTGTTCTCTGTATGTCTGTGGATCCATTCATGATTGTATAAAATAGTGATAGAGACATTTTTAATGCTTGAAAAGTGTTTGCTTGAAGAAGCAAAATCGATTTAGTTTTTGATTTTTAAGTATTTTTACTTGTTGCTATTGCAAATCGATTTAATAATAATTAATTTATGTTTAAAGTAACTCAGTACCTTTCAACTATTAAATAAAATAACTTATGTGTAATTAATTAGTGTTTAATAAAAAAAGTTCTCAAATTATATCACTGACATTTTAATTTTATTATTATTGTCTTTATAGAAAAATTACTTTTAAGATTTAGAATTTTTCTTTTAACATTTTTATTTTTTCCTGGGCTAGTTGAATAAGTTTTGTACTGTTTATATTACATTTCCTTTTATACAAATAATTAAGTTGTAATTTTGAAATATAATTAAGTGGATAAAAATCCACTTAAATTAAAGACTTTTTAAATATTTGTGGTCAATAAATTTTTCATTATGAAATATTTATTTGACAATTAAGTTTATCTAATACTACCTGTGTTACTTAACATTTAATTTAATTTTTATTATTTTCGAATTCTCGCGAATTTTATTTTCTTTATTATTGATATTCATTTGGAAGCTACATTTTGATAAACATTTCAATAGCTCATTAAGATACAATTTATTTCGATTGAAAAATGTATTGACCATTGTTCCAATATCGATCGATATTATTTTGATGAATACCATTCGATTAAATCAATTTAAAACCATATGTAAGATATTAAAAACCCCAATTAAATTTTATTGTTAAGCATCAAATTACATTGCTAGTAAAACTGCTCAGGAAAAATCGTAAAAACCCATATTTATCTAACTATTTATAAAAGTTACATCCATTTAATCCATAAAATTGATCTATAAATATCAAAGTCAAAAATATTGGATGTGACTTACTGTGTAGCGTGTAAAATATCTTGTAAAACAAAAAAGTCCATTACTATTTTCTATGCCACATAGAATTAAATTCGTAGTGGAGTTAATTTTGAGCTATAAAAAAAAGTATACAATCATTGGAGTGTTTTCCACAACCGAACAACATAAGAGAGAAACTTGATGTTTCTCCCGGAGAAATTCCTAGTAAGTTAAAAATTTTATTTCATGTGAATCTTCAGTTACACTTGAATATTCGAAACATTTTCAAAGTAGTTTAACATTTCTCGTACAGTTTTGTCTGCTTTTGTGTTTTTTTTTTCATTCTACAAGATTTTTGGTTGTATCCTTCGCAGATTTGCCGGTGCTTTTGATGGTGGCGATTTTCAGTTTATTGGATATTATTTTTTTTAATTCGATTTAATTCAACACACACTGTTTTAATTTAATGCTTCTTAAACTTAATATTTTGAGTAAAAGAAGTCGTGGAAGAGTGTGTAGATTAAATATCACAATAAAATTTTTTACAGTCCCAAATATGGAACATGCTTTAAAATTGTGGTAATTTGATATGCACCTTTCATTATATTATTTTCAAAATGTTAAAAAACTTGCGCTAACATTTAAGAGGCAGTATTCATGAAACCAGCATTACAATTAATAATACAGTAAAAAATCTATTTTTTTTTCATTAATTATTTTTTACCAAATTAGATTGTTGTTGTTTATAGAGTTTCAAAAATAAAATACATAAAACCATCCATTCTATAAATTGCCCACAAAAGAAATACACCATCGTTTTATTATTGAAACTTATAATACTTATACTAATGGATGCATTTACTAAACCTAAATTAAGCCTTCTCGAAAATTACCTCTGGAATTAATTCGACCCACCATCAAAAAGACCAGCAATGAACGTATCAGCATCCAATTTAACAGCATTTTCTACCAGTTAGGTGACGAGGAATATTCTCACCCAGAAGACGACGAATACTTTCACCCAGAAGACGAAGAATCCTATCCAGAAGACGAGGAATTTTACCCCGAGCACGAAAATTCCCAAGGATACTCCTGCGACATTTGCGAGCGGGATTTCCACTCGAAATTCCAATACGACAAACACCTGTCCGAGCACAAAACGTGTAATTTAGACGGCTGCCAATTCACAGCGCACGAGAAGATCGTCGAGAAGCACATCCTGATGCAGCACGTCACCGGACTCTACGACAAAATCCGGAACATAAACACCCCGGAGGACATCGCCAAGTGGATAGAGCAGCGCAAAAGGCGCTACCCGAGCAAGGAAAACGTCCTAGAAAGGCAGGAGAAGCAGAAGGAATTGCTCGAACGCGGCGCGAGGATCAAGAAGAAGGACAATCGGTTCGGAAAGGATAAGTTTAGATGTGAGTGCAATTTGTAAATTTTTCTGCTGTGCTGTACGCTACTATATCGAGGAGTTTTTGTATCATTTTTCTTTCTATTGCAGTAACCAAAGCCAATACGAAAGTACCGCCTCCGAAGCAGCAGAGGCCCAAAAGGCCTTTCATCGTCGAGAAGAAACCGGTGTCGTTAATAAACGAGAAACTCGATTGGAATGGGGCCGTTTTTCCGTTTAGAGGAACCTCGATGTTGGAAATAGACGCTGGTGATAACCGTGAGAGCGACTTCGAAGACGATGAATGGCAACCCGCCGTGAAACCCGTGCAAGTCGGGCTAAACAACGCTTTGGGCGCTCTAATGGGGGCTTATATGAGCGACGAAGAATGCAGCGATGGTGAAGTTGGAGACCAAAAACTCGAAGAGAAGAAAATTGTTATCGAGAGTAAACCTAATGTAGAAACTACTGTAAATATTGTTAGTACGAATAGTGATGATGAACCTCCTACCGAAGTAAAAATAGAGAAAACGAACGTACCTGAAACTGCGATAGTTGTAGAAGAACCATTAGATAATAAAATTGCGCCATCCACAAAGACGAGGAAACGACATCGACCGGAGAAGAGACGAACTAAACCTGATAGATTCAAAAATAACAGAAGGAACGCGGTTCAGAAAAATCCTACGGGTAAAAGTGACTTGCCTTACGCTTTTAAACGAAGGAAGGTTACGCTTCTGGAAAAATTATTGGAAAGTGAAATCAGGCAAGAGCGCAACATTTTGTTGCAATGCGTTCGGTACGTGGTAAAGAATAATTTTTTTAGACCTGTTGAGAATAATTTGTGATAGAATTTGTTGATTTTTAATAAAATGTTTATGAATTTTTAATAGAGATTTATACGTTTCATTGGCTCGTGAATACTAGTAATACCTTAATGGTTATGAAGGATATACATGTAAAAGAGACTTAACAGTGAATTAAACTTAAATTAGTTAACAATTTTATTTACAGTTCGATTATCTCCCTACAAAAATGGCACAATAAAACAGTAAAAAATCTAATATCACAATAAAGTACATTCCTAAAATGTATAAAAAATAAATTAAAACGTCAAAATTACAAATAATTACATGATAAAAAGTACTTGTACATCCATTGCGGTTTTTTATATCCTAAATAAATTTAAAACACTTCTGCTTATCGTGTGGTATCCTAGTTTTGAATAGAATCGAATCTGCCCTATATTGCGTATTTAATAACGGTGTATATCCAAATACCTACAACAAAATTCAAACATTATTAGAAAATAAAGCCTAAAAGGTTGTAACTTCTCAACTATGTGTAAGGTATATTTTTACCTATTATGTAAATGTTTTTATTATTTTTATAGTTTTTTTTGTGCATTAGACAGGGTTGGTTTCTTATTTTTTCTTTATTATTTTGTAGCTCTGGTTTTTTTTTAATAAATAAATAAACAGCATATCAAATTTTAGAGGAACCAAATATTTTTTTTACAATTGTCCCATATGTTTCTCTATGTCAACATTTTAAAAAATATGTAAAATCGTTCTCTTCCTTTTTCAAAAAAACTTTTAAATACCTCGATTCTTTAGTTTAGGAAGTTGTGAATTTAATGTGGTATCAGCATTTCTAATAAGAGAAAAAATAAAGCCACATTTCAGGATTTAATTTGAACTATTCAAATTTTACAACCGATTTGCCCCAGTCTACCTTACCTAGTTTAAACCTGGTACACTAGCAATTCTGAGTTGAGCAAACTACCTTATCTTGGGAACACTTCAACCCTAAATTAACCTTACCTGAGTAAAAAAATTAATGCACTTGTGCCTTTCCTGGAAGTGAGTATCGTCCTCCGACAAGCTCTGCGGACAACCCGGACATCGAAACGTCCATCTCGACGTCACCTTCACCGGCGGCTTCCTGGTGACGTGGCTGACCAGGAAATTCATGGCGATATCCTCGCAATTCATGTACTCGTCCACCTTGTCTCTGATAGCTTGCGGCAGCCACTTCCAATACAAGTGCAGGTAATGCCGATGGATGAACGCGGCCCCCGTCAGCACCATGCTCAGCTCGCAGCTGTAGTTCGAGTTGTACAACCAGCTGGTCTTCGTGTTGATATCCCAAGCGTGGTACCTACAAATAACTCCAGTTTAGTTATTGTAAGAAATAAGTAAGTAGCGACGTTTTACCTGCCGGGAAATCCAACTATTCGATCTCTGTGTTCCCTCCAAACTCTAAATCCGAATAAAATTTCGTCGTGCCGCAGGTGCGCGTCGTCGTCCACCGACAAAATGGCTTCAGTCTTTAAATTGTCCAACGGCAGAAATCGGTTGTTTAGAGAATTTCGCGCGGCCTTCACCACGTGGACGGGCACTCCTATGCTGGGCCATCGTAGCTCCGCGCTCGGAGGCCTGGGAGAATTCCAGATAACCACCTGCAAAACATTCGATCCATCAGTACAACCGAATGTAAACACCTTAATCTACTAACCACAGAATTCAAGTACGGAAGCCCTCTCAACCGAGCTATCGAATCGAGCAGTACTTGTTCTCTTTCGTACGTAAGAATCAGCACCGTGAACTGCTCTCTGGGATAGTTTCCTCCCAACGCCTCGGAAAATTCCTTACCCGAACCGCCTTGGCCTTGTCCGATCGGCCTGAAGCCCCTACCGGATCCGATGAATTTGGCGTCCGATGATAGAAACGGATCCACCGGAAGAGTAGGATACAACCGAAACGGATCCCCCCAGTCGTTCCAGAGCTCCGTGCCCTGCACCAGAGCCAGGCTGTAGTTCCGGCGGAAGGCCGGGCTGTCGAACGGAGGCTCCAGAGGCCCCAGGCTTTCTTCTTGCTCCACTTCACTGGCCACCTAAAATTAACACATAATTTGCCACGTGCGAGGTTTCGAAGAACATCCACCGTACCGTCACTTGAATGGGTTGGAATGTCTCGTTGAACACGCTCACCGCCGCGACGGTTTCCGCCGGCGTCGCCGGTATGTTCAATCGATCTCTCAAAACTGCTACTATAGTATCTAGGGTGCTTTGAACGGACGCCAGGTATTTCTCCCAAATGAGCCGGCCCTGCCTTCGCATCAGCAGGACGTCCTCGTCCGGAATGGCCCGCAGCAAAAAGTGTAGCTCGGTAATGCGATGACGGGGCAAGAATATGGCTGCTCGTCTCCATTGTATGACTTCGTAATAGGCCAGTTTGATTTGATCGCCGCCTAGTATTACCGGGATAGATCCTAGAATCGAAAATATTTTGATTTGTTCCTTTAAAGAAATTATAAAATGTGCATACCTGATCGTAGAGCCTCGTACACTCGGGCTTGTAGTAGCGTAGTGGATATTAAATCTTGTTGACCTGGCGCAAAGATTAGCACGAAAGTGGAGTCTTTTAATAGAGCTCTTCTGCTGCTGTCCGTACCGCACAAGGCCCAATCTTGAATGACTGTGTTCAAGTTGTTATCGCTGGCTGGATTGCATTCGAATTCGAAGAAGAACTTATCTGAAGTGGTCGTTTTTGACAGCTCGTTTAAATGATGCAGTATAAACCTGTCGAAGAGAAATTAATTACCTACAAAATTATATGAATTGTTTTGTTATACCTATTGAGTTCAGTGTTATCTTCCGAGTCGTCGTTTCTGGGATTGTAGGAGGCGGTTTTGGGTTTCTTCATTTCGCCTTGGAAAGTCAGTAAATAGTGCCGTCGAGCTGGCAACATCGGATTGCATTCTTGCCAAACGTCGCCTCCCGGTGGGCCGAGAACCGGTGATATGATCAAATCGAAGTCTTGTCGATAGAGATCAAAATTGAAAGTCGACTGTACCAATATCGAACGTCCTGAAGAAAACCAAAATTTAATCGCTCTAGTAGAGCTAACAACGTTGCAAGATCTCGTGAAAAATCACTAAATCTACGGGCTATTTATTACCTGTATCGATGTTTGAAAACATATCTCCTGATAAGGACGATAGGTCTCTTCGAGCCAAATTCAATAAAACGTGATTTCTGCCATCCCCTCCCCAATACGGCAGTCTTTTTAAAGCTTCGGAGTCCAATGCTGGTAAATTAAGGTGATTATTAACGTTCTCAGTAACATCATCTGTATCTTTCAGTGCTTCTCCTACTAATACAAGGTATATGCATGCCTGTTTAGGGTCATTAGTTAAATGAGGATTGTAGCCTAGAGTTTGCTTTAAAGTAGTTTTAAGAAAACCATCTACATCCCAACCGTCGTTCATTACCGGGTATTGATCGGGATCGTATAAATATACTGGAAATCCGGATGTTAACGAACACCTGGAGTGGTCGAAACAATTATGCATTCTGCATTTTCTGGAGGAAGATTTTGATATTTCCGGTAAAACTATTGGTAATTCGTCTACAGTGAGCCTCTTAGGTAGAGCTAAATCCGGTGTGTTTTGCTGCAAAGCTTCCCTTTGTGCTACTTGTGCCTGCTCTACTGAAATCTTCAATCTATTCAAGTTAGTTTGTTGGTGCGCTAATTCTTGTTTTGTCTCGTCTAATTGTCTCATGTAACTTTGTATTTCAGACTTGTACTGCTGCCTTTTCTTCTCGATGTCCCTCAATTCGCTTAATACTGAGCCCCTTATCCTAAGCAATTCTTCCACTCCTTTTCTGAGATCTTCCTTGTTAAAGCTGTATCCGTCTTCCGGGAGATCTTCGTGCGAGTGAGCTCCATGTTCGATGAAATACGAATTTTTCTCGACTTTGGATAAGTAAAAGTGCGTAATTAAAGGAGTGAAGAGTAGAATGATGAAAACTAATAGAACGATGCGGGAAAGTTTCACATGAACAAGCCAGCTGAAGAAATCCCTGCCGTTTTCCCCATCCAACACAACCATTATTTGTTTAGAATAGAGACTAACGAGTCCCTACAAACTAACTAGTAATTTCTAATTGCATAATTTAAGTTTTTTAAATTATCTTAGAAAATTCATTTTTTTAATACTACACGATCTTTTTTGTTTTGATAAACGAAAATGACAAGATTGACATGAAGTGAAATGACAAGTTTGACATTTGTTCGAACCAACTTCATATAAGTACTGTGTGACTCTTACATTTTAGTACTTTAGCCAATTTTGTCTGCAAAATTCAAAATAGAAAAGTCTTTTGTTGTAACTACATTTTTATTAATAAAATATTAGTAATAGAAGGAAATAAAGCAATCAAAAGAATTACTATACAATTTTATTATATTTATATAAGTTATTTCATTATGTTACAGCCCAGATAAGTACTAGGAATATTAATAAAATAATAATTTTTTTCAATTTTAATGATGATCTAGACTTTTCAAAAAGGGGTCCTTATTTTCATTCACAACAATGTTACACACCACCTGCCGCAAAAATAATTCCTTTATCTTAAAAAATAGTATTTTTTGAGAATATTCATTTTTTTAATTGGTCTTTTGAAACGCTTACAATTATTTTTTTTTAATTTTACTGAGATATATTACTGATACATAGGTAAATATATAGGACTGGTTTATCGGCTTGTTAAATTATCTATACTAGAATAATAGGAGTTTCGACAATTCCAAACACTTTTGAGCTCCTAATTTATTATACCTACACACATTTATCTCAGTATATATTTTTGGCAATCTGGAATTAAAAACGTAAAACAGGTGATAGTAATAATAATAAACTCTTCAAATACAAAGTACAACATTTTTTACAAACATTCGAAAATAGAACTACTTTCCTTATTTTCTATGAATACATAAAATGTACAGGAAAATTCCTCGAATTCTTGTACATTTTACATTCGCTTACACTTTACTTTGGCTTATTAGATGACTTTACAATGATTTGAAAACTGAGATTCAAAAAATGTGTCTAAGTTAGCTTCAGAATGATTTAATAATTTTTATATATAAGTATTTTATTGTTAACATAGCAATTTTGTTTCTGGTAAATTCATAAATATTTATAAATTTATAAAATATTTTCAATAACTATACAGGGTGAACCAATCTTACGTCAAAATATAATGTCCCGATCTTTTATGTTTATGTAGTAGGGTAAAACTAAAAATTGGATTAAGTTTTGATAAATTCACCATTAAAGAGATATTTTACTTTGTCGTAAGATTGGTAAGAACTCCCTGTAATCCCTGTAATATGTATTAGGAATAACTAAGTGATATAGATTTCTAATTACTTTAGATATTTAAATTTAAAATTCCAATAGGCAACATATTCTGAAAACTATAAAATTACATTAACGTAATTCAGTCTAAGTTGTTAATTTCCAATTTCATATGCCACTTATTTAATATTCATTTAATTCATTTAATGAAATATATGGTAAAATCTGAGAATATAAATAAATTTTAGTAACAAAGCTGCGCGTTTGTAAACGTCAATAGTAACAAAAAAAAATATAAGAAAACAAGAAACATGTATAGTCAAATAGCAATAAAATATGAAAATGCCGCGTAAATGTACAAACAACTCCCATTTACGTAATACTGATACATCAACAATTTCATCTAAAGAATCATTAGGCTAAGAACGAAACAGTAAAAACACCGACAACACCCATTCATATTCGAAACGAAAAATTTCTGCCCGTTTGGTTATTATAACCTACATCTTCATTCAACAAATAACGCTTTATCTAAAGCAATATATAATTAGATATATTTACATTACACGCGAATTTCACTCATCATCCCGCTGCCCTGTCGCCATTCCATCGACCATCCTCACACGTTCATCGCGTAGAACAGCGGCTTGCCGTGGGGCGGCGCGCTCGTCGGCGACGTGTTCGCGCTGGCGGCGGCCTGAACGGAATCCTGCGGCGAGACGCTAGCCGCCCCCTCCGGCACGCCGCGCTCGATGAACCTCGCTTTAGTGGGACTATCCGCGGGGGACTCCTTGCCGGGAAGGTAATTGTAGTAACCGTTCAGGCGGTTGGAATGCTGGAAGCTGCTTTCCTCCACGTAGATGTGCTCCGAAGCATCGGGGGCGGCGTATCGAGGTCTCACCGAAGGGAAACTGTGCCGGTTCATTTTGCTGCCGTAATCCGCCTGCTTGAACGGCGCCCTCAACGAGTCCCTGAATCTTAAAGTTGAAGGTACTGGAAACGGTGAGTGTAAGCGTGCGGTAGAATAGCGATATTTCGACTTACTTTGGTAAAAATTGCACCCCGACATGCACCCGACGGACGTCTGCGTGGACCTAGCCATGGAGTAGCTCCCCATGAGCGGACTCTCGCTCCTAGATGGCACTAACATCGGCTGGTAGCCGCCGGAGTAGGGGTTCTTGGCGAGCACCTTGTGGTGCTGCCCGTTGGACGAGCAGTACTCCTCGCCGTGGTGCACCTTCTGGTAAACGGGCTCGATGAATTTCTTGTTGATTTGGTTCTGATTGTAGCGGTAGTACTCGTTCGTTTGGTAATTAACGGCGGCGGGCGGCGGCTGTTGGTAGGTCTCGATGTGATTGTACGGTATGTAGACCATCGTCTGGTGGAAGGTCCTGGAGACCTCCTGCGGCGGCGGCGACATGGGCCTGCCGCTCCGGTACGTCGCCAGGCAATCGATCTCAACGCCGACCTTCGCTTGGTAGCAGTTTTGATTGGCGCAGCTCTGGTAATTGTCCTGCAGCGACGCCGGTCTGTATTGGTAACCTCTGGCTTTGGCGTCGTCGGGCGGTTGGTACTGCGTGGCCGAGTTCTGCTTGGCGTCGGCCTTGTTGGCGTCGGCGTCCGAGTAGTAGGGCCAAATGTTGTTGGCGTTCGTCGGCGGCAGTTGGATCTGGTTTTGGATCTGCTGCAGGATCTCCGTGGTGGAGCCGAAGCGCGGTTTGATCCCGCGCACGCTCGGCCTGTGGTTGAAGCCGTAGTCGTCGTTTTCGTCGTCGTCTTGCTTGGACGGGTCGCTTTCGTATCTACAACAACCAAATGTTAATAATTAAAATCTCTTAAATCGCTCGGAACAACCTACTTTTTCTTAATCCTCTCTATCCTGTTGGCGTCTTGTTGAACGAAATCGACCAGTTCGTCGCCCGATTCGGAGGCGGGCGTGCCCGCCAACACGTCCGGCGCGCATTTCTTGCCGTCGTCGTTCACCAGCGCCTCGTCGATGTCCTCCAACGTGTACTCGCCGCCGTTGGAGCCGTTGATGGACCCGTGGTTGCTCAAATGGTAGTAGTGCTCGTCGGGCTGGCCCATGCCGCTCACGCACGCCGTCAGCGGCGCCAGGAATTGCTTGCGATTGTCGTTCGATTTGTCCGCGTAGAGGTCGTGGTTGAACGGGCCGCCGATGTCGGGCAGCGTTTGAGTTTGGACGGCCTTCGGCTCTTCCCGGTTCTTCCCGAAAATGTCCGTCAGTTTCTTGTAGGTGGAGGACGTGGACGAGTTGGAGCTCGCCGTCGACGACGACGACGACGGCGAGAAGTTTCGCGACTCTTTGATTTTGCTCGATAACTGCAACGAATCCGGTAAATCGGAAAGCCCTACAATCACTCTAATAATCTCACCACGTTCGATTCGACGCCGTCTGCTTCTTCTCCGGTGGGGCTGACTCTCGCCGATAGTTCGTCGGAATCCTGGCTCGCGTCGTCGATGTCGCAGGTTAGCTGTTTGATGCGCTCCACCAGCGAGTTGTCAGTCTTTTGGGCGGCCTTCTTGCTCTTCGGTTCGTAGCGCAACAGCGATCTTCTCAGCGAGTTCCGCTCGATGACCTTCTGTATCGAGTCGGTGCCGGCGTTCTGTATCAATTGGGGCAGCTTCGATCGCTTGGCCTCTTCGAAGGCCTTTAGGGAATCGGCGGTGATGAGGTACTGGCGATCCTCCGCTTGGCCGGAGAGGCCTTTGGTGCAAGGGAAGAGTTGTCTGACTGCAGAGTTCGGTTTTAGACTGTTGTTGGATATCAACACGTGGTTGCCTGCAATGTGTGTACATATGATAAGAAATTGCGAGGTAGAAATCGGAGAGGATTTACCTAATTTGAAGGTGAGCGTCATTTCGGATGGTTCCGGTTTGGTTTCGTTTTCCGCCGGTGGAATTTCGTCGTCTTTCGTCGATTCTTTGCCTTCGACTTCTCGGTCGGTTTCCCGTAGGGGTTTGTTGACTTCTTGCTGTTCTTCTTCGATGAATCGCACCGTTCTCGGGTTGGATTCTTCGTCGGAGATGGAGTCGGTTTTCTGGAAAATTGAGTCCTATTAACTGACTAGAAAACCCTATTAGTTGGTAAACTTACAGTTAGCTGATCGTTTAGGGTATTTTCTCCGCTTTGTTGCCTCCACAGCCTTCCACCTTTCAATATTCCGGTAACAGGAGAATCGGCCGTTGGCAAAGGTTTCAAGTTTTCAGATGGTGATTCGTCGTTGAAGGAAGATTCCATTGAATAATCTTGTCCTTCTAGAAATGTTTATTTGTGAATATACAGATGAGAAAGTAGATGTAGATACTATGAGAATTAGCTTACCTGAGTTATTGGGAGATGTTGGCGTAGTTTGCTGACTTTGGTCGATTTTTTCTCTATCAATATCATCGTCTAAATCTATCTTTGGCTTATTATTATCACTATTTGGTTGACAGTTATCACCTGAAGAAAAAATTACTTACGGTAACTACGTTGTATAAAATCCACTATTTTTTATAAAAAAAAAGTTTACCCATGATTCCGGAAATTCCGCGTGTCTCTATTAACGTAGGTAAAAACGAACAGTAACTGTTGTTATTTCTTTATCTTGTAGTTCATTAACATTATTCTCTTAATTTAGCGTTACAATTTGAACTAGCGCTAGTTAAAATGTTAGACGCTCGACTATCTATGACCTACTATCGATGCACTTTGCATATAAGTAGTTTTTTCACTTTCGGAACGTTTCCTCTTACGATTGCGAAAATCGATCGTAATAAATTCTTATTAATTCACAACATTATTTATTACGAACAGTGGATAAAATATCTAATTGGTTTTTTCAAAATTTGTGGTACAATTTCAATTAAATAATAAATGTCATCTAATGAAGTTGTAAACTAAGAAACTGTTGAAATTTTGCACATACAGCTATTGATTTTCGAAAATTGTACCTCTAAAAGGGCAGCTTCTGTAAGTTCAAGTTCTAGAAATTGTGCTCTAATTAAACTACACAGAACAATGTTATTGGTGACAGGCAAGTTTTGGCATGTTTATGCAACAAAAGTTGCAGCATTGTTCAGTCTGATTCAAGTGTTCAAACGCTGAATAATTCCTGATGTTTGTTTAGAAAACGCCTCTATATCAGTCAAACACCTAAATAAGATTAAACATCGATGTTGCATCGAATTCCTCTCGCCAATAACACTACCAATAAGTTCTGCGTAATTTAATTAGAGCACAATTCCCAGAAACACCCCTCGTAACTCGGATTCGAAGTGGCCAATAATTTCTTGATTGAAACCCCGCTTTTTCTGCTATGAAATTAATCTGTCGAAAGAGGCTTGTATTCCGGAATCGATACCAATTAAGAGACATCCGCGTCGCGGCGTCGACGATGTCGCGGCTGGCTTATAAATCTACCCCCCGTTTTCCCTCCGTAATTCCCGGCCGCTTTTTTTGTCGAGCGCCACCGCCTCGGGAAAACTTTTATATCGGCCGAAGAAAAAAAATATTACGCGAGGGAAAAGCGCCGGTGTAATGTGGAGGAAACAAGAGATCGGTCGCTAAAGTGGCGACGTTTTTCCCTCGTCGAAATAATAAAAACGCCACCTAAATAATTGCTTTTAGCGACGCGAATTTTGCGCGGGAATATGTTGTGTGTCTAGAAAAAAGGACAAAGGTGAATTCGAGGATTAATGTTAAAAGTGGAACGTTAAAAATCCGATAATATAAACGTTGCTTTATGATAAATCAAATTAAATCGCGTTGAATTCGCCATAAATTCGAGCTGTCTACTTTGTCAGACATGATATACATATACCATTAATCCCAATTTATACGGCTTTGGTATTTATTAGATAATCGATTCGGTATTTTATCTGATTGCTTTGTCCAATGCAACGTTCTCTACCAGCAATAATTCTTGAGTAATAGCACACAATTTTTATACAAGACCTCGTTATGGATTAATAACGTACGAGTGTACGTTTAGAAATTATTTTAATTTCTAGTTTTGCTCGACTATCGTGATAAGTTTCGGTTTCGAAATACCCGAATAAAGGAGCAATAAAAGCCAACGATAAAAATAAATTCGAATCCACAAAAAAGGATTGATTCGTTTTTCTTTTCGTCGGAAAAGCGTGGACTTGTCGATGTAGTATGTTTCCATCAAGAAGGTCAATTTAAAGAAAAATTGGTTAACTGTGTCGTTGAGCGGAGACGTCACGAACACGACATATTTCCTCTATTTCAGTCGCGATATCGGCGGTTTTCCAATTTTAGATTGGATCCGATGGCAGCCGAAAAAGAAATATTACTATTATACTTTTATATGGACAAGTGCAAATTTTTTCTCTATTCGACAAATTAAACTAAATCGAATTAACACAGATATAAAAACCACGAAGATCCAAAAAAATCCCTAGTCAAGCCAAGACTAGTACTCCACTTTAAATTACCCCATTTAAAACTGGCTTAGATCCAGCTAATCTAAGCAATCTAATTTGTTCTCCCTGCCACAAATTCTCCAGTATAAATAATCACATCTTGCTCGGCGTGTAAGTTCTTAATCAAACTTTTTTTGTAAATAATAAATGAGTAATCGATACTCTCTAAGTGATACTAGTACATCTGACTCAGTCTCCCGAATTCTATCGAGGAAAACGGAGAAAATTTCGCAGGACTTATTCGTATCAGGAGCAATTCGCAGGAGCTGCTGGGAACGTTTGAGGATTAAACGGTCGGGGGTGGAAAGGGCGGTTAAAGCCGCCAGAGTTATACATTTTAGGAAACTAACTTGTTACTGTCGACTGATAAACTTTCAAGGCGAATCGTGCGTTTGAATAATATATGATTAAAGGGCCGGTAAATATCAACAAAACGAGTGGACGAAATAAACCGAGCGAATCCCGAATGAGCGCGATAAAGATTAATGCAGTTCACTATTAAATTTAAATACGAAACATACAAATCGTTTTTGCGTTTACTCCGCAGCATTTCCCGGTTGGAAGTGAAAACCTTTTTTCGCCGGAATAAATGGATGCGAAGACAAATTATTGCGTGTTTTTGTCGAAATCGGAAAACTTATGGCACATCATAAATCCAGCAGGAAAAATGCTTCTAACGTTGAAATATATTTTCTGTATAAGTTTTTAGCTAGTTTCAAACGCCAGATAGAATGCATTAACGATGATAAATCTCAAATGGTACCTCATAGAACTATAAATTTATTCACCATACCATTACAGCCCAATTTTCATTGCAAATGTTGAGGATTAAGAATAATTTGTTGTCTCCTATTTATTCTACAATTTTCCCTAAATGTTCCACCACCACCCTCTGCAATATTTGTATACAACATCTTCTAAGGCTCCTTCAAACCTCTAAGTGAGCTGACCAGATGCTGTATTTAGCAAGAGACCATCTATCGAAAGAAAGAAGAAGATCAAACCTTTATCATCCCCGTCGCAATCCTGGCTGGCGCTGCGATGATAAATCTCAAATGGTACCTCATAGAACTATAAATTTATTCACCATACCATTACAGCCCGATTTTCATTGCAAATGTTGAGGATTAAGAATAATTTGTTGTCTCCTATTTATTCTACAATTTTCCCTAAATGTTCCACCACCACCCTCTGCAATATTTGTATACAACATCTTCAAAAGCTCCTTCAAACCTCTAAGTGAGCTGACCAGATGCTGTATTTAGCAAGAGACCATATCTATCGAAAGAAAGAAGAAGATCGAACCTTTATCATCCCCGTCGCAATCCTGGCTGGCGCTGCACTCCCTGCAGACGGCCGTCCGCTGTTGCCGGCTCCTCGCCATCTGCTTGTAGGCCAGCTCCTCCATCTCCATGTCCTTGTAGCCCTCGGGCGGGCTCAGCGTGACGGCGTCCACGAACTCCATCGGCGGCGCGAACTTGGGGCTCTGCGGCGTCGGATTGTCGGCGTCGGGGGGCCCGAAGCCGCCGCCGCCGCAGGCGCAGTCCGGCTCGCAGCACTGCAGCCGGACCATCTCCTGCTGGTAGCAGGTGCAGACGCCGTCGTCGTCCTCTTCGTCGAAGTCGCATTCTTCTCTGCTCGGCAAACAAAAACAATTTTTTTTTTTGGTATCGTTGCAATAGAAACATTCTTCGGTATTTCTTAGGAAAAATGCGCAATGTACCTAATTAAAATGATGTAGTCGGCGTCGAAGAATTCGTTTTTGGTTTCGTTGAAGACCACCCTGTTGGATTTCCTGTCCTTCTTGCCGAAGGAGGACTTCTTCAGGGAGGACTTCAAGTTGTCGACGTCGGGGTTGTGCTTGCTCCGATCGCCGACGCCGTCGGTGCCCATAATGGGGGCGGTTCGGTTGGAGTTTGTGAAAATTCGCTCGTCAGGAGGGGACTATTTCGTCCGGGTGAAATTCCAGTCGGCCTTCAGATCCATCGTTGGCGAATTAACAGCGGCTGCAACAAGAGCAGAAGGAGTTAAAATTAATTTACATTAAAAATTAATCTGCTTTCTTGGGTTGGTTTTTTTTGGGGAGTGCGTGGAATTCGTTGTTTCCGTCGTTTGTTTCGGTGTTAATTAGAAATTCTTCGCTTTTTTTTTTCACGGTAAGGGGAATTCGTTTTAAAAATAGCTCGTACGAAAGTTCAAGCAAACGCCTTATTTAGATATTTACGATCCACGAGAAGAATTATCTGGTCCCTGGAGTGTATTAACCTCGTTTATTTCATGGATGTTTCTTATTTTTATTTTGGTTTTTAATTATCTCAAAGTACTCGTATAAATGTAGTAAGGATTTTCATACCTGTTGGTTTAATAAAATCCTGTATTACCGATTTTCCTAGACAGTTTTATACAAATTTAAAAATATCTAATCTCTTTTCCTCGATTTGTTATTAAATTTTCTAATTTTGTTGAAAAGTCACATTTGACATTTTAGTTCATCGATTAATTTGACATTTAAATGACAGTCACAGCATACTAACAAAACCCAAATTAATTAACAGAAAAGAGAAAGAAAACTTTACACTACCGCTAAAACACAAGAGAAAAAAGGATAAAAACAACGTATATTTAGAACTAATTATTTCCTCTGCAATACCTCCGAGATTATCTTTCCGAGTCAAGGATACTACGATTTCAAGGATCCCTCAATCCGACTCGTAAATTATCGGGCTTATTCGGGGTATACACACGACCCGAAAAGGCATTATAAAATCAAAGCAGCTTGATTTCAATTACACAAAAGAAGCAAACATTTGAATGCTCGGTAATTTCGAAAGTCGAGATTAATACCGTTTCAGCTTTGTGAAACCGTTCCAGTAAAGCTTCCCGTAAAGTTTGATCGTTTCAGCGATTTAACGTGCACATTCCTGCTAAAAGCATCCGAAAAATTTATGAACAAACATCCATACGCTCGAATCGAAACGAATTCGCCCGTATAATTCGATTTCCTGCCATTGGACAATCGCAATCAGCTCACTGCAGGATACATCTGCATTTGGCGCAAAAATATTAATTAACAAAAAAACCACGTGCGTCACAAGGTGCCAGTAGCACATCTTTTATCAAAACTTTATTGTATTGATCAACAACAGTTTGTATTTAACCTTTTCTCTGTTCGTCCCAGATTCCCAATTCGATTTCATTCTGCGAAAACGTCCGCTCAACAATTACCCAAATCGCACTTAAGGGTGTTATTTTGGCCTATTTTTACACGCCCTTTGCGACCCGGCTGTTTAGCCAGGATCCTCGAAGGATCAGCGCGCTTTCACCTTCCACCTCCGGACCCGCTTCGAGAGGCATTAGAGCGCTGGAATCTCCGATTGCTGTTTGTGCTCGAAAACGAAACAATTTCGCTCTATTTTAGCGACTCTCGAGAGCGGTAATTAACGCGTCAGTATCGATTTTGAGTCTGCGAGCGTAGGAGTGTCGGATTTTGCATATAACGTTGGATGGTGTCGAATTCGGGACACAAATACGCTCGGTTGATGAGCTTCATTTGCAGAATTTCGAATCGAATTTGAATAGTGTAAAACACTAAAACAGAGCGTCGGAAAAAATTGGGAAAGGCGCTGCGAAATAAGTTAAAAATCCCTTCGAGTCGCTTTAAGCGAAAACTTTTCTTCTAGTGCCCTACAATAGGGGGATAGAATGACAATAACTTGAGTTATAAAACTTGAAGCGGGGCTCCTGGAGGGGTCGTAAATAACCGGTCGAAGGAGCTCGTTTGAAGGATGGAACTGATACAAACTTCCAATGGATTACTTTACCTGTAACAGGCAATTACGAGTATCGAAAAGAGGAAACTTTAAAAGTAACTATAAATTAACTTCGAGAAGCGAGGGTAAAGTGAGTGATTAAGAGGCAATTTTCTACTCAAGCATCACATGTGTATTCAATAATGTAATAGGAAATATCTGAAGAACATTAATATCGAAAACCAATTTTTGAGACTTATTGCCAACTTTAGAGAAACAAATTTCAATTATTTCCAATCAGGCGGTACAAAAGTTTTCTAATTAAAATCCAATTTATGCTTCCTATTTCACAAATTAATGAATATCTAAAGTTTTACAAAAATACAACTCCATTAATGTTCCTTCCCAGGGGATTCCATGAAAATAACTAAACTAGAAATTACTGAATGTAAACTGTTTGCCTTCGAGACTCCATAAAAACCAGCTCTCTTTTATTAGGGATTTTTTTTATTTCTCTATGTATATTCACATTAGCATTTTGATATGAATTATGCGAAATGGAAAAGCTTTCATATTGAGATGAGAATTTCATTACGATTCTTAGGGTCCATATTTTCAAACTTCGGATAATGGAATTTATCCATAAGATTATTTTTTCTTATGAATAAATAATGAGATATCCACTCTCACATTGGATATAACCTTATCGCGTAAAATAAAAAAAGTTATACCGAAAACGAAATTTACTCTCTGCAAATGAGAATATTGGGCCTGAAGAAAAGAAGTTAACTTCTAGATAAGCCCTAATTTAAAACACCTCTACCGGTTAAATTTAAGTCGAGCCGAAAATGCAGGGCCTCATACTTTATGATAATACAGTTACACCATTGTTCTTTGTCCTTATAAGTGCAATTTCGTTCACGTCGCTGTACCACTAACTTAAAAACGTACATTTAATTTTAACACCTAAACGTACGCTCTACGTGAATCGAATGAATGCCATTACTTGCAACGCTCGGATCCTATTGTTTAACATGGTATTGTTTTACTCGTTCCTAGTTTTAGGAGTGTCTAGTTTTTGAATATAATGTGCATACAAACTGTACATGCAACATCATTACGCTTGTTACTATAGAAACATATACTCGAATTCTCCTAATGATTTTATAATTTTACCTTCACTGTACAGGAATATCTACAGGATGGTTAATTATTACATTTCTTCTATAATTTCGCCATGGTTGTCGGAATTTTGATATGTAAATATACAGTGTTAATTATTCGAGTGCCGATACTTCCAGGATGAATATTTGGATGATTTTAAGAAGAAAAGTTTATATCAATATATGTCCTAAACAGCTTAGTTTTCGAACTACAGGGTGCTACAATTCTAAAATTGTAAATTGGAAAAGTGTAACAATTAATTTTTGTCAACAAAAGCAGTCTCAATGAACTTGGGAAAAAAATTTTAGCTACTTAAAAGAGTATGAAATTCTGATGTATTGATCGGAAATTCTCCTCCTTACACCTCGGTAACAAGCCTTAGATATTTATCTTATCCAGAACATAATTAATTCGTACATTCCGGTGAATCGACTTTTCGAGGTCCCCGCAAAAACCGCCTAGGATTTATAACTAGATAACCGATCGATTACCCCCGGTTAGAAGTTATTTGCGGAGGATCTCGCAACACGTGGAATTCGAGAATGTCGAGGCTTTCAAGTACACCGATAAATCGGTTGTGATATACGAGGAAAGAAGAGAGGAGAACGCCAGATAAGTAATTTGGTTAATCCTTTGCGGAGTGCATTAATCCGATGGAAAATCTAATGCCGTTTGCCTTGTAATAATGGCCCTTGTAAAATGGCTGGACGGGATAATTAGATTTTCTATAATGTAACTAGATATTTTGGTAATACATTTTAGGGGTAGGTCTTTGTAGACATTAATTCGTTAATTATTTCTACTACATGTATATTAGATGGGTTTAATATTCAGTAATTGTATTAGGCTTTAATTTATTTTAATTTAAAATGAACAAATACAGTCAATAATTGCAAAATTTTGATACCATTTCCACAACTATGCCCCTGGATAATTTCTAAATTATTTCGTATCGTGCAACAGGTTGCACTATTATATTTTGAGCCATTAATTGCACGTCAAAATTCATTTGAATAACTCAAACGAATTGCCCAAACAAAAAAAAACATAATGGAAATAATAGTAGAGAGTCGCGTATTTTACAAAGAGCATAAAACTTGAGAGTATAAAGAGCTCTAAAACCGTAATAAGAAAATCGGGCAGTCACATCAATCTTCATTCAATTTAACTTTATAAAACCGAGAGAAGCTTAATTCGCACTAAAACAAATATTTAAACTTGCAACTCCTAGACCGAATCCCATCGGTTAGAATAGTATCATTTCCTTGTAAAACCCCCCGAAAGGGAGCTCAAAGATCCCTATCATCCGCTTTGAGAACGTCTACATTCAACAACGCAGCTCACGAATTTGAATACTCACCTCTTCTACGCGAGTATAACTCGCTCGGAAAACATCCTGCGATCGTTAAGGAGTCTTTAAAAGGTCCTCTTCGTTCTTATCCCTTCCTGTTTCCACTACTTAACAATTCCACTAATTAAATTTCAGATGCGAAATTGTGACTACTCACTGGAATGGTTCATAAAACAATTAACAGATTAATTGAATTATTATAGAAGAGTGTAATTTTATTGTTGTTGTATTGTTGCTGTAAACTCATGTCTCTATATGGTTTAGAAGTTTTTGGAGGGTTTACTCGTAATCGATTTATCCCTTTTTTCGTCCAGAAATCTTCACAGCTTCGAAAGTTTCTGAAAGCTCGTTTTTTCGTCGATTCTGTGTCGCTTTTTCGTCGCTTCGTGGATCCCTCGAGTTGCACTATATCAAAACTAATTGAGCCGCTCGTCCAATCATCGGATTTCGTTTATCATTCCTCCATTTCTCAATTTCATTATTTAGAGGAATCTCGACGATGGGGAAAAAAACCAACGGCGTCTAGACCGTGGCATGTGATTTGTGTTTGTTTTTTCCCCGGCTTATTCGCCAGGAGTTGACTCGATCGGATCGATTGCGAGGCCTTCCAGAGGAAATACGGTGGCTTT